AAAATGAATTTTCACCAATAACTGGTCAAGTCCACATGGGTTATACAAAAGCAAGCCATTCAACTCAAGTTTCCTTCACTTGATGTTATTTTGCTGCTTCCTAATATTCCATAGTCATTCTTTCAAAGGCCAATATGCTCAGCAACTTCATATTTTGGGTGGGGTAGTGGAGAACAACTATACAGGTCTACATGAGATCAGCCTAGAGCTATGATGAATGTTTGTAGTCATTCATTACAACATACAATGTAGTGGTAATGTATACTCTCTGTAGATTGGTCTCTTCAATTCTCGTCTGATGTCACAGCCAATTGACTTCTGACATTTCCTTGTGAATGTGATGACAGTAGGCTACCACTCAACGAAGAAGGGCACTGCATATTCTTTTTTACACCTTGCTATAGATTGGTGTTATCCAAGCTCTTCTTGTGAGGAAAGCGGGATGGGGGGGGGGGGGATGAGAGAATATTTTCTTGAAGAAAAGAAAATCCAAGTGCTGTTTTGGTCTAATTTGTGTGTTTGTGTGTGAGAACTCTGAAATAAATATTTTTTTGGGGGGGGGGGGGGGGGGGGTGTGGGGCTGTGAATTTAGGAGAGGCAATGTGAAAATGTGATTTATGATGCCAATGTTTTATATCCAGAGCATGAACGGATGACAATGTCCAAGCCAAACCTGAAACCACTCCTGTTTATTAAAAAATAATGAATGTCGATCGATGGTAATGCAGATGCCAGACGTGTCATACAGAGGCAAATTTACTCATTCATGTCAGTGACTGTGCATTATTTACAGTTCTAGGGATCCCATCAATCCTGGAAATTTGGAAAAATGTTGCGAATGGCTGCCCTTTTTTCCGGTCAGGAAAAAGTCAAAATAGCAGATCCACTGGCTGTTGTGGCTTTTAGTGCAAAATTAGGTCACCCCCGGATTAAAAATAATGATCCTGGAATTTAAATATAAATTTAAAATAAACAAGGAATGTCCTATCATGAAATGCTTTGATTGGTGTACGCATTAACATACATCTATATCATACATGTCCAGTAGCTAGTGTGGAGCTGCCATGCATTCAACAGCTATATAGTGTAAAGCAACCATATAATAAATCACAGCTAGTGTGGAGTCCCCCTGTAATGTCTGTGATATTGTAGAGTGGTGTGATGTCCTCCCCATGTCAACTTGCATTCATCACCACCATGTTTATGAGTTATGCATAGGTATGACTGATATAGAGTGTGGGTCATTTGTTACCATGGCGATAAATGACTGTAAACAGAGAGGGCCTGGCCCAAGTCTGTTGATTTACAAGTGGTATAACTATAATTATGCCTATCCATTTTTAGGGTGCGTTAAGTGGAATACTTGTAATTCATTTTCTGTGACATATTTATGCTTCTGCAGCCACTACTACAATAGACGTAATACCTATTTATTACACAAATGTGAATGAAACCGGCCATGCCTCATTAAAAATTGATGATTACATTTTGATATTACAGTGCTAAAATTTTCCATATGAATGGTTATTTTGTCCATGAATGTTTGTTCAGTTTAATTGTTATGTATGAACTGTACATGCAACAAAGGCTAAAACATGTTGATACAAAATTCATGATCCTTGGAAAGTGTGATTGTTAAGGCTTGTTAAAACACCAATGCCAAGGTAAATGCTTCAAGTGTAGTTCATAGCATAGCTTGCCTTGAAATCATTCTACACAACATACTGCTTATGTCTAAGGACACCTAACTAAATGGAGATCTTGACATACACGTAGCCCCCTAAATAGTAATTTCAACACGAGTTCCGACCTCACTTTGTAGTCATCTCATTCTTACGTAGAAAATATAAAATATAAAATGCATTAAGTGTTTAGATTGTGTACCATATAAATAGTAGCACTTGGCATCACATCGGTATGCTAATAAAGTCGTTCTCTGTCGTTAATGTTTGAGGATACCTAAGTAGGAGAGACGGATGACTCACACTCATACGTCATCCTTCCCTCATCCTCCCCTCATCGTATCCATCTCGTTCAGTTCGTCCGGAGTTCTGAGCGGAGAGTGGTATTTTGGGAAAAAGACGTCAGCATTGAGATGGGTTTTGCTTATTTGGGGATGATCAGCTGTGCCAAATTGTGATTGATTTTTGGTCAGATGTGTGGTGGAGAAGATTTCTGTTTTTTCTTCTTCGTTTTGATCTTAATCTGAAGGGGGAGGCATCTGAGTCCTGTAGATTAGCTAGGGTTGTGGGATTTGTGGATATTGAGATTTGGGGGGGGGGGGGGGCTGGCTGCCACCAATGGATAGAGCTACACCTGCACATCCAGGCAAATTATGAAAATATGAGGCAGGTTGAAAGTCAGATGGAAGCTTGTGCTGTATAGGGAAAGGAATCCAGTATAAATGCTGTTATGTATTAGAAGTCGGTGAAAAATATTAGATAAATGGACATTAAAAGATATAGAGGAAAAGGATAAAATGGAGCAACAAACCAATTAAAATACTGCTGAAATTTATTTGAAAAAACGAGGAGACAGTGATGAGTACTTAACAAAGATAATATAGAGAAGGATATCAGGAAAAAGAAATTTATATCTTTTTCAGTGGGATTGTTTAAGAGAGATATATGTAGGTGGAGTATCATCAGCGTTATTATGAACCTGTGAATCTGTCATGTATATTACTGTACGGATTCGTCAGTTCATAAGATATATTGAAAGGTGTGAATACAGAGGAAGAGTTGGAAATGGATAGAAACCCCCAAAAAATATTAACTATCGGAGGGCTGGAACGACTCACATTATGGAAAGATGCCTATTACTTGATACATGTTCCTACTAATGGTAGATTGAATCACATAGAAGGTTACCATCGAAATTCATGTCATTATGAAACGTGCTTCTGGTGATGAGTGAGTGCCTATTACATCGCATCTCACTATAATATAAGATTGTGAAGACGCATGCTGGCATTTAATATACCAGACAGTCAGACATTATGATCCATTCACATACCTCATGTAAGAATTAAAGGTCGACACCTCATGTTTTAACTTTTATGAGGAAAAATATGAAATCTATGCCAGCTTCAAAGGTCTTTCAATTAACATTAAACAAATACACAGAAGTTTGCATAAATGAAGGAAATACATAAAGTAAATATCCAACTATCAAAAGTAATGACGACTTTGTGCACATTTTATATGACCAAATAAATAAGGGAGAATGTTTTGTCTTCATACATGTACATAAAGTTATGTTTTCTTCGTACATTTCAAAGCTCACTCTAAGTCCCTGTTTTCTGTTGATATACTTGTAAGTAAATGTAAATTGTAAAAAATATGTCTTTAAAAGCTCAAGGATTAGCCAAGACTTGCCTGGGTCTAAAATGAATTCAATCACTCATCGTTTAATAGGTTGAAGCTGCCGTGTAATTACGTCAGATAATGGCTTGCTCCTTGTGATGGCAAGAGATAGCAATTATATTCCAGTCACCATCAAAGACAAGGCACTTTATCTCCCAGAGAGACGAGACCATTGTTTAGCTGACTTAAAGGGGACCATGACCACTATTTTTCTTGTCGCTCAGTGTCTTGGGGTTCTGTGCTGGTATCCTAATTTCAAAATATCAACTTTGAATATTTCTGCTGTATGAGGTTAGAAACAGAAATTTAAAAACCAGAATGGGGTTAACTGAGTCTGTAGTAAAGGATATGGGTTTTTGAGCATACAAGTTAATGCTCTTGTGACCTTTTCAGACAATATGTTTGTGAGATAACAAGTTATGAAAATAATAAGATCATTGATCATTTCCCTGCATTGATTTTAAGTCAGTTGCCTTCTTGGTGAGCTGTATGTTTTCCTTTCATACTGTGTTTTCTTTTTATTAATTAGCCACTTGAATCTTGGGTATACCTTTTCCCGGGATGATTTTATGACTTCCAATAATATGCACAAAAAAAAGAAAGAAGAAGATTAGTCGCCCTTTAAAATTTTGAGTACGCGCGACCTTTTAGTATAACCATTTTTGCTATAACTTCCATGTTATCTGCTTTCACATGAAAGTGCTTGGGTGACTGAACAGGTTTTCCTTGTTTGATTTATGCTTGTACTACACCATACATCGTTGAGGTGCAATGCCTGACTGCTATTACTCATGTAGTGTGAAAGCCTCATTAAAATAGGTTATCTCATAACCATCATGTGTGATCAATTCAAGTAAATTTGATCAATTCTTTCAAAAATCTGTTAGTCCTTTATTGTAGGAAATCATTGGAAAGAGTTGCATCTTAGCTCGATCGAAATGAGATTTTTCAAATCTTCAAAAGAGTCAAACTTGGTTATGAGGTTGTGCCTGGATTGTAAGACTCCGTTTCTGTAAAGTTGATTGTTGTGGAAGAAAAGTCCTGTTGATGTTTGTATGTGATCGTTACTTGAATGATTTTCTGATATATTCCAATGATGCAGTTTGTGAAATGTTGTGTGAATGTGCTGTTGCGGCAGCTGATTGTTTGACGGTCTTTCACATTTGCACTCCCTAAATTTACTTGTTACATTTTGGACCTGTAAAGTCATGCAGCAATAGTTTATTAATACTTGCAAATTCAATACATACTGCAATGCATAATGTCGTAATAAAACATGAAAGTGCATTGAATTATGCAAGTAGTGTGATATATGAATACACAATATCATGACTTTTATTTATAAAAGATTTTTTTTTTTAAATTGAAAACTAATCTAATTTTCACAATTCCAACGCAACAAAATAGGTGAACTCCATCTACCCATGAGGTGGAGTCAAACTCCAGGAAAGAAATTTCATGTACAGTCAAGTTAAGAATTGTCCTTTGAAAATATATACGTGTATATCTAGATCTTTAGATTTTTGGGAGCACCAGGAGTGTCAAGTCTGACAGACATGAGCGCTATACAAGAACCCACTATTATTATTATTTTATACCCATTTTTGCACATGTTACCAAACATTAATTTCTCTTCTCCTTTTTCTCTCTCCTTTTTCTCTCTCCAACTCTAGATTTCTGAGATTGTAGGTGAGTCTGATGGAGCTCGAGGCAGCACACCCCTGCAGGCGAAGGAGGCTCTCATGAATTGGGCTCAGCGCAATGTCAAGGACTACCCCGGCGTTCAGATCAAAGACTTTGGCAGGAGTTGGAGAGATGGGTTGGCTTTCAATGCCATCATTCACAAGAACAGGTGAGAAACAAAGAACATATGATAACAATAATAATAATAATAATAATAATGATAATAGTGTAAACTTAAAGAACGCGCATACATCGTCCAGGGACGCTCATGGCATAAACTGCCTCAAGAAATATGTGCAACAAAAGATGACAAACATAACAAGTATTTGAGTTTTAAGTACAGTGCACCTCTCATTTCTATGCTTTACGGGCCTCTGTGTCTTGCATACATCTGTTCTCACCCTAACTTACCAGTCGCTTATCTGCAAAAAAAGTTTTTATTTTGCCATGATGGTTAATACTATGTCATTTGTGAACAACCCTGGTCAAAATTGAATTGTGGAAAAATAGCATAGAAAATATGTTTTTCACTATTTAAAACTCTGAATATAATTTTCATCGATCTTTTGTTCCAAATCCTAGCCTCAAAATAATGTTTTTGTCTATTTTCCATAATAAAAGTTTTTTTAGGAAATAACATACAAATATAGAGAATATAGCCCCAAAACATATTTATTTGCTTGTAAAAACATTCAATTTCAAACTGTTCAATTTCATTCAAACATGCACTAGTCTACATCTGATTTTTCACCCATCCCCCCCCTCATCGTTATAAAGTAGATTTCTTGGACAATACAGAGAACACTTTCGGTAACAGAAGAGTTGGAAAGTACAACTTACTAATTTAGCACATCCAGTAAGAAATTGATGGCGTGAAATTGAATTAAACTGTGCTTTCAAGATATCATCTGAGCATTTTTATGGATTGTTCATTGTTATTTTGTTGTTTTTGCAGGCCTGACTTGATTAACTACGAGTCCCTAAAGCCATCCGAGCACCGGGCCAACTTGGAACGTGCCTTCAGTACTGCAGAGAAACACCTTGGAGTTACTCGTCTCCTAGATCCAGAAGGTAAGCAACCCCCCCCCCTCAAGAGAATGGTATGATCCATGTTTACAGTAGTCCTATGATATTGAAGGAATGGACCATTCATTTACAGGGTGTCACATGTTTGAGGTGTAAGTAAACTAGAAGGCAAGCAAATCCCCCTCAAGAAAATGGTATGATCCATGCTTTACAGTAGTCCTATGATAAGGAAGGAGTTGACCATTTGTTTATAGGGGTGTCACATGTTTGAGGTGTAAGTAAACTTGGAGTAATCAATATTTGGCCCCTTAGTCCAGGGGATAAAGATCCCTAAATCAAAAATTTGATTTGCCAAACCTCTTACACAATTACGATTCAGTTAATTTTCTTTTTGTTTCTTTAGATGTGGATGTCCCCAAACCAGACGATAAGTCCATCATGACCTACGTGTCCTCGCTCTACAATGTCTTCCCCAGAGTCCCTGAGAGCAGTACTTCTTTCTCTTCCTCAGAGGTGAGATGACCTTTGAACTTTGACCCATGACCACTTTTGACTCACAGGTCTGTGACCTGTAACCTTTGACCTCACTAGTTACCTTTGACTTCAGTGGTCAACTTACCACACTGGAATATTCATTTTCTATTACTTTTGTTTCTATTGCCTTCCCACCACTTAAAAGTGTATGACCTTTGACCTAAGCATGACATCTTGATGACCTCACATTGCAGAAAACATTCTCTCCCTAATATTGCAAGATGTATGTACTAGCTTTGTAAATCAAGAGATCTGATTGGAGGAAAGTTTCTACAGTCAGGAGGAAATACATGAATGGAAGCAGCTGATTGGTTCATTTGCTAGTGATGTCACAATAGAAGAGAAAGGGTCAATGCATATTTAAAATTGCTTTGACCTTTTTTGTATGGTAAAGCTAACATTTTGGTAATTTTTTAATGAACTTTATTTGAGAAATAATATAATGTGTTACTGACAATTTTGTCAACTTGAATGACTGGAATTTAGTCATGAGTTCAAATTCATCAGCCATTTCCATGCCCTAAATTTAAAAATAAGAAAACATATTTACTCATTTTGCCACAAAACAGACAAGCAAGTCATGAACAGAAGCAAAACCACAAAGAAAAAAAGCAAACTGCAAAGTGTGAAAGCCTTTCTATTTGTAACTCAGAAGAATCTTTGGATCTTTATAAGAAATGTGATTATATTTTGCTTAGCACTACATGTATGTGTACATGTATGTACTGCCAAATTTTTAAATGCTTTTAAGTTAAGTATATTGAAAGTCTAAAGTAATATATCTCAATGTATTGCAATGAATGTGGGTTTGTTGTGGTATAACTCGCAATCCAGATGCAACCTATTGCAAAACAAAAAAATTCTGTATTTAATCAGAAATGTACCTGTTTTAATATCTGTACCTAATTCATAAACTTCTTGATAGCATCTCCAAAAAAAATTCTTGAAATGTCTTATAATTCGAAGTTTAACCCTAATGCGAGATTGATTTTAACTTTCTCCTTCTGTTCTGTTTTTATTTTGCCCTCCACTTATCTCTTTAATCCCTTCCCAATGTGATGAAATTCACATGCTTGGTACATCCATTCAAATTGTCATCTCTATCCTCTCGGTGTATGTGTATTATGTATCCACATCATGGAATGTCTTGTACATTTTCATGCCTGGTAATATGTACCAACCCCTTCGCCCTCAATTCACCTTCATTTGGCACCTGTCATGTTCTTATTTCTTCCAAACATATCATCCTTGGTATAATTGGTTCGCCTCTTGCTCCCCATCACCACCCCCTCATTTGATGTCTGTGATATTTCTATCTCTCCCCTATACATTTTATTTGTGGTTCAATTGATCCACCCCTCACCCCTCACAAATGTACCTTCATATGGCATCTACCATGTTTCTACTCCTCCCATGCATTCATTTCCTGGTATAATTGAACTCACCCCCCTCCTCCCATCAATTACTCAACCCCCTCCCTCATTTCAATTCTGTCATATCTCTACCCGAATCATCCACCTTTTCTTTCTTTTCACATACAATTTGTTTACTTACATCTTCCAAATGAAAATTCACATGGTATATGCATCATGCCTTCATGAAAACAAAATTCCCTTTTTTTGGGTAATGGGTTTATCAAATATCACTTTAAATGTTTATCTTCTTGTAATGGGACCTCTGCAATTACCATTACATCTTCCCAATTCTATGCAATCAATGCCTGTATTGATATATCTATGGGAATTTCATGTGGCATTACAATACTATCTTCTTTGTTATGGTCATAAATCTACTCTGCGTATGAACTTATTTTCCATCAATTCTAATATCCCTCTATTACCATGGTAATCTTCATGCAAATAGAGAAAATCTGGCAAAGCGTCCCTCACCAAATCTTCTCGAACTGAGAGAACCATTAAGTCTACTTCTTCTGTAAGTCAAAATACACAGTCAAAAACACAAAATGTGGTAGAATGTTTTTATTCTAAATGTTGTTCTGTTAATCAGAATGATGCTATTAAAAAACATGTATTTTTTAAATTGTGTTATTTATTTTTTTAGTAAATATGGAAAGTCTATATTGTTTGTCATCTACATGTATGTTGGTAATTGAAACAAAAGCCTTGTGAATGCTTTGTTACGACTTAAAGAGTTACTTTCAGTTAAGCAGGGTTTTTTTTTGTATACAGATACAAGATATTTTTTGTAAAATTACTACGTATGAATTTAGGTATATCAGGCACAAATGTGTTCTGAAGTAAAGCTGTAAACTTTTTTTTTAATGATTCATCAATGGATATGAATGTAAATTGACATCATGCGCTTTTATTTCTTGTCTTTGCCTGAGAATTAGACCCTTTAAAAAAACTGTTTAGGCATCTTTTGAAATGGTTTTGATAACATTACTGTACTAATTCTACTGCATACCATGGTCAATCTTAATACTGCATGCATAAAGTTGATCCAATTCTTCCATTACCATCATTACTCTTGATAACTGTTGTCGGTTCCAGCTTTCCTGTTACTATATTTCCTTTCCTCATCATGATGATCATCATTGTCATCATCATCATCGTCATTATCACAACCACCAGCACCCCCTGCCTACACCTACCATCCTCATCCAGATTCTCTTCCTCACCACCACCACCACCACCACCACCACCATCACCACCACCACCACCACTACCACCACCACCACTACCACCACCACCACCACCACCACCACCACCACCACCACCACCACCACCACCACCCCCCCCTACCATCCTCATCACCATCTTCATAAGCGTCTTCATTACCACCACCACTACCATTCTTTTCTTTCTCCTATTCTTCATCAGCATGGATCAACTCCACACACAAACTCTTCTCCCTTCCATATATGTTTCCCTAACACCTAACCTCTTACAAACTCAATGCTCCTAACACCCCAACGGTAGCTTCAGTGTACAATCAAGCAATATATAGTCTTACGCCTCTCATCTGCCACCATTCTCTCCAAACCTTGCCCCCCTCTTAACCCCCCCCCCCCCCTTCTTCCAACAATCAACAGACAAGAGTGGAGTCCGGCAGACCCATGTCAGGGGCTTCTGCAACATCATCTAGGATCGAGTCCCCAATCGCATCATCTAGAATCCAGTCCCCAGTCGCATCATCTAGGATCGAGTCCCCAATCGCATCATCTAGAATCGAGTCCCCAGTCGCATCATCTAGAATTGAGTTCCCAGTAGCAGCTAAAGTTGAGTCCTCAATTACTCCCCAAGTCAAGGTAATGATGGAAGACTGGAGTTCTAGGAGTTCCCAAAAAAATTGCCCCAAATTACATGGTAGAATAAATGAATTAGCAATTTAAAATGAAAGTTTATCAATTTGTGTAACACTGATAAAGCATTAGATTTAATAGTTACAGTTATAAATTCTGTAAATGTTTGTGGGAGTTTCATTGCTAGTAAAAAGAGGTTAAGTGTTTATTCCTGATATGCTTTAAACCAAATTCTTTTAGGTCTTGTAATTTTTAGAAGTAAAACTGTGCAACAGTGCCCATATCATGCAAATTATTTCCCATTGACATGCTCAATCGACATGACTTTTGTTGAATGCAAGCTCTTTGCAATTGAATATTTTTTCTTTCCTCAAAGCAATGCTCCAGTGAAAACAGTTAAAATTTCACTTTGCAATCAATCTAGAACCTGAAGTTGAAAAAGTAAAGAAAGTATAACTGCGCCCATTTGACTGAAATATATTGAAAGAATAATGTTGTGAAAGATTTCTCTAGGCTCTTCCGTACTTATGTTGTTACTATCTGTTATTTCTCAAGTGTAAAGCTATTCATGTACACAAGACTTGCACAGATAGAGTTGCAGTGTTGTCATACAATTAAAATAATTATACAAAATTTACCAAGTTTTTTTCATCACCTTATGCATTAGAGAAATAAATAATCTTGCCTAGAAGTTATCTGAATATTCTTATTTCTATCTCGATCCCTCAAACTCTAATTTCATGATTTCTGCTCAGCCCAAAACGCAAAGCTCACCGCAAAGACGACCAAATGAACCCCGCTTTGACACGTATACCATTGATGTAAGTTGGTTTTCTCTACGAAGATGTTTTTTTTTTTAATGAAAAAAATTGATTCAAGCTCATGTTTCTTTTAATTGATATTAATTTTAAATTTGTTTAAGTATGTTTTGCATTTCATGCATGTTCAGTTCATTTAGAATTTTTTTTGTCATCAGTATTACATAAGTGAGGTGTAGTGGCACAAAAGAAGGCATACAAAACTTGTTGGTGAATTAAAAGATTTTATTTGACTTACCGGTATCTGAATGCAAGTTAAGTAATATATATTGAGCCTTTTTAAAGGAAGTACAGGTTTTACCTGCGCATTATCTTAATGATATGGTTTTACCTTTGTATAACCAAATTATGATTTCTGATGTGTCTCTTTGTGCCACTACATTTCACTAAAGTACCTTCCTTTAGTCACACAGCCAAATTGACCTCAAACTGACCAATAACCAACTAAATATTGGCCAGACGGGGTAGTGAGCTTTTGTTAAATCTAATGTCGGTCTGGTGTGTCATGTTGATGTAACATGGGTATTAGGTGTTTATTGGGGTATGTCTAGTATCAAATAAATGTTTTATCATGACATTGTACTACTCGTTCTTATAGATATGGTCATTTTTTAAACTTCAAAATTCTTTTTGTTGTTGTCTATGATTTTGCATCCTCCCAGTCTTTGAGTTATAGATCATGAAAAAAAAGAAGACAAAAGAAGCATTTCAGTTAGTTTGAGTTCACGTCGTCTGCTTAAAGCTAGAAAGGCATTAACTGTGATGAAACTGATGCAAGTTATCACCCTTCTTGCCCTCAGTTGATGAAATCATTTTTTTTTCCTTAACAAATTTATTGCCAATTTTCCTTAATTGAACAGACTACTACATTTTTCTTTACAAAAAGTTATTGCATATTTTCAGCCATCGAATGTGTTTCATTTTATTTTATATTGTGTGTGTGTCCCTCATTGTGATCATATTTTTGCATCCCTATTTTGTAGAAAATGGTACAGTCCATTCCAACAGCTGTAGAAGAGCCAATACAATCACAGCGAGCCCGTGTGAGTTTGCAGGGGTGTTTCCCCCTCATTAACTTGGGATGATAATAGTTTGCAATACAGACATTACATCTTGATTGCAATTTGAGACAAAACAAACACTGATAAAATCATAATTATATTGTCATTGCTGAAAAGCAGTCTTTTGGGCCAAATTTAAGTTTCACCCTGAATTCAATTGAAAATCAATTGCAATATAGGTACATATGTATATATTCGTTTTAAGGACATTTGAACACTTGAAAAGATGCAAGTGTATTACTGCCCTCTTTTGGGGAAAATGAGATCTATTATAATCAACATAATAATGAGAACCAACTGAATTGTAGCAAATCATAGTTTAATGTGTTCATCTGCACCAGGCCCCTACATATACATGTACATAATGCCTTAGCACTCATGCATGTATATTAGACACATAGAGTGATTGGATTAATGTTCTATAATGTGCAGTTGATCACATGTAATATTAGATGTCTTTGATTAGGTTAAGAAAGAATTGATATTTTAATAAATAAGGAATCATATTATAATTTTTCAATTAGTTTGCAAAAGTTGAACAATTAGGCAAACCTCACCCAGATATGAGTTCATCGTACCTCTTTTTTTAGTTGTCCATTTTCTATTACATTTTGCTATCATATCATTTCCAATATTAATTTTTTGCTTGCACCATTCTTGTTCCCATCTCCGCCCTTATGCTCTGTGCATGCCTATATGTAACAGTCCGCACAACAGTACAGCAGACCAGGCGGGTCTAGTTACAGACAGTCTGAGCCACCAATTAGGGTTGAAATAAAAGTGAGTCATGGTGTGAATTAAAAATAGTTTTTGAATACCGTTACTGATTTTCATTAAAAAAAAAAATGGTGAGATGTCACATGTTGACATGTTATGGCATGCATCTATAATTAACTACACAATTATTGCCCCATTGATAAGCATGCATATGGTTTCATTACGGTTTCATTTGAGGCAGTGTATTTGTTCTTACCACCAACAGTACTCATTTTGTATTTTAGCATGGTTACAAGAAACATTCAAGTTTTCAAATGTGTACATTGTAGATGTAGCATTCATTTTTTTCCATAAGCATTATAAACATGCACAACTAGTTTGATCCTGAAATTGATTGTGTCTAGTTACAGAAAGATTTTCTTTACAGGTTAATGATTTGAACATAATTAAAAAATGTTTGCTACTTTTCTTAATGCTAAAGCTAAGAAATAGGCTTAAAACTTGAATTTGCAAATCTTAACTACCTAAACAACTAGAGTCATTATTAACTACTCAAGTACAAAGTAATTTGTAGAAATGGAATTCTTTTCTTCTTCCTCTTTCTTTCTTTTTTCCTTCATTATGTCTTTCTTTTTCTCTTTTTCTTTCTTTCTTTCTCTCTTTATTTTTCTTTCTTTCTCTTTTTCTTTCTCTCTTTTTCTTTTGTCTTCATTTCATCTATCTAAATTTCTTATTTTTCTTTCTTCTCCTTTCTCTCTCTCTCTTCACTTCTCCCTCATCATTTCTCCACCACTGTACCTCTCACTCAATCTCTGTGTATCTTCTTACAACATTTGTGATATAAAAAATCACTAATTATTGCTTTTCCTGATTCTCTGTTCCTTCTCGCCTATGCCACCCAAACCCTCAAATTTGCTCCTTTTCACCCCAAATTTCAAAACTGAGTAGAAACCAGTGCACTCATCCATCGACTTTGGTAGTGCACCTGCTGCAGACTCTGGCAAGGTGAGTACTAATCTCAAAAAATGCAAAATTTCTTTAATGCAATATTTACCTCGACTGGCTCAAGCAGCTTTAGGAAAAGAAACTGAGTTCTTAAAAAAAAACATGCTGATTTAAGAAAAAAACAAAACTTATGTTTGCAGTGTTCCTTTTGTCTATCCTCAAGTGTGAACTATTAAATTTCCACAGCCGTGCTCGACTTATATACTTATTTCTGTTGTTTATATTATTGAAAACCACTCTTGTAATTCTTATCGATGTCAGTTAGCCAAATATCCAGTCAGTACATAATTGAAGTGTTTGCCAATGCAAATGTATGGTATTATTACTTATTATTATTATTACTTATATGTAGAGCTCACTACGCATTCATGTATATTGAACATGGAGTGATTGGCACATGTACAGATGGATGAATTAATGTTCTTTAATGTGCAGTTGTCTTAAATTAAGTTAAGAAAGAACTGATATTTTTAATGAATAAGGAATCAAATAATAATTTTCAATTAGTTTGCAAAAATTGATCAATGAAGCAAACCTCGCTGAGATATGAGTTTATTGTACCTCTCTTTTAGTTGTACATTTTTTATTACATTTTGCTATCATATCATTTCCAATATTATTAATTTTTTGCATGCACCATTCTTGTTCCCATCTCCGCCCTTATGCTCTGTGCATGCCTATATGTGACAGTCCGCACAACAGTACAACAGACCAGGCGGGTTTAATCAAAGACAGTCTGAGCCACCAATTAGGGTTGAAATAAAAGTGAGTTTTGGTGTGGAATAAAAAAAAGGCCTCTTTTATTGAAATATGAAGAAGATAAATAGATGATTAACCTTATGTTTTTGGGGACTATGGCATTTATTTCCATTAATTGTAAATGTTTTTTTGTAAGTTTACAAATGAACATAAGAATAGGCAGAAAGTTGCTAAAGAAAATCAGAGAAAAGTATTAAAAAAATTGTCATCAAGATATTCCAAAATGTGAAAGTTACAGAATAAACCCAAATGTTTGTGGATGACCTCATTTTACAATTGAAAGGAATGGTTTCTCTGTTTAGTAAAAAGAAAAATATGAAGATAAAAAAAATTGTGAAGTTCAAAATTTTTTCATGAGATTTGAAAATGAGAGAAATACCATATCTCCCTTTTTACTTTTGGGTCACATGATTCATTTCAAATACATTGAAGGAAAAAACCCATAGTAACATAACGATCCATTATTTTAGATCTTGAGGAAGAAAGTTGTAGAGTTGAATATGATGTGACATATTTGATTTTAATACTGGTATATTAACAGAGGACATATGATTTTTTTAAAGTGATATTCATTTAAAAAAAAAAGGTGGCATGCTACATGTAGACATATTATATGGCATGCGTCTATTATTTTGTACACAATTATTGCATCATATTTAAGCATGCATATGGTTTCATTACAGTTTTATTTGAGGCATTGTGTTTATTTTTATCACTAAAAGTACTTATTTTGTTTTTACTTTAGCATGGTTACAAGAAACATGCAAGTTTTCAAATGTGCACGTTGTAGATGTAGCATTACATTTTGTCTTTCAAATACATTTTAAACATGCAAAACTAGTTTGATCCTGAAATTGATTGTGTCTAGTTACAGAAAGTTTTTCTTAACATGTTAATGATTGGAACATAATTCAAAAATGTTTGCTACTTTTTTTTATGCTAAAGCTTAGATATAAAAATTAACTAATTATTGCTTTTCCTGATTCTCTTTTCCTTCTCGCCAATGCCACCCAAACTATCAAATTTGCTCCTTTTCACCCCCAAATTTCCAAACTGAGTAGAAACCAGTGCACACATCCATAAACTTTGGTAGCGCACCTGCTACAGACTCTGGCAAGGTGAGTACTAATGTCTAAAAATTATTTTCTTTAATGCATTATTTAACCCAAGCAGCTTCTAAAAACAAAAAGAAATAAAGTGTGTGCTTAAAACAAACCCTGCTTATTTATGAAAAATAGCACCTCTTTCTTGCTGTGTTCCTTCTGTCTTTCCCCAAGTGTGAACCAATGAATATTCTGCAGAGTGCTCGACATTTATACTTTATTTTCCTTTGCTTATATTATTGAAAAGAACTCATGTACTTCTTATTGACGTCTGTTAACCAAATTTCCAGTCAGTACATAATTGAGGTGTTTGTCAATGTGAATGTATTGTATTATGTATTAATATTTTCTGTATTTTTGTTGCTTTGTTTACATTACTTATATGTAGAGCGTTCATGAGGAAAATGCACCAAACATACATGTAATAAGAACTATGATTGATATTGAAAGATGTGAAGATCAAGAATTACCCTAAAATGAATCGCATCGACTACTTGATTCCCTCATTTCCTTTCATACATATAATACAGGGACTGTACTGGCCCAGTTTGATATATTTAATAACATATTTGAGGGGGGGGGGGGGGGGGGAGGAAAGAAAGAAAATGGATGAATGTTGTAGGACGAGTTTACTACCTCATTTGTTTGCTTCTTGGTGCAGTATCTAATCATTCCTGAACACGTTTTTGCCAAAGATGGTCTTTTAATTCTTCTAAAATTTGTTTTTGTCTATCTTTTCACTTTGTGCTTTATTTTTGTTTTATTTTTTGTGCTAATACACACCACCAGATAATACTCTTGCCACGCTCAGGGTATTACCAAGTATGTTTTTTCCTGAAATTATATCTTTGCTTTGCATAAAACCTGTATTGGGTTCTGTAGGGAGATGCTACATTCATTACTCTCATTTATTTATGGTCCATTCGATCTCATTCATTAAATTCGAGGAAGGGTTTCATAATTTCATAATCTTGGTAATCTTAAGCACAGATTTTCCCGCTATAATTCCATAGGAGCTTTGGTTTTATTGTCATATTTATTTTTCATTTTATTTTTTTATTTAATGTTTATGTTTAATCTGTATGATCATTTTTCTATTATTTTATAATTTGTTATAATATTCATTTTGTTGCTATTGTGATGGAGTTACATATCATTTATGTTATTTATTGACTCATATTGTAACCATTCACTTGTCTTATGGTATTTTTATTAACATGTCTAATATCTTTGATTCATCACCTTTTTTTTTTTGTTGATGGTGGAGGTTATGATGGTTCTGTACAGCTTTTAAATGTAACATTGTTTTATTGTCAATTTTTTTGTTTGTTTACTTTTTAATGATGAACTGTTTGTTCTACAGATTACTTACTTTTATTAGCATAAACTGGTCACTAAATTATATGGACATTTTGGTATTACAAGTGTTAGACCCACCAATTTTCCCTGACTTTTGATAACTGGTATATGTGTAATGCGTATTAATTAAAGCCTAAATCGGAATACGTAATTTTGCGAGTAGGAATCTTACATTTTTCATTGTTGCTAGACCCTTGACAAAGTTTGTCACTTTTTCCTTTTGTAAACTGGGGACAAAAGAGATCACATCAGAAGAGAAGAGAAGAGAAGTCACTTGTGGCTTGCCCATACAAACTAATATATTGAAATATCAAAAGAAAAAATTAAAGAAATTTTCTTTCTCTTTGAGTAGTCATGTGAGTCCTAAATGAATTAAATCAGGACATACACTGTAGTAGCTATCCATGTCATGTTATAAGTTAATGCACTTTTGTTTAATGCATAAGTATGCTTTTCGTTCTTGAATGCTGTTTTGTTTTCAACCTTAATACAAGTCCATTTCACCTGTAATGTTGTAAACATGCATGCTAAATTCCACATGTACATGTCTTCACACACTGACCTAACACCATTTCACTGTTTGAGTGCCAGAAGGATGTTAAAATGACTTTGTACACAATGAGGACTAACATCCTTCTGGCTCTTACACGTATCTAACAATGACATGTATGCTTTTCACCCGGTGGTAGACATGACTTTGTTGCACGTGGTGTACTGGTGCAGCATGGTAAAAAGAATAAGAGCAAATGATCTGTTCAGAGCTAAAAAGGTGTTAGATATTTATGGATATATAAACAGCATAAATGCATTAATGTCCTTCTGGCTCTAAACAGAGTAAATTGACATTTTGACAAATTGACCTGGGACTATACATTTAGTTCAACTGACTGACACAGTTTTATTCTTCATAACTTTTGTTTCGAGGTGAAAGTTGTCATGTTAAACATGAAAATTATGAAAATCCATATATGTTCATTCATAAAAGATATATATATATATATATATATATATATATATATATATATATATAAATATATATATTTATTTTCTTGGTTTTTCAAATTTGATTATTACATAGCACAGGCCTGATAAAAACCCGATTTAAATCGGTTTCCCGATTTTTTTAATTTTTCCCGATTTTTTCCCGATTTTTTTTTTCTTCCCGATTTAAAAAAAAAAAAAAAAAAAAAAAAAAAAGTTTTTTTTTTTTTTTTTTTTTTTACCAGATTTTTTTTTTCTTCCCTTTTTTATCCTGATTTTCCTGATTCCCCCCTTATTTTCTCTATTCTTCCCTATTTTGCCCTATTTTTTTCTCCCAATTTTCTTACTCGAAAGCGGGGAATGTTGTTAGATGCCGTTTTTTCCCCGCGAATCGCCTTTTTTTTTTTTTACTCAAGGGGGGCGTGGTTGAGGGGAAAACAAAAAACCTATTTTTTTTTTAGTGCTCACTATCACCCCTGATAGCAACAAGAATAAGGGACTATGTATCGAGTATACTATGTTTATAAAGATTTATTGGGGGGGGGGGGGGAACAAGATTTACCAATAAAAAAGTAGCAAATTTTCCAACCGTATGGCAAGATTTAGTAAAAATTTGTTAATAGTACGTTAAATTGCCAAAAAAAAATGAGAATCATTGGATGGGAAAAATAACGCTATTTTGTTTTTATTTTGTTTCCTCCTTCCCATCTTCTTTCCCATTTGTTTCTACAGCAACGCACCCATGTTACGTCCTCAAACGGCGGTGCAACCAATAACTCGGTGAGTGTCAGATTCTGATTTGGAATTAAGGTGTCCAGTGTTTCAGGAGAACCATAAATGTACATGTAATGTAACTAATATCAACCATTGAGATGTACATATACATGGACATGTTAATTCCAACGCTTACATGTACAAACTTAAGATGCAAGTAGATACCACTGTCATAGGATTTATTTATCGGGCTAATTTGATCATCTTTCTTCTTCAAATTGGCAGCACTGGAACTTTTCTGTTAGTGTTACATTTTTCTAATAAAGTGTCACGTCTGAAAACAGTATACTTGATTATAAACTATATATATCAAGAACAAGTTGGAAAATTGATTCCCCATCAAAATCAGAATTTTTAATCTCTTAACATTTTGCTAACGTAAGTATTTTTTAAAGAGTTTTCCTTTTCGTAATTACTGGCATCAAATGCGATTTGGTCATGAAACAAAAATAATCATTATCATTAACATTATCATCATCATCGTAGTAATAATAATATCAATACTCAGTTTTTATATAGTGCTTCAAAACTTTGGAGATTATTACCCCGGCTTTAGCTGTGCTGCCACTACGGCGCTCTAGCATTTCAAAGAATTAATTCCTGCCCGGTACCCATTTGAGTGTGGCAAATGTAGATAATTGTCTTGCCAAAGGACATTATCACCATCATCTTCATTATCATCATCCTCATCCTTCTCTTTGTTTGACACCAATCGCTCTCTCTATCTATCTGTCTCTTCACCAGGCGTCCTCCAGAGATTCTGACTGGGAGCCATACAAGGTGTCGTCCCAGCGTCACCTTGAGTGGGTCAAGCATGCTACCCTCCTCATGGAAGACCGCAACTTCCCCAGAGATGCGACCGCCATGAAGGTAAGAAAATGCCCCTCTCTCTCCGACATCATGTCCTTTATTTTCTTCATACTCCATAACCGTTTTAACTATAGAATGCCAGATAGAGTTTTTTAAGGTTGATTTTATACATTCTACTTATACACAATTTGTATTTCTTCAGGTGATTGGTACACTTTTAAAGTTGTGTATATTCGCTTTGAGTGAACTGTGCGACAGTGGTACGCAATATGGTAGGCCCTGTTTAAAGACATATTGGGATAAGAAAATTCAGTAGTCAACAGGTAAAGATAAAGCATGGGAGGCAAAAAAAAAACACCATTTTACTGAAGAGATAAATGGCAAGTGGGGGTTGATGAATGAAATAATACAAAGCCCTATTATCTGTGATCTGTCCGTTATATACCAATCTGTAAGATGTACTCTGGGTTTTGACTGTTGAAATGGATATTAATGAACAACAAAAAAAAGATCTATTACGCATGAGAAAATAAACCTTTTACATTTCTGTTTATGTTTTTTATCACACCACTGACGGATGTACTATACATGATTGAGCACGTAGGAATTGCAACATGTGCTGCTCCAAGCGAGATTAGCTTTGATATTTTATGGCAATATAGTAACGATGAGGTTTTTGATGTTGTTCATCTTTGTAGAACTTGCGTCGTGATTTCCAACGGTTCCAGACTGATGAGGTCCCCACTAAGCTTCAGGAAAAGAACCGTCTCATCGCAGACTTCAGAGCTCAAGAGGTGAAATATAAACAAAGTTAAAAAAAAAAAAAATGATTACAACTAAACTGAAGTTCCATGCTCGTTGGACATAAGAAATAGTAATGATTTTAAAGGAAAAAGGTTTTAGGTGAATTTTTCACATTGGGTACATGTACAGTAGTTCATTGCAGCAAAGTAGTAATTTTGTGGTTCGATGTACAAACTCTTCCGTTTGCTCTGGCCCAGACAAAATGACCAACAAGACTTTTATACATTTTATTATTGTGCAGGATGAGATTTTCAACTGAGGATATGAAAAAACATGTCATCCTTACAGAGATACATGAATATTCATGATATCACAGATATTCATGATATCTTTGTATTGGTATACAACAAATGGAAGAATTTTCCATATTTATGTCACAGATGAATGTCCATTTTGGTAGTTTAAGATTCACATCCATGTTGATTTTGTGATCTTAATTTTCTGACATTTTTTCATTTATGTTAAATCATCCTGCCATTTTTATTCCTTTCTTTCTCTAGCGCTCAATGAAGGCAACAGGCCACTTCCGTCCCCCGGTCGGCCTGCAGCCCAATGACATTGAGGATGCATGGAGTCGTCTCTCGTTGGCCCAGCAACAGAGAGATAACAACCTGCAATCAGAGGTCCACAAGTAAGTTCAGATCTAAATACTAGTCTGGTTTAAGACTGGACCTTGATCTTTTGTGGAGCATTAACACAGACCTACTACAGTCCAATAAAAGGTCCACGAGTCAGTCTTGTTCTACACAGAGACCCTGTGCAAGTCTTGTTCTGAGTGTAAGATTACTTTTGGTCTTATGACCAATCTTGATCTTTCAAGACCAGTAGAGTCAATCCAAATACAAGAGTTGTATATTCTTTGCTCTTTCAATTAGACAAAAATTTTAAAAATATAATTATAATTTTGTTGCTTTTCAGGCAAGGAAACATGGATTCCCTCGTTGATCATGTGACCCGCCAGATCGTCCAAGTCTCCAGCGATCTGGAAACCATAGAAACGCGCATCCAGGAATCCGACGGAAAAGCAGACAAGATGACCGCTACCGATGTCCGTCTTCTGATCGACGACATCGAGAGTGCATCAAAGGTAGGAATACTGTTCTTTGCACTCTAACATTGTACTTGTAATGGTCATCGTAGAGATGGACTGAATGAGCATGGCTAAAGTGTAAGATGAAAAGGACCAGTAAAGTCAAACCTGTTGAATGTTTCTTGAGTTAGAAAGTACATGTCTTTTTTGAGGGAGAAACACATTGAAGGTGACTACTATAGACAGGTGGCCTTTGATAGAGATATGTTCACTTCATGAAGGACAGGTTTGACTATCTATTTAAAGCTCCTATACATATTTTCTTTTAACTAACTATAGTTTTGCCATGATGGAATTATTCTGTTCTAGAAATTGATTTATTGAATGTGTGTAATTTGTTTTAATTTATAGACCTGTGAGAACAACATTCGTATCTTGGACAAAGAGGTCCAACAACTGAGAGATGGTCAACATTCCATGGCTCTGTCCCTAGCCAAGAGGTAAGACGGTAGACGATGAACAAAAGAGAAGAGTGGGATGGAGGTGGAGAGCTGTATTAGAGAGACAGCGAGAGAGAGAGAGAGGGATTGATAGAAAGAGTGAACGATAGAGATAATTCGTACTGAGGTAGAGGAAATTATCACTCCCCAAGAGTGTCTATGAAATAAGGAGAGAAATGAGGGAGAGAAATAGATGGGAGAGAATAGAGAAGTAGAAGGAGAGGTGGGAAGAGATTAGAATTGAGGAAAATTAAAGAAATGAAATAGAGAGATCAGGTGAACTTCTGTGACATATACAACAAATTTACGATACAGAAATACCTTGTTGATATATACATGTATGTAAATTGTTGCAAATATGTAAAAAAAGGACATTATGATAGTACCATGTCTTATACATGTAGAGAGTGCGAGAGAATTTGCAATGCGAACACTTATTCCTCACCCATGATGACTATTCCATCCAACAGGGTTGATGATCTCCAGAACAAACTCATGGCGGTGCGCAACTACCAGATCGCCGGCAAGACCCAGAGCGTGACCACCCGCACCACCGTCAAAGGGGAACAGATTCGCGTGGAGCGTCGCGTGCAGCTGCACACCGAACGCAGAATCGTGGACCCCAAGATCTACGGCTTCCTCAGTGAATGTTCCAGCTGGGTGCAGAGTAAATCTGTAAGTTGCCTCTCTGGAATTCTTCTTGAATTTTGTATATTAATTTTATTTGTGTTTTTATCATTTTATTGACACAGGAGAGCCTCATTCTTGCATGTAGGACCCTGTTAAAAAATACATTTAAGCTCATTCTGTCATTTGTTGTAAAGAAATTTTTGGCTCGGTAGATAAAGATGGCATGTTCAATCTTGTACTTGAAAACAAGTCAGAAAAAATCTAGGGGGAACCAGCAGGATTTGGCCAGCCATCTACTGCTTGCCGGGCAGCGACTCTACCTTGTTCATTACCAACTAAATCAAAGATTCTGGCATACCTGTACCTGATGATTGTGTGATGTTGATAGCTTTTTTTTTAGCTTGGATCTGACTAAATATAAAGGAAAATTACACTTGCGATGTTATTTACAATCAATGTTTGATATTACGTGGTAACATACATGAATGGGCCTCCAGATGACAGCATACCTAAGACCTTTCCCTTATCCTTACAAATTCTAGTGGTATTTTTTTTTTTTTTTGGGGGGGGGGGGGGGGTTCTGTAAATTGAATTCCTTTGTATATCTCCAATAGTTAAAAGTGTATTGATAGTGAAGAAAGCAGGGCAATTATTCAAAATTTACATCACTGATAGGTTATGTCACTTCTCTTTCCACTTTCCAAGTGTTTTTCTAATATTTTAAACCATAGAAATATATTGAAAGAGTGAACCTAGTCACTTAATCAAACAACTTATTTCAAATTTACATTACCAATCACTTCTATCTCTGTATCATTCCAGGTGTCTATCCGTACTGCCCATTCTGGTCAAGACTTGAACTCTGTCCAGACGTCCCTAGCCCAGGCCAAGGCTGACCTTCAGGTTGTCAAAGAGTTTGGGGTCAACATTGAGCGCTGCAGATCTGTCCAGGTAAAATAAGTGATAAATGCAATGATTTATTTGGGTAGTTATCTTTTACAGTACCATTGAGACCATTTTGTTAAGATTCAGTCTGCATATTCTTTGTTTGCAATTACTGTAGTCAAACTATGAGCTTCAAATATTTCTTTTACAAAGGGACATCGCAATGTAATCGCAATGTAGGCTAATTAACAATTAGCCTACGCACTCGCATTAGATTAGGGCGCACATGGAACCTAAGTAGGAAGCCAAATTCCGTGTGAGCCCTATATGCAGGGTTTGAAGGTTATCCTTTATTTTCTTTGTACTCCGTAACTGTTTACCAATAGAATGCCGGGTAAAGTTTTATGATGTTTATTTTTTGTACATTCTACTTGTTATCATTAATGATTCAGTTATTGACAGGTTTATTTTTCATCTCTCATTTTACTTGAACAGAAAAATCTGACTGGAGAGGATTTGCAACGCTACGTAGAGCAAATGAACAAACTGGATGAGGAGTATAGACAACTGATGGTATGAAAAATTGCTTATTTGCCTAAGCTGTGAATGTAGCTGCTATCTGTAATAATTGCCTTGTGCAACAAACATTTAAAATCTGCCCTGATTTAGTTTTATTTAGACTAAATCTATGATTGGCGGTGGAGGTATAATTGGGAGTCCTCCTTGACTTTGCAATGCACTTTAGTCCATTACTTGTAATTATTAAGTGTCTATTCATTAAAATTTATCATTATTATAAAAAAATCCACATGATTTTGTTTTATCTAGGACCAATCTGTGAACCGTGTTGGTGACATGGAAGCCCTGCTAGACTTTGTTCAAGCCGCTACCAAGGAACTGATGTGGCTGGATGAGAAGGAGGAGATTGAAGAGTCGAGGGACTGGAGCGCCAAGAACATGGACATTTCTGAACTTGAAAAGTACCACAAGGTAAACTGACACAACCTTCTTCTTCTTCTGATTAAGTCTGCCTCCTTCAAATTGACTGAAGATTCTTGCAAACTATGCTTTTGAGTGTGTGAACCGCAATTTACGTCAATTTGAGTGCTATTTACATTAAATACAGTTTATTTATAAATATTTACAAGCTCGGGGGTCACAGTGCAGATCCGGTCGCGCGCGATTTGCAGTGAATCTTTTCCCCAGTTTCCTATACACGGCGAACTTTCCCTTCCGGGTAACAGTTGGCCGTGCATTTGGCCCTGCGTGCGTTAACTGTGAGAAAAAGGCCCCTCCAGAGCAGGGCCAAATGCGCGGCCAGTTTGGATTCGCATTTGGCCTTTTGCGCGTTTACAGTGCTAGGCCGGGCCGCGGCTCGGCCCACCTTTTTGGCTTACTGTAAACTGGGTCTTAGTCAATGTTTGATTGTCTTCCATGCTTCCAGGGCCTAGTCAAGGAATTAGAGATTGGTTTATTAGTATCCATTTACAAATTCCAAATTCTATTTCCTGTAATACATGGGACTCATTACAGTTCCTCAAGTATTGCAACTGTGAACAAGGTAGATAATATATAAGTCGCTATCTAAATAATTGTGTTAATCTATGTTTTCTATCAATGTTCATATTTAACAGAGCTTGATCAAAGAAGTTGAGATGCGTAAGCGTCAGTTTACAAGTGTCCAGCAGCGTGGAGAGAAGATGGTCATGGATAGACATCCCGCTACAGAGACAATCAGTGTAAGTCATTACAAACAACTCTTATTAGCTTGGGATCTAAACCCCTCTCCCCCCTAAAAGTTTGATAACTCAAGTTTGATGGATTATTTGTCTCTTGTCATGGCATAATCATTGCTATGTTGGGTGTCATTAGAAAATGGGTTTATTCCTCTTTAAAATGAAAGCCCAGCTTTTAGGATTTATGATTTGTGATATTTTTAATCTCTGGAATCTTCATTTTTCTTTCTTTAAGATGTTTGGTTCCCTGATTTCATGCCTAGATATCGTAATCTAATTAAACCTCAAATTTGCTTTTCCAAGTTAAACAAACAACAAAGTTCTTGTGTCAAAAAAGTATAAATTGCCAATCATTTTTCTTCTTGCATATGTGCAGGCTTACCTATCTACGATGCAGGGCCAATGGAACTGGCTTCAGCAGCTTCTTGTCTCCCTAGAAACCCATCTGAAATACGCCGCCGAGTACCACCAGGTGAGCCCCTCCCTCCCCCGCTTTACCCCCCTTCTACCACTCCCACCTACACCCTTTCAAACATGTATTACCTTTCCTTGCTCCCACTGCTCATACTTTCTTTTCAAACACTCCCATGTATAAGTTGTATATGTCTGTTTCTTTATTTTTTCTTGCACCCTTTATTACCTCTCATAATTGTCGCACTTTGTGCTCCTTCTTTGTTAATTCTTGCCGTGGTTACCTGTCATAATAGTACTCCTCTCACGAGATCCGTTTTGACCTATCTTTATGAATTCTCTTTGTGGTGTAATATGTGCTGTGTTTCTGTAAAATGTTTAAAAAAACGCTCTCATTTTGTATTATTTTCTCAGCTGTTCATGCTATTGTTCTTCCTATATACAAACACATACTTCCTTTTGCACCAAATACCACACTTTAGCTGCTACCCAAAATGTCTTTATGTTGTACAATATGTTTCACTACCCAATCCATGCACTTCAAAAGTTCAACAACTTGAATATTTATTTGATTCAGTCATATGTTGTTGGTTTTTCTTTTCTAACTTGTCTTTGATGTGACAGATTTTATTTTGTTCTAATAATTGAAGTGTTTTTTCCCCATGTTTGATCAGATTTTGTGGTCATATTTTGTCTTATTTGATTGCAATTGTTCCATGTATTAATTTTGCATTGATTGTTTTTATACTGTTTTTTTTCAAATGCATGGCCTTTTGTTTGCATGTACTTGTCCCCTTACAAGTGCATGTATTATAACATTTGAACATTTACACATGATCACCGCAATTTTGATGTAACAATCAGCATTATTGAAATCGTATCACATGCTCATGACATTGTCCGCAGCATCATTCAAAATTGATCATCATGTCAGCTCTTCATCATTTAAACATTTTACGATGGAGATTCAAAAGGGCAATAGGTCTTTCAATAACTTTTATTTGTGGACTTATGCCCTTCTTCATCCTGGTCGATTGCAGTTAGTAAGGTATAATTTATCATGTCATCATCATTCTCATTACCATGTAATACTTTTTACAAAATCATGAAATGAACAACAACAAAAACCACAACAACAACAACAACAATCACAAGAACAGAAATGTTCTCAAGACTTTCAAGATTCAATCACCTACAAATTCACAAATGATGTACATGTACCTCCATGTAAGGTTGTACTTGTATATATATTTATCTTAAGCGTGTTTGCATGTGTTTTGAGCTTTGTTGCATTTGCAGATGTGTATTTTGTTTTGCATGCTGCATGTAATAGTATGTGTTTTGGTTGGTGTCTTTTGATGGATTTGGTTTGATTTCGTTTGATATGAACTGTCTTGGTATGGAGATTTGTTGATTTTGTGATGGATGGAAAAAGAGGAAAAAACAAACAAATCATCCCCAAACTATTTGAAAATGGGCATCATATTCAAATATACAAAATCACCGCATAGACATTCAGCACTTCATATATGGAGAAAAAAAAATCATATGACATATCTCCATACATTGCATTTGAGTTAAAAATATAGGGGGAGAAAAAGATACCTTGGGGGAAATACAGAAAAAGTTTATACATATAAATTGCATACTTTACAATTTGGGGTAAAATGACCGAAGGGTTTTTTCCTGAAGGGTTTTTACTCCCGTTGCTGGTGAATTTTTCCTTCGTCCATCCTCCATCTTGCAACATCCCATTTCACACGTTCCCGTCTGCATGTGTTAGTTGCCACGGTGATCCTCATCCCTGCATGGTTTTAGTTGTTTATTTTGATTGGTAAGTTAGAGTGGTAGTGTACTTTCGGCTTTGTTAGGCCTCACCTTTAACGGTAACGATAAACTGAGTGCACATATAAATGTACCGATAACAATAATGATAAAAGTGGTCAGGCCCCACAGATTTTTGCAACAATAAAATTATTGGTTCTACCAATCAAAAACTATGGATAATGGATTTTATCGTTGAGGCTTGTCCTCTAGAGAATGCTCCCTGAGCGATCTCAACAAACAACAAGGTGATAGATTTGTTGAGGGTGGCTCATTAGCTTAAATTGTTGGGGTCTGACCTACAACGATTTCCAATTCATTTTCCGCGTGAACAACAGGAGACAGATTTGGGAACGTTTTATTGTTATACGTTTAGTTATCATTATCGTTATCGATATCGGTGAGGTCTTACCAGGCCTTTAATGTTTATGTAACCATATGACTTAAAGTTAAACTCTAACAGTATGTTAAAAATCAAAGAAATAAAAAAAAAACCTTGAAATTAAATGATCTGAAAATCACTTGTAGGGATACAAAAATTGTAAAGGCCATTTCCCTAATGTTATCAAATTTAATGAATAAACTTTTGTTAAGTGCCTCGTTAGAAATTAATTCATCCACCTGTCAGGAATAATTGTATCTAAATCGGCGGACAGTGAGTGCGGATTATATACATTAATTGTTGCTAGGTCCAATCAACATTATAGATTGCCTTACCTAACAACACTTGATGTATGCAATTTGCATTCTGACTATTGAACTAGAATTATTGGTAACAAGTGAATGGAATAATCTGAATGAGGCACTTCACAAATTGCATTAAATCTAATAGCGTTACCAAAATGGTCTTGTGCATTTGTACATACACCTCAGTCACTTCGCAGTATTGGACACTAATACTAATAGTAAGAAATTGTTTATTCATTCTATGATTGGTCCAGTAATGTAGTCACATGTACAGTGTACTTCTGTAGAGTATATAGACATGTTATTTCAACTTTTAGAGGATGTCTTTGAACAAACTTTGATTTTTCTCGTACTGTTGGAGCTAAACTTTATCAGCTCTTATATTAGTTTTTGAATATACTCCTTCACTCTTTAATCCCTTTGCTACATTTATATCATTTTATCTTCTCATGCAATCTAGTCTTTTATATATATTCATCATACTTTCATAACACTTTAGAGAAATAGCCCCATTCTCATTGGTCATTTGGATAATTAATTCATATGACATTTGTTTTAATGTATGTTATAAGCTACATAGATTTTAAAAGGAACATAGAAATAGTAGATTTCCATGAAAATGATGAATTGATTGCACTGAAACATCAAATCTGAAAGAAATGATGAGTTTATATAAAAGACAGGATTGTCAAGAATTAAAAAAAGATTTTGTCAAATGTGTTGCACTGGTGTAGTTTGAAGGCACTAACTTATGATTAATTTATTGTTTTAACTTTTAATACATTATTTTTAAACATATGCATGCATGCATGTGTGTTTGTTCTACAAATGCATGTAAAAAATAGATGGATTAATTACTCATATCATATATTCAAATATTATCTGACTAAAGTTTTTGAATGTAGACAAGTAGTGCTGTGATCAGATTTTAGCACAGAATTAGCTCAATAATTTGGGAATGAATTTACTGTATTTTTCTTCTCAATGCTCTAGGTTACAGATAATTGTAAATGTGAAGTAGTTAAATAGATATACATATTTACACACACATACATGTCTACGCACATCGTGTTTACAAGTGAACTCGGAATGTCATATTAATCACATCATTTTATTTTCATTAATATATTTCATAGCATGATAATGATGTTTTATAGTTCAGGGACAGTTGATTGAAACTTAAAAAAAAAAACATTTGTATCCCACATTTCATATTGACACCAATAGTATTAATAATCCATTATCAGTAATAAAAATCTAACAACAATCAATTAAGTATATTATTACAATTTTTAAAGTACAGGTCCTCACGCAATAAATCTAACAATATTGAAACATCATTATTTTCGTTTTCAAAATTAGAATTTAATTTTCTATTTTTGAAGGAAAGTTTACCAGAAATAATGAGTTAATTTGTAGTTGCTTTTTAGTTAGCAAGGGTAACTGTGCGTTCAAGATTCAGGTATTTTAATGTTAGCCTTTTGGAGATAAATCTCTCACATTCAATCTGAAATATGTAAAATATGCTTTCAAATTGCACATGCCCGTAGGTAGAATTGTGGGCGGTTATACAGAGAAATTGTCTTAGAATATATGGCTTACAATATAAATGACTGAAAATAAGACCGGTAGGCACATTTATCTTCCTACGCATTGTAGTATTCTTGTATGGAATTAATTGACAGACAGCTACATGGACACATGCTTGATACATGTTATGCTTTGTTGTGCTTAGATATGGTGCTATAGTTTTGAACATGCTTTGGGTTTGGTTAAGTTTTCATAGTCAAAAGGTGCAAGCATTTTAGGTAGGTCTACTCCTATTGAAAGTTATTAGAATTTGAACTGTGCACATTTGCAAAAATATGATTTTAGAGAACAAACCATCCTATAAGAATTGTTTTTTTAGAAAAGAACAAAATGTGTACATGTACATATATCGGTATATAGTTCTGCCATACCAATGTGCGTTTTACTTTATTCAAGTCAAGGGAAATGCATGAACAATAGGGCTTAAATTATTTGATTTTATAGAACAGACTACATCCATTCTGTTACTATTTCAACTTCTTTGCTGACTTCAGTTGTGGTTTGTGGATTGACACTCTTTTTCTTGCCTTGTAGTTCTTCCGAGACACTCGAGAGTGTGATCATTGGATGGGTAGACAGGCCGAGCTTCTCAATGTCAGATACGATCGCCAAGATATCAAATTGGAAGAGGCTGATAAGTTACTACTAGAGTTAAAGGTAAGGAAAAGACTTTTTAGATCATAAGTTTTGGACTGCATTCTTCTTTTTTCTTTCCAAAGGCTAAGAAGAACGGTTGTTAGTGTTGTCAATTTTTTACAATTCTTAGCTTAAAATATCATGTTGAGTTGTTTTTTCTTGTATACTGTCAGTGCCAACAGGCAAATTTGTTTGCTATTTATATGTAACTTCAAAATTGGTATTGTAGTCATTAATATTATCTTGGAGAACAGCGACTGTGATCCAGTACACTCACCTTGCTTCTCCCAAAAAATGTAGAGATTCCATCCAATTTCCCATATTCCATTCCCTGTTACAGTGTACATATATTATTTAAAAAAAAAATATATCATGACCTTTGCTTTAATGCCCCACTGCACTATTCATAGCTACTTGTGCCCTCTATATAGCTAATAATACCAAGTTGGTGACCATTGGTCCCCCATGATCTCCTTTTTCTTATGTTAATTGAGAGCTGATTTGATGAGATAACCACCTGTCAGTAACCATGCAGGGAGGTCTAATTCCTCCTGGTCAAACTAGTGCAGATAGGCTTTAATATGTATAAAACCAATACCTTTTCAATTCCACTATTAAAGAGGGTAACGTTGCAAGAACTAACTATTCTGTATTCATTTTGACTTTCCTTTCTAGGAGCTTGAGACACGCCTGTCTGAGTACAGGGTGATCGTACGAGACCTGGTAGGGAGGGGCGGGAAGATAGTACCTCTCAAGAAGAGAAGACAGAAGATACATTCCAGCATACCGGTGACTGCAGTGTGTGATTATGCAGGCATCGACGTGAGTAACATCATCATCATGGCAATCATTGATTTACCCATTATTCAGAAGTTTTGTTGTTGTTTGAAATATAATATATGGATGTGACGCTGCTTTGAGGACTATGCTGTAATTAATATTATTTGTTATCTCAAATAGGAAGCATTGTTTAGTTACTGTATACCGACAGTGTATGTCTCGAGATAAAAGATCAATACATTTTGTTTTGTTGGTTATTAGGGCATTGATAGAAATCATTTAAATCTTTGTTTCACATATGACATCTGAGATATTTGAATGGGCATATTCAATAACTTTTTTTTAAAATAGATATTCTTGTCAAAATCACATTAGAGAGTGCTATTCTCAGCCGTTAGTTTTCGATAGAAACCATGGTAGGATTTTAAACTTTAACAGACAGAGCTTGAGAAGACTTTAGGTTCCAACCCAATGGAAATGCACGTAAAAAATATTGAGTTATACTCTCGCCAAAAGGACACATTTGTGAGAAATTGAGATTTTTAAAAACTTTGTATTTCTGCCTGCCTTCAGATTCACATTCAGAAGGGAGAGAGGTGTACCCTGACTGATAATTCCCACCGTATGAAATGGAGAGTCGTGAACAGCCTTGGTCTAGAAGGCTTTGCTCCAGGAGTTTGCTTCCTCATTCCCCCACCGAACAATGAAGCTGTAGATCTAACAAATAAGTAAGCAACCTCACCTTCAATAAGGGATATAATTGTTTCTTTTATAAAAAAGATGCTTTCTTGAACTTTTATTTTTCAAAGAACTTTCTGTGTTGATTCAAAAGGTAGGCTTTACAGTGTGCATCACCTTTACCCTGTATAAATTCAAGTATTTTCATTTCAGGTATTGGGTCAATGTTCAATTTTATCCTCCTAACAATTATTACACAGTATTGCACCTTGTCAAGGTTGGTAATTTATAATCTCTTTTGATGCATTCCAAAACGTGTAAAATGTTATGCCATTTGAGCAAAATTCTAACAGAAATTTTAATTTCCCATTTTCATTGGCGTTTTAAGATTTTTATTGATCAATTGTAGAATGTACCACAATTAATTTTAACCATCTTGTACATAAAGTCATTGTAGTCATTAATGAGTCCATGAAACACATTTCATTTTAGATTGGAGGATCAGCTGAATAGGTTACTAGCGTTGTGTCGCTCCAAGCAAACCAAGCTGAGAACATGGATGAGCCAACAGCAGATCTCACAGGGTGTGGAGACAGTCAGACAGTGGACATTAGAACAGGTAGGTTGCAAACTGGGTTGGACTGAATACTGTAAACATGGTATACTGATTATTGAAAACTGAACACTGAACTCTGAATTCTGAAACTGGGCCAACCAGAAATTACTTGACCTAGATAGGGATGTCTCAATTTAAGTCATGATATTAATTTAACTCAGCTTGAAAAATTAACACCAACATGAACTTGAGGGAATGAGTTCCAGTATTAAACTTACCTGCAGGTAAGCCCGTTAGGACTTGAAGTACTCAATTACTTGATCTTATTTTTAACATTTTAGTATAAATGAACTGCATCAAAAAGTAAGTTTTTCTATTCTTTTTAACGTTTAGTTTGAAGGAATGGAGCCCACTCAACGTCAAGCAACCATTCAGAAGCTCAACCAAAGCAAGCAACAGCTGGAAGAAGTCGCAGCAGCTACCCCTCAGAGAGAAGTCATGTCGGTTCGACCAGAGGTCATCAGTCGACATCCCCAGGTTGAGGTTGACGCAGGGGTCAGGGGTCGTGAACCCGAGGTCATAGGTCGACAGGAGGTCACGGAGGACTTCTTGAATCAGGATCTTATCAGGGAGGTTGAGAGCTGTAACCAGCTCATTGATGAGATGTCAGCAAGGACTCAGAAAGGTAAAGATCTCCAGAAGATTGTTCAAATGTGATAAGATCCCTAAGACCTGTACATTCGCACCCTCCTTCTTTTTAAAAAATGATATAAATCATATAATTTTTATAGCTTATGACAAGCCCAATGAATTCTATAGTTAGATCCAGTGGGAAATTGTAGAACATGTAAGCAATATACTTATCTCAACTTTTTTCTTGTAACTAATGCCTGTCATAATAGTAATAATCTTTTCCAAGACAAATTTTCGGATGTATTTCCCACTGATTCATATATTTTTATCATTATAGAGCCTTTTACTTACACTTTATTTCATTTGTCACTGATTTAATGATATTCAGGTGCTACAACTGATGTAGAATCTGGGAGATTACTCGGTGACATTGATACCATGATGGCTAAACTAGAGAAAGAAGATTCTGCCATGAGTTCCAGAGACCAGGGCCCACTTCCAAGAACTGCTCCCCAAGCAGATACTACATTCCAAGAACATAAGGTATGTTGTATCTTCGGCTGTGAATTTAAGGACTTGACTGCCAATCATCCCTGTCTCTGAAGAATGATACCTATTATTAACCTTGAAACTACTGTAATGATCCATCTATTTTCCTCTTTTAATATGAACTTAATTACAAAAAAATTACAAACTGCACTGTATTTCTTAATTTTTGCCTTGAGAGATTCCTAATTTTTGTTGTGGAATGTTGACTTTTTTTCTGGATACTTGCTTGTTCAATACTACTAAATGTACAAGTGTTTGTGTAATTTAGGTATTTTGTTGTTGTTGTTGTTGCTGAGGGGTGGGGGTAATTTCCTTAGAGATGTAAACCAATCCTCAATTTTCAAGATGATAGTGGAAATTGGGATGAATGAAGTCGACAACTACAACTGAGAAAGAGAAAGAAGAGAAGGGATACATGAAGATGACATATTTAAGAAATAAAAGATTTTGAAGACCATCAAGAAGTTTACACAAGATAAGGAGAAAAATGGTAGAAAATATATAAGAAGAAAAAAGTAGGTGAAAGAAGCAAACAGTTAGGAATAGTCCTAACTGATTTGGCTGCTGAATGCTCTTATAGCCCATGCCTCACTTAAGCAATGGGATAGTACTGTTTCAAAAAGTATTTGTCACTTTACATACTCAACATGTCTATCGGAATAAAATACGTAATGAAACCTTGATCAACCCATAGAAATCCCATGCGGTACTGACCAGCGACCAACCAAAGTACGACAGTCTCATCCTTGCTTGTGATCAGCTCCTGGCTGGCAAGAAACCAAAGGAACTCAAAGATGTGAGGAAGAAGAAGGAGAAACTAGAAGAGGCCTGGGAAAAGACCATCTCACATTCATACACATCAACACAAAGGTAAGGCCGAGTTACTTCTTAGATCAAAGTTCAAGGGGAATCCATTCTGTCATGAATGTTGCTTAAATGTAAGAATGAGAGAGAATGATTAGTGAAAGTTTGAGAAAAGTCCTATAAAGAATGATATACATGTCGTCATGAAGTTTTTTTTAACTTGCAATCAACTGAACATTAACTGGCAACTCTGAGATTTAACTTTCAAGCACCTTCTTCATTTGTTCTGTTGTTCAAATTTCATATATTTTTCTTTTCTCCAAAGAAAATATCTAATTAAGCACCTGTACCTGTATCCCAGATTTTCATTTACATAACTATATGACACATGTTTCCACACACCTTCTCTATAAAATAGATCTATTCCTTCATCAACGACTAAGAAAATAAAATTTTTGTTGTCTTGGTTACCCCCTCAGAATGTCCCTCATGGCTGACCTTCTTCCAAACTTGACCCGGGTCGAAGAGTTCCTCACCAGCTGCGAAAATATCCTCAGAGGTCATGACCCCATGTCATGTGACCTAGACAGACATCAGGCCATCTCTGACCAACTGCAGGAATTACAACGAACACTGCCACCATTCCAACCCGTGGTTGATCAGTTGAACTCGGACCTGAAGCACGTCCGAGAGACCATGGAGGGCGCCGTCAGAATGGAAGCTGACCAGCTCCAGCAGAAGGTCCAGTCAGTCAATAACAGATGGGAGGAGGTCTGCTCCCAATCACACCAAAGGTAGGATAGAGGGATGGAAGGAAGGAAGGAAGGATAGATGGAGGGAAGGATAGATTAATGGGTGAATGGGTGGAATTGATAGATAGATGGATAGGTGGATGGACAGATGGAGAATACATGGATGGATGCACAGATGGATGGATGGATGGAGGGAGGTTTGGATGAATAGATTGGAAGATAGATAGATAGGTGGATGAAAGATCAATGGATGGAGAGAGAGAAAGAAAGATGGAGCTAGTTTTAAAGATAGGAAAGCAGTGGAAGTAAAATATAAAACCATAAATCAAAGACATATAAACCATAATCATTAAATAAATGCCCTTTGTTTTCTATCTGTTGACAGATTAGAAAAGCTTGACCAATCTGGCGACACCCTTCACCAGTTCAACGACCAGATGACCAGCGAGAGCAACTGGATCTCTGCGGCCGAGGTCACTCTCATGGAGTTCAGTCATGTAGCTCGGGACCAGCTCAACCTTCAACAGCAGTTCATTGCTGCTCGGGAGTTTAACCAGGAGGTTGCAATGCATGAACCCAGGATACTGAATGTGAACGAGGCCGGGGAGACGTTCATTACACAGGCAGAGGTTAGTCAATCAATCATTTGGTTACTTGTTTAATCAATCAGTCGATCAATCTATCAAGCAATCAATCAATCAATCAGTCAGTCAATCAATTAATTGGTCAGGCAGTCAGTCGGTCAATCAATCATTTGGTTACTCATTTGACCAATCAGTCAGTCAATCAATTGATCAATTAATAATTTGTCAATCAATCAGTCAGTCAATCAATTAATTGGTCAGGCAGTCAGTCGGTCAATCAATCATTTGGTTACTCATTTGACCAATCAGTCAGTCAATCAATTGATCAATTAATGATTTGTCAATCAATCAGTCAGTCAATCAATTAATTGGTCAGGCAGTCAATCGGTCAATCAATCATTTGGTTACTCATTTGACCAATCAGTCAGTCAATCAATTGATCAATTAATGATTTGTCAATCAATCAGTCAGTCAATCAATTAATTGGTCAGGCAGTCAATCGGTCAAGCAATCATTTGGTTACTCATTTGACCAATCAGTCAGTCAATCAATTGATCAATTAATCAATTAGTCAATCAGTCAGTCAATCAATCATTTGGTCAGTCAGGCAGTCAGTCGTTCAATCAATTGATCAATGAATGAAGTCATAAAAAAATGAACCAATCAATTGTTCAATTAATCAGTCAATCAATTAGTCTATCTATCAGTCAGTCCACATGACTATGAGGGTTGAGAGATACATTGTTTGATTATGAAGTTGAAAAAACTTGTAAACCTTACATCTGATAACTTTCTGATCACCTTCTAAGGCTTCGATATCTTAATTAACTTTGTTTGAATATTTTATTTTGAAAAGATTAGTACTTTTTTTGCTGCTTTATTTTAGTTGAAGTACAAGTATGTCAAAATTACAATAAGAAAAAAAATCTACACAAAATGTCATGATTTTCATTGTTTGCAATATCTTCTTTATTGAACAGTCCTATGATGCAGTACTTGAAAAATTCAGGGCCACGATGGAGAACCTTCATGGCCCTTCCCCTCCCAAACATGCCAGAATGCATCGAGGTGCGGAGGTAGCTCGCCAAGAGCTTGACGCCCTTAACAAACGATACAGGGAATTGGTGGCTACCGTCACGGAGAGAGTGGATAACATCAGTGCTGTCGGCAAGAGGGAGAATGTGAGTAGATATTATTTTCTTTTTCATTCTTCTTTCCATCATCGATTCCTCTTGCATTGTAACATCTGCATAGCTTCATGAAAAGTTGGGTCAAGGATTCCTGTATCGTCATTGGTAAAATCAATCGTAGATTCTTGATAATATATTTCACTAATACTGGGATGCCATCTGAATCAGTCACCAGTGGTGGATGCACAGGTGGATTCTCTCTTTTTATCCATTCATCCAGTTATCTAAATGTATAACAAATTAACAATCTTGTATGTGTAGAGTGGCGATTGAAATCAATCCGAACTGACTCAATTCTATTACAAATTTATATAAAACATGACCCTGAAATCTGTCCATGAAGAGGCAGTAATATTAGAAATGCAGTTCATTAATGATAATATACTGAAAATGGTCTCCAATTTTTAAATGAAATGTTGTTTTTCAATTTCATCAAGCAGTGTTGCCTTTACAATTGTAGATAATTTAGATATAGGTCAAGCTCATGATCTATGGTATTTTGCTTTCAAAGTGTGTGCCCATGCCTATATCATTGTAGTTGATGAAGCAGAAATTCATTAATCTAGGAAAAATAATCTACTAACCATTAAATGTGTGATGCAGGGATATATTAATTATTTCCAAAGCTAGTTTTTTTACAACATACATGAAATTCTTGCTATAAAGTGCCATTGCTATAATGATTGAGCAGACATTTGCTCAGAACTTCTTCTGTCATCCTTAAAGTTTTCTTAAAGTTGCATGAACTTGTAACTGTCATGAGCAGTACCATGAGGAGTTTAAAGTGATTATAATTTATATTTTGGAGCAAGTTACATGAATGCCTGATACTGACGCCGTTATAAGACATCTTTATTATGAAGTGACTCACTCTGTACTTTTAACAATGGTTAACTGTAATATAGACAAATCAGAAAGACACACAAGAAGAGTTCTTTTCTGCTATTCTAACATCACTTTAATGAAATACATTTACATGTCTTCCATACTTTCCTTGTATGAGGATTCTGTCATCTTTTGCACCATTTCTCAAAGACAATTAATCAAAATTGTCCCCTTCTGTTCAAAATCAATGCAAAACATCTACATCAATACAGACTTCCATCAAATTTTTGTGACATATTTTGTAGTGTACAAGAATGTTTGATGTATATGTACTGTATAGTACAAGTACACTTCATTGCTTGTGTTTGCCCTGTTTTATACATGTTAGTGTGTACATGTACATTTAAATGTACTTACATTTATTGTGAAACATATTCAGAGGTTCATACTTTAATACGTGTATGCAGTAATCTTGAAAGGGGACAAAAATGGGACACGTTTGTTAAAAGTTTTCTTGAATGACCCACAACTACATACATATTCACATACCACATACGGCCATTGCAGCAATCGGGCGATGGAAGAACTTCATTTAATTTAATTTAATTTTAATTAAGGAACTTTACATAACTATCTTGATCTAAGGAGACACGAACGAATGAATGAATCACCTTTGTAATTCACTGTTTACAAACACAATACATACATTAACTACAGGTTTATGCATGAACAGAGTATATATTACCTTTATATACATATATACATGCTATCCAAACCAAATGTGAAATCATTACATTGTTTCATGTTTGTGTGATGTTGTCTATTTTGCTGTTCTGTCTAATTTGTGAAATACAGTTATAACAGAAAATTATGAATAACAGATATATCATAACATGTACATTTGTGTAAAAAATGGTACTTTTAACAAGGAAAATTCTATATTACAAGCTCTATAAACATTTCTGTGCTAAGTCATCTATAGACCTTCTGCTTCCAAATCATGAAGGTGAGTTATGACCCTTTACATCTAACTTGTCATTTGATGCAACTTCATCATTGCTTTCACTGCCACTACCATTGCCACTACTACCACAACCGCTACCACTTTTGCCTTCATAGCCTTTTAATGCTTGTGTTACAACTACCTGTTTATAAATATTAATTTTTAGCCAGGCAACACAGTTTCCCTATTTATTTTTGCTTTTATTTGTTATTATTTCATTACCCTTTTCGCATCAGAAAAAGGCCATTGTAAGTTAATGCATGTAATTTTTTAAATCCTGTTTGCTATTAGTTTAATATTTTGGTGGAATGCTGTAATGTTGAGAGTACCGGTAAAACAAGTAGAAGAAGATTTAAAAATTAACAAATTTTGATGAGCATGCTAAATTCTGACTAAACTCCTCCAGATGTTATTCTAGGGAACAAGTTTGAGATGCATTATCGCACGAATGTATTGTACTTGCATGGGAAAAACTGAAAAGAAGACACTTCATTATTATGAGATGTTCATGGAAAGCATGTACCCTACTTTTAAATAATATTTGTTTTTCTGTCAAGATTCTCCAGAAAAGAGAGACGTAATTTGATTCTCTGGCATATTCAATAAAAGAAATTAGTCAATTTGTTGCTGAATTAACTAAATTCCACTGATAACAATAACATTCTGCACTACCCATTGTCAGTAATACAACACACATTCTTATATCATTATAGAGTGTTTAATTTACTAATACATGTAAATTATGATAACAATTACTAAGAAAGCAAACTATGCATGATGCATGTGAGACCAGTGCATGTTAATAAGACCGTAGGTGATAAGGATAATAATAGTAAACATGGATTGACATGTATCAAGTGCTTTTGGGCGCAGATGCGAAGCACTGAATACTGTATTACAACATCTATAGCTTAGCTTTCATGTTAATACACTCATGCATGCCAAGACTATTTTTTTCACCGAATACATAAACATTACTAGCTCATTGATGTTCTTTAAAGGGATATTAAAGAAATTAAATCAATAATGCAAGAAGACAGTATGTGAATTAATGAAAGCTGGTATTTGTTTTATTTATTTATTTTGTTTTTGGAGGGGGGGGGGGGGGGGGAATGACATATAACATGATGGTGATATGTGAAATAAGTAACATATCATGCATACTGACAGAGAAAGAAGTTTCAGACATACATGAACATGGATCTGCCATGCTTCTAATTTATACATTTTTTAAAATATGTAATTAGTTGCATGTATTGTGGTCTATATACATGTATACATGTACATGTGTATGTTTCTTTTTATATAGTCTGTTTACACTGTTCAATGTCAAACAAACACATCAAAGTACTATAGCATTTTGACAATACATTGAATGTACACTGTGTATTATCCTGTAGCAGTTCAGTGTTTCCTTAAAAAGATTTTTGTAGATTTTTGTTCAACATGCTATGAATTGCACATTATTATTGAGAAGAGCAAAAATTACAAAAATTTTCGCCCAGTAGTCCATTTCTACTGCAGTAAATTGTGCTGATCGTGTATACAAACAATTTAAATTTGAATAATCATTCAAATCTCTAAATCGGCAATGCAATGTACAATTGATTTCCTCTAGTCTTGTGTACAAATTGCCAACCTTTTGGTGTAATTTTGTAATTTTCATTCACTTTGGCTTGCACAAAATACATTTTTATTAAAAAAAACTCTATAGGAGTAGAAAATAAGAGAATAGGAGCCAATTTAAAAAAGAAATCTGATTTATTCAGAAAGTAAGAAAAATCCTGCTGTGTGTTACTTACTGTCTTTGGTCGATGTGAAATCACTCTCAGGTTAAACAAATATCATGTAGTCAGCTGTTTGTTTGACTTTCTCTAGACCTTGCAATTCCATTTGTACTTGTTTGCAAACAGTTCATCATATATTTAAAATGAATATAATGAATATATTTTTTTATTGACAAAATATTCTATTGACAAGATATTCTATAACTGAAACAAGGCATTAAAATATGTAAAAAGACCCTTATTATTTTTTGAAGATAGTTGAAACAAAATGCAAATGATGCCCTTTGATCACATGAATGATGTGTAATAGTTTCCCACAAATATACTGGTGTTGCAGAAGATGTTTAACAGTATTTCTCCTTTTTCTTTATTCTTTAATAGATTGAGCTTCATGCTTCTCCAGAGATGTACAAATCATTCTCACCAACCCGCCAGAGCATTGTAACCAAGAAAGTCTTCGAAGGATTGCCTAAACAACGCAGCCAAGCCTTCTTGACCTTTGGCGGGTCAACCCCTGTACAGCCTTCTGCCAGTGGAGGGAGCTATAACCTGCGCGTGAGGATGGAGGCTCCAGCTGGGAAACCTCAAATGATTGATCCGTATGTGGAGACCATGATAGCTGAGACACGACTAAGCCAGGATCAGTCAAGTCCAAGTGCGAGGGGTGATGGAGGATTGGCTAGCCAAGCCTTCCTGACCTTCGAGGGCAGCCCAAGCCTTGTACAGCCTTCTGCCGGTAGAGGGAGCTACACGGTGCGTCTCGGGGATGAGGCTCCTGCTGGGAAACCTCAAATGATCGATCCATATGTGGAGACCATGATAGCTGAGACACGACTAAGCCAGGATCAGTCACTCCCGAGTGTGAGTGCTGATGAAGGATTGCCTAAACAACGTAGCCAAGCCTTCCTGACCTTTGAAGGCAGGTCAATCCCTGTACACCCTTCTACCAGTGGAGGGAGCCCTGACCCAAGATATGGAATTGTGGATTCGGCTGGAACACCTGGAATGATGGATCCATCTGTGGAGGCCTTAATAGAGAATACACGGCAAACCATGGATCAGACGAACCCTGACTTCAAACCTGATGAACTGGGCGGAAGCCGCAGCCGTACGATTCACATCCGTAAAGTCCATACTGTGCGAACACTGCAAACTCTGGAGGCTGAGGCTATGGATCCAGAAATGAGTTACCTATCTGTAGACGCCACAACAGCCGATTCATGGCAATCTCTAGTTGGGGTAAGTACTGATTTGATACCTACTGGCCTGGATGGAAGCAGCAACCATAGGTTTCATGTTTGTAAAGTGCATACTGTGCGACCACTGCAAAGTGAAGATTCTGTGGCTGTGGAACCTGAAATGAAAGGTCCATCTGCAGAGAGTTCAATAGCCAATAAACAGCCAGACCGGGAACGGGTAAGTACTGAATTTAAATCCGATAATCTAGATGAAAGGGGAGACGGTTTGAATCATATTGTGTGTACAACGCAAAGCTTGAATGCTGAGTCAGTGGAACCCCAAAATGAGGAGACCAGAAATGCTGAGACACTGCAGAGCCAAGATCGGGCATGTCCGAGTGTAAGAGCTGATGAAGGATTGCCAAAACAACGCAATGAGGTTTTCTTGATGTTAAAGGGTAGGACAGTGTCTGTATACCCTTCTGGCAGTAGAGAGAGCTGCAACGTGTGTGTCAGAAATGAGGCTTCAGCTGGGAAACCCCAAATGAGCGATCCATCTGTGGAGACCAAAATAGATGATACATGGCAAAGTCTGGATGAGGAAATACCTGACGTAAAAGCTGATGTAACGGATGAGAGCAACGAGAGCATGATTCATATTCGTAGAGTCAAGATCATGCGTACCTGGGAAAGCCCGGAAGCCAAGGCTGTGAAACCAGAAATTAATGATCCACCTGTAGAGACTATAGTAGACAATGCGTCTGATGTCCTGGAACCCCAAAAGACTGATCTATCTGTTGAGACCTTAATAGCCAATACATTGCAAAGTCATGATCAGTCATGTCACATTGTCAAAGCTTCCCAACCGGATGAAAGCAATAACCATGGGTTCAGTACCATACTGCATACATTTGAAATGTCTGTGCCGCCTCCGCTTCCAGATCAGGAACCATACTACCTGAATGGCAAGAGCTCCCTGGTCAACAACCCAGAGGTTGTGGGTAGGCAGGTGGAGTTGCAGCTGCAGGAACCGCCTCCTGATGACCAGGCACCCTCTGCAATACCCTACTCTAGCCCTATAACTGCCATCAATACAATTGATTCATTTACTGCTTCTCCTACCCCACTGGCCTTTACCAATCCTAGCGCTAATGTGGCTGCTTCTACTTCCAATGAAGCATTCTTGGTAAGCAAATGGAAGTTGGAGAAAAAAGTGAAGGAAGGACTGCCTTTTCCCCTCCTCTTGGTTATACTCAACCCATTTCTTATGTAGAATCATGCTGTAGACTGTATTTATGTGTCTTTCAGTACTTTACATAATGTAGGACTGTGTTGCTTGTTTACATGGTAAGTTTATGTTGCATTCTTTTGCATTTTGGGTCCTCTTTGGATTTTACATTGGGTGGTGAAAGGGTTGTTCAACTTATATCTGGATGCTGTTGAGGGGAGCATCTGTCGGACCAACAGATTTCAGTGATGAACCGGAGATGACATGGACATTGTACATGAATGAGTCATGATTTAGAAATTCATTTCTCCAGAGCTTGACTGCTTTTCCTGTTACAATTGGCACCTGAACAACATTGCGACGGAGATCAATCCTTCTTCTTGATTAGTACAGTGCACCATCAGGTGTATTTGTGCACTGGTTAGAACATTGATGTTACATATGATAAAGGCTATGTGGATGTGACTTCTTCTTCTTCTTCTTCTGATTAAGTCTGCCTCCTTCAATTGACTGAAGATTCTTGCAAACTATGTGTGTGTGTGTGTGTGTGTTGACCGCAATTTACATCCATTTGAGTGCTATTTACATTATAATGCAGTTTATTTACAAATATTTACAAGCTCAACTCCTTGTAACAGGTGAATGTGATACTATACAATGTATACAATACAATGTATACTATACAATGTATGCTTTTGGAAATTCCCCTTTCTCTAAATTTTTACCTCTCATATCTCAACTGGTTCATTGTACTTTTGAATTCCCCTCCCCTTGTTATTTGTACATGTAATTTATATATGTATGTGTGATCCAATTCCATGTCATTTACTGTTAATCTGAAAACAGTGGAACACAAATGAACAGAACAATATGAATAAACTCGTCCCCATTGTCTGGTATCTGGGGATAAATCTGTGTCCGATCTTTCTTCCTTGTATGTCAAACCATCATTTTGTTTTCTGTTTTTTTTAAATGAAGTATAGTATTATCTTGTATATTGCCTTTTTGAAAGTGAATCTGTAAAAATGAATTGTATACATGTATTCTTTGAATTTTTTCAGTTATTCGTGTGTAATTTTTTTGCAAGTAACATACATGTATACATGTTGCTTATTGCTTCACAGTAAATTTTTCAGATTGAGCATTCGTAAGCTATTGGTACACTTCTTTCATTCTTGAATCTAGTAATAGTTAATATATAAGAAATGATCAATATACATTGTTTAGTAATAACTAAATTAAAAGAAAGCACTTGTATACAATATTTACTATCAAGTGATGATTAAAACTGTTTGCTGATCTTTAGAACTTTAGAGGTTGAGGAACAAGAATGTTTTTAATTTATATAATGAAATGCAAATTTAGTGATATTTACATTTGTTCAACTTTTGTAATTTTTATAGCTTTATACAGCATGTACAAAGAGTTAAATATCTTTTATAATTATGCATAAATGTTTTTGTTTTGTTAAGACGTTAATGTTTTGATTGTCATGTATCGGTTATCTGTTTTTTCCCTTCTAAATACAGTTTATGTGACTGTCTATGCATGAGTTACTATGTAGATTATGACAGTGTGGGTTTGTGTGTGTGTGTGTGTGAGTTTAAAAAAAAAACAGACAAAAAACCTCTGCAAAGACGGTAATTCATTTTACATTCTGTACATCATGATATACAAGTAAATCAACAAAATTACAAAGGGATAATGCAAACTATACAGCAGTGCACAAAAAAGATATTTTGCTTATTCACACAGATTTCCAATGACAACTTAACACCATACACCAATTACATGTATTCATATGATACAGATTAATGCTAACAAATTTCTTTTTGTTTAAAGACAGCAGCAGGCAGATTGTAAGTACAAAAATTGTTATCTTGAAACTTTGATCTTTAATTTCTAAGATGTCCTGTGCTAAATGCATTTTTTCTTCTTCAATGGTTTTCTCCCCTTGCCCTTCCTTCTTCTCAAAACTACTCACTCCATCCCTCCCTGTTGCCTGTACCTTCTTTTTATTCTATTCTATTTTTTCTTCATCTTCTTCTTCTTCATCCATTCTCTGCTGTGGTCCTCTTTCTCTACCCCTCTGTGTACCTACTCTTTCGTTTCTTACACCCATGCCCTTCCTCCCCCCGAACTAATCTTTGGCCTCTGTGCACCCTTTTTGGGCTACCTGGTACCCATCTCTCTACACCTTGCACCTTCCTTGACCACTGCCCACTCGTCTCTGGCCACCTTGGACATCCTCAGGCCGATCTGGACAAGGAGTTCCGCAACATCTTCCAGGCTGTCAGTGACCTCTGCTACTGGACTAATGTCACCCAGCAGAAACTGACCAACCTGGAACCGGTCAGCAAGGACATTCCAACCCTGACCTTCCAGCTTGAGAAGCACAAGGTTAGTCTTCAGGATCATAGAACACTTCTTGTTCATTTGTAATGATAGTATTCTTTCTTGTATTTTGAGGAGAGAACATCGATGAATACTTTGATGAATTCCAAATAACCTACTGGTAATGTTTGGATCTTATGAAAGATACATGTAGCAGAAAATTCTTCACATTAGAGGAGAAGAAGATTGGTGGATATTGTCCAGAATTCCCCCAAGGTGTTTTTGTTGCTGATCTGTTGGAAGACATTCAAATACTTGTATTGCAGGTCAGAAACCTAAATGACTCTTGCCCATTTGATGAGCAAACGATTGTGCTTCTAAGACTTGCACATTGACAACTCCCATACTTTTTCAATGTGCAAGGATGATGGGCAAAAAAAATGATTCATTTTCTGTTCTTCAGTCAGAGAATTTCATGTTCTTGAACATATCATTTGCTGAAAGCTTGAAGGACAGTAAAGTTACAACTTTCTAAAAAAGAGAAGATGCCATTGTGGCTATCAACAGATAATATACAGGTGTAAACATTTAAGCCATTCATTCCTGAATTTATTCATTCCCATAGGCTTAATACATGGGCCACTCAGTTACATTAGGCAATGGGTTAATTCAGTAATTAGCCACTGTTCATTCCTTTTGGTAGTCTGTGGTGAACTTAAAAGCACACTGGATCCCTCATGGATACCATTTTACAAATATTACAACTTTGATTACAATGCAGAACTTTGTTGAGGAGATTGTCCACCAGAAGGAACCCATCGGTGAATCCTTGACCAACGCTGACCGCTTCATCTACCAGAACAAGGACAAGTACCTCAAACAGGAGCAGCAGAAGGAGCTCACCACCAAGATGAGTGACCTCCGTAGGGGTTACGATGACATCGGTTCTCTGGCTGATGCCCGTCTCAGGGAGCTGCAGTCTGCTCTCGGTCACCGCCGCAAGGAGAAAGAGGAGATGGTAAGGACGTTGATGTTTTATTATTCTCTCTATCTCTTTCTTTTTTCTTACACTCCTTTCTGCACTCCCTATCTGCAACACAGTCAAATTCTTTCATGAGCGTGGTCTTCTTCGATTACATATATTTTACATACTTTTTTGCCTATGAAAATTATGTAGGGATTATCAGATTATTTGTAATGATCATCCTTTTTATTTATGCAATGTGTCTGATCAATGAAAAATTCCTGAAATTTGCATTTTGAAAGCATTTGTCATTAGGTTGTACAGATACATGTATATGTGCATAACAATACAGTAAATTATTTATACACAGTCTTTTTACAGTTATTTTTCTCAAAAAACTTGTGACTGTTCTTTTTCTTTATATACTTCTATGCCCAACACTGCCCCCTTCATTTGCCCATGCTACATGTATGTATGTATGATGAAAATATATCTATACGGAGATATTTACCATTTCTTTCAATATTTGTGTTTAGACTGTCCTTGAGAGGCGATACAGAGAAGAGGTCACTAATCTTCAGGACTTGCTTCGCTGGCTGTCCGAGACTGAGCACGCCATGGGATCAGCTCAGCCTCAGAGCGAAAAAGTTCAACCTCTCAATGAACAACTTAACAAGATGAAGGTATGAAATGTTGAAGATTTCATTGAGATAAAAAAAAAGTACTGAGCAAACTGAGTACAGTCAAACCTCTCACAGTGACCACCCATATAAAAAGGCCACCCATTTATAAAGAACAACTGTTGTTTCTTTTATAAATGTAATGCTTCCTGGGAGAAATTTCAATTATTTTTCAATTTATTTAAATAACTGTTGTTTCGTTGAACAGAATTTGCTTTTGAAACATGTATCAACGTAACCTGTATATAAAGGCCACCTGCCTATAAAGACCACTGTACTTGTCTTCCTAGAGTGTTCTCTGTGGTTTCACTGTACATGAGTTGAGCCGATAAAGTTATTATTCATCTCTGTTGTACCACTTCTATATCATTAGGTTTGTCAGTGTTATGGTATTGTCCAGAGACCGAACACCAGGAGGAAATCTTTTGATCATTTTCAGTAAAAAAAAAAAAATGTTCTCAGTGGGGAGACTAAGAATGTGACGTCAAAGACCCAAGACCAAGTCAATGTATTTGCAAAGCTTGAAACGCTAAGGACTTTCCAGTCACCTCCTACACTGTACATCACACCAGAAGATGTATCTACATGTATATATCCTCAGTTATTCATGCACGGATAGTAAGTAAGTCCTTCTCTAGTGATATATATGGCTGTAGCTTTTGAGAAATGGTAGATTGATAGACCTTTGTATCATCATTTTTCGCAGGCCTTGAGGGATGATGTTGTCAGCAAAGAACGTCCGGTCCGTGAGTGTACCGAGAACGTGCTCCACTTCCTCAAGAGCCAGGGAGAACGGCTTAGCCGGGAGGAACGAGATAACCTCCAGCAGAGCATCTCCGAGCTGCGGATGCGTTATGAGCGCCTTGGCGAACATTCCAACTCCCGCGTGACTCAGCTTGGTGAGGCATTCGACTACCTGCGAGGATTTGACCGGGACGTTGCTGGCTTCGAGCACTGGGTCAAGGAGAGGATGATGACTGTAGAGGGCTTCAGTCGCGATGCTGGACGGGACATCAACGTCTTGAAGAAGCAGAGTGGACAGCTTCAGGCACTCAATGCTGATATTCAGTCGCATCGGGATGATTTGAACAAGATCAATGTTTCTGGACAAGGCTTCCTCAACAATGCTAAGGTAAGAGTTCTATTACATCCCATGTTTTACATCAGTGACATTCGCTTGGTGGTCAGGTTCCTACATTAACTGAATTCCTAACTTCAACCTGGGACCCGACACCACAAATGACCCTAACCCTAAACCTAACCTAAGACCCAATCGCTACATTTGGTCTAATCCTGTATCTTTGCAATCTTTGCAACATATAACCTGGAGCAATTGTTGCAGGAGCAAATGTCAGGAGCACCCTCTGGGTAATATCAAGTTGTGCCAAATTTGTTTTAATAAACCCCAAATCAACAATGAGTCATAACTCTATTCAGACATTGGACTTGTACTGTATAGATCTTAATAGAGTTGATGACTAGAAATGTTTCAACACCCAAACGATCTCTTACTCTTCAGGGATACAAGCAAATGCTGAATGAGTTCCGGACCAACGCTCTACCACGCCAGTTCAACAAGACCTTCACAGAGGCTCCAGACTCTAACATCATCCCAGATCGCCTGATGCGCCTCAACGACAACTTTGAGAGACTTATGGCCAACTCTGATCTCACCAATAAAAAGTGGCAGGACCTCATCTCTAAGCACCAGGTAATATACTAGGAGGTCTATTCTTACCCGAGCTGTGTGTATAATCATATTTTGCCGAAGCTGTTCACATTGCGTCAAGTTACATAGTGTAATTTTGAATTATTGGCAAGAATGGACTTTAATACTGTAGCCTCAGTAACACATTTTTGATTTGTTGTCGTTGATGTACAGGTAGATTCAACTATGTAATTGAAAACACATGTAGGAATATGAATGACATTGCAAGTCTTTTCATCATTTTATTTTTATAGCAATACAATGAGAACCTGACCAGTACTCGTACATGGACACAGAAGTCAGAGCAGACTCTCACCAAGCTCCTGCAGGAACCAGTAGCAGCAGAACCTGTGGCTGTGCAGCAACAGATTGAAACACTCAGGGTGAGGAAACAACTCTGGATTTGTAAAACTTGATGTGAAGATCAATGTAACCTTCAATAGACACTTTAATGGTATCACAACCACATACAGTTCATATAAAAACAGGCACAAGTACATGTATGATTATGTAGTGATGTAGAGAAAAGTCATAAATCAATACAGAAACCAGTAGCAGCAGAACCTATGGCTGTTTACCATCAACATATCATAAAATTGTATTTTTGTAATACAGGCTTTCATATGTTGAATGTATAGAATCACATTGATCTGTATATCACTAATTTCATCATTTCATCAATGCTTTATTTCTTAGACCTTCAATGATGACATCATTGCCCATTCCAATGACATTGATCACTGCAAGGAGGCTGGAAAGGAACTAGCAGACGTTCAGGATGAAGTCAAGAACGATGTCCAGAAATCAATCAGTAAGAATGATGGAAAACTTAATCTCATATACTTTTAATTGTACTTGTACATGTATGTGATACTGCATTGTTGGGGGAATGAGATGATTAGAAGTATGGCCTTCTTGTAATCCTGGGGTGTACCCTGTTAACATGTTCCTCTATAAGGGTAGGGACTGTTCAGGCCATCCTCCTGTACATTTACTCCAATTAATCCATTGACTCCTGGAACTGGGTGACTCCTGTATTGAACTTCATGGAATGAGAGAATTCAGAAGTCAACGGCTTAATGCAAATCATACAGAAGTTACCTGAAATTGAATAAGTTGTTGATGATGATGGTGATGATGATGAGGATGATATGACAATGTCAATCACATGTACATACATGTTTACGAAGAAGATTTAGATGAAGGAGCAGATTATGATAACAATAATGGTGACAATGGCAGTGATAATTACATGGATGACAATTGTGACAATTTCAGGGGTCAATGAGGGTGAAAGTGATGGAAATGATGATAATGATTTTGAGGGACAAGATAATGATGATAGAGATGATGAATACGATAATAATAAACCTGCATTTTCTTCTTTATCCAGCTGACATCCAGGATAGGTACAACCGGATGGAGCGCCAGGTTGCTGAGCGTAGCAACACCCTGCAGATGACCCGTATGCAGTGCCTGAGTCTCCAGGACTCTCTTCATAGCCTTCTGATCTGGCTGGAGGAGAAGGAGAACACCTTTGACAAGCTGGAGAAGGGAACCAGGATGATGATCAAACGCAATGCACTCATGGAGCAGTTGCAACAGCATAAGGTATGGTGGAATTTAATCGGTCTATTTTCTTATTTATGTTTAATTGTTTAATTGTGTCGTGGTCGAGTGGTTTAAGGCGCTTGACTGTAGATGCGAAGGTCGAGGGTTCGAATCCCGACACGGCACTAATATCCTTTGGCAAGATATTTACCTGCACTTGCTACTCTCCACCCAGGTGTTAAATGGGTACCCGGTAGGATGTGAACGTTCATGTGGTTGAACGAGCAAGTGTGCGCCTGTAAAATGGCGACTGGCTGGAATGCTCCCCAGGGAGTGGAAAATGTGCACACATTGTGTGCGGGTAAGCCTGAATCCGATGACCGGGGTAATAATATATCTGTAAAGCGCTTAGGTACATCGTTGGATCGGTGTATTGAGCGCTATATAAAAAACCGGATTATTATTATTATTATTATAAAAAGGGTTCAAGAATGTCTCGTTCATTGTCCAATTTGACTTCAACTGCATGCCGTTCATATTCGCTAATACACTTCCACTTTCTAGAGTCAATGTAAGATTAATTACTGACTAACGCACCTCAGGGGAAATTCACATTAAGTTGACCAGATCAAGGCGTTATTAATTTTTTATTGGATGGATTCCAGTTTCTAAAATCATTTTAAAATTCACAAATTCAATGAATAGAAAATGATACAATTTTATATTTTATATTCAAACTACATGTACAATAAGTTATTGCATTTGTTTTTCTAACTTAAGTTGCTGATGTTTTAAATTAATTAAAACTTGATTTGTGGATAAAGGTCTGATGGAATTAAAAATGGTAATTTCATGTTGTAGTGTCGCTTGGCTTTACAAGAAGGAGGAATGTTATAATGATTAGTTGTACAACCATCATATGAATTATATTCATTACGCTTATTATTATCGCACAAACTTTTATGTTATTTGTGTATCTGTTTATATATTTCACTCATATTTTGTATATGGAACAGCTTCTGCAAACGGATATTGACAGTCACAAACCGAGTGTCGAGTCGGTCAATGAATCCTCAGCCGAACTCATCCGAGAGTGCGACCCCAAGATGGCGCGCAACATCCAAGGTCGTCTGGATGACCTCAACTCGCGTTTTGAGCATGTAATTGTGCGTGCTCGAGGTCGCAAGGATCTCCTGGGCTCTCTCCTGGACAAACTCAAGATGCTCCTGGAGGAGGTTGGTGACCTGGAGGACTGGCTCCTTCCTTTGGTCGATTCTCTGGAGTCCAGGGATATCTCCAGGATGGAGCTCCCAGATCTCGGAAGTAGGCTGGAGGTGAGTTTGCAATCTCTAATTCCTCTGCGATGTTGTTTTCAAACGGAGTGTTTAATGTGGAGGCAAGGAGTTGCTGTTACTTCTGGCAATTGCAGCGCATGAAGAATAGATTACGCATTAATGAATTGGCATTGTCTATTTGTCTGTAGTGTTCATTGACAGGAAATGCAGTGCATTCACATGGACATTTTCTCTTTACTGCAAGTTTTTCATACCTCCAATTGCACATTGCATTACAGAAGAATCTTATTACATGGATAATCATGACGACTACTTCATATTTGTATGTTTGAAGCACTTTCACATTGTCAATGTCTGAATACATATCTGCTAAACCCTCCTTACGTTCACACTCAATTATAATCTCTTTACCAGGACAACAAGCAGCAGGTTGAGAATCGCAAGCCTCAGTATGAACACATCCAGACCCTGTGCAAGGAGCTGCTGCAGGAAGCCCGTCTGAACGACACCACCTACGTTTCAGACATCCTGGACAACGTGGGCCAGAACTGGAAGTGCATGGACCTGGCCCTGCAACGAAGGCTGTCCCAGTGGGAGAAACGTAGCGAGGCCTTCCAGAAGTTTGATGGCAAGGTGAGGGAGGGACACCATTGGTTGGACGGCATGGAGGATAAGGTGCAGCATCTGCAGCCTATCGCCAGGGATAGCGAGACCATCAACATCCAGATCCGCCAACTAGAGGTAGGTTGTTTTTATAGTTTTTACATATTCTAAATTGTCTTCATGAGGTAGTATGTATTAAACGGTCGTATTTTTAAGGGTTACTGTCCATTATATTCACATTCAGCTCATGTGATTTTGTCCTTGCAGTATTTTGTAAAGTATTCTGTCGCCTTTTGTCTTACTATGCTTTTGTAGAACTTAAGGAAGATTAAGGAGCTCCATTTACTTATCTTGGAGTTCAATTATTTGGTTGTAATCATTCCTGTATTGTTCATATCATATTCAAATATTGAAGAACACTGGTTTTGAATAATTTTTCTGTCCTTGACGAGGCGTATTTTCACCCTGTTCACCTTCCCCCACTCACAGCCTCTCCAGCAGGAGTACGTAGCCTACAGGCCCAACGTTGAAGATGTCCACAAGCTCTGCCGTAACCTGGACACCATCACCAGGGATGCGTCTCTTCCGCTAGCCATAGCTCCAAGACGGTCCAGCCTGTCGGTTACCCCAAGGGACCGGTCCAATCTCTACCAGAGGAATGCATCTGCAGTACCGAAAGAGAAGGAACGCTCTCGTACTTCTTTCCTTTATGAAGGTATGGAGTTTTATAGTTACAATTCATTCTAAAAATTCCAAAAGTACTCTTCCCAGATGTAGTAAGTGGGTACATGTGCCTGGTAGAATTTATTCCTTAAATGCTCTGAGCACTACAATTAAAGCTAAAGTACTAATAATCATTCAAAGTCCTTTAGAAGGGCATAGAAACACGACATAGTGTGATATGCGTGTTACAAGAACAGCATATTGTTAGTATTATTAGTATAACATGTAGAATTAAATTAGGATTAAATATGGATGAAGAATAATTCATTATTCTTGAGCTTTGGGTGTAAAATTTTATCTCAAAACACGAGCAGGTCACAGTTTGATTAAAACTGAAGAAAATCTATCCCAACCTCAGCATACATGTACATATATTGACACAGTGAAACTGTTTTCAAGAGTGGTCTTGATTCTTACACGGTCAGACTGGTTCGATTGTACTACTCTATGCAAAACAGGATACCTCATTCTTTCTTTCCCCTAACCTCATTTGACCAAAACAGAAACTACAGAGGCCCAGCGAGTCACCAAGCGCACCATCGACCGTTACGACGCCCTCGGCAACAAGCTGACGTTCCGTCGTGAGGAGTTAGACGCCTTCCTCAACCTGTCCAAGCTGTTCAACGACAAACTGCGCTCTGTGAAATCCCAGCAGGACTGGCTGTCCAACCTGGAGGCTCAGCTAGACTCCCAGGGTCCGCTCAGCAGCGATATCAATCAGCTTGAGCAACAGCTCAGAGCCATGCAGGTATGTCATGTAACGTCAGACTTGTGGAATGAATCCTTGAATGTAGTACTGACCCATGTACCCAGGGATGCAAGATTTTCTTTCGTCCTGATGCTTTTTCTGGTACAGGTGTACGGTAATTTTGTTGTTATGGTCCAAATCATGCACAAATTACCCTCTTTAGAGAGCATGAAAACTAGTGCAAAGGAGAGGATTGAGGGTGATAGGCAGATGATCTACCCTAGAAAACAATGGAAGGCTATATGCATGTGTCAAAATGTTCAAATAGGACTGGAAGAAAGAAAGTTTAATTGGTTATAGCCCACAGGTCTTCCTTCACCCACTCACGACAGTACATGTAAATATTGTGAGATTTTAGCCAACTTGTAGATTAAATTGTACATAAACTACAGGTATGTGAAATATCATATACAAATGAATGCATTGAAGTTTGTGGAACATGTTGCCGTCATGACACAAAGACCATAAAACAGGATTCTTCAAACTATTTGTTTAAATCTTTGACTTCAGGGAGTGAAGAGTGAGCTGAGTGACAACAAGCGTACCATCGAGGAGATCATTGTGGCCATCGAGGGGTTCCTCAGGGATCACAAGGATCGTCTGAGTCCTGATCAGCAGGATGCTCTCCAGAGACGCATCTATGACCTCCGTACTCACTTTGACCAGGCCAACTACAAGGCTTCTGATTCTACTCGCAAGATGCAGGATCAGGTAAGCTGGTCGGCTTATTTGTCTAATGCATCTGCTTCCATTTCATAGTTGTTATCGCTCTACCAGATTTGTCATACTACATTCAATGCTGTTGCAATTATAGTTGTGGTATTTTGTTCAAGAAAAAAGAAAGAAACAGCAGACCAAAATTTAACTAATATAACAAAATTTATGCATACATCTTTGTGAAGCGCCTCGATACAAATGATTTCATTCACCTGTTAGGAATAAATGCATCTCGATAGTCCAAACTCAAATTACATTTATTGGTTGTTGCTAGGAAGGGCAAACGTTATAGCTTGCCCTACCTGACAACATGACATAATATGAGTATTGAAATTCAATTATCTGTAACAGGTGAATGAAATAATTTGTATCAAGGCTATGAGCCTATTGACTACTGAATTTTCCCATTCCCAGAGGCTTAATACAGGAGCCAATCGGTTCCAGTAGAGAATAGGTTAAATATAAATTTGGTTATATAAGGAAAATGGCTAACTTGATTCCTGTTTCACCTTTTGCAGTTGAACTTCCTGAAAGAGACAGAGGAAAAGATCCAATCGCTTCGTAACCTGATGGAGTGGGTGAGTGACATTGAGCGTCAGCTGGTCCTCCAGCAGCCAATGAATGAAGAAATGAGACCTCTTGGTGAACAACAGAGGAAACAGAAGGTGAGTAGAGAAGAGAAGAGAATCTGAGGATTTCTTACTTTAGACATAAAAGTGTATCAATGATCAAAACGTATTTTGGTCTATATGTTAGGGGTTCAATTCGGCTATACTATTTCAAACAGAAGACTAGAAGAGGAGAAAATCCAACAATTATAAATCTTACACATTAGTTGGTTGCTTGGTTGATTGTTTTACCTGACTGATAAGAAAGCATGTGTATGTTTGTAAGTAAGTAAGCAACCAGGGGACCGACGGCTTTATGTCCTCTTTGAGGGACTTGGTAATGAGGATTAATGCCTTACCAAAGGGAATAAGCGCATTGACTCGATTTCGAACCCAGGACCTCTCGGTCATGAGATCACTGCTCTACTCCTTAGCCATTACTGAGTGTATCAATGACCAAACCATATTTTGGTCTGTATGTTAGGGGTTCAATTTAGCTGTACTATACACAAAACATGAGCTTTAAGTATTACTTCTCTAAAGAGATATTGCAAGTTTAAAGCAATTGTCCCATTTTAATTCATATAAGGCACACCTACATGTTCATTCATCTTAACCTTGTTTGTCTGATCAGGTAATTCATGAAGATGTCCGACAGCATCATGAACTGGTCATGCTGGCCGTACACAATGGTCAGTTCTTGTTGGAAAGCCAGCCAGAGAGACTGAGTGACAGCAGCACATCAGCTCTCAGAGAGTACTCAGTAGATCTCAAGGTAAGGTTATGATGGCAATGATGATGATGATGATGATGATGGTGATGGTGGTGATGATGATGATGATGAGGATGTTAATGATGGTGATGGTGATGATGATGATGGTAACGGTGATGGTAATGGTGATAGTGATGATGATGTTAATGTTCACAAGAGTCATTTCTTAATGTAGAGATGGCCAGAGACCCTGAATGAAAACAGCTTTACAACTCTCAGAGATTGCATCATAGACTTAAAGGTAAGATGAGGGTGGTGGTGATGATTATGAACTTAATGATGATGATGGTGGTGGTGGTGATTGAAAAATTTAACTTGAATTCACTACTCAAAGATGTTTAGCCCCACCTGATCGACATATACTAATAAAGAGAAACAATGGTAAATTAACATTAACAATTTTTCCCCCATTACTTTTGTGAGGAATATTTGTGAACTAAGCATAAATGGATAATAGAAATACAACAGGAGTGAAATCTCAACTTTACAATAAAAACATATGTATTTACAGAAGTACTTAACAGGTACTTCAAACAAGGCAAACAAAATTAATATTTCAAAAACGCATAATGCAAATAGCAATGGCAAGTATATATATATATATATATATATATATATATATAGATGAAAAACAAACAGAACATTGAAAACCTCAATGAACAAAGTAAAATAATGACAATATATTTCCTGCCTCAAATATTAGAGTCCACAAGATTATTTTTCTTGTTAGTTGTTAGTTTCTCTATGAAACATAATAATCCTCTTCATATTTATTTTAATGTAATGATGTTCATGTATCCTTGTGTCCAATAATTCTTTCATCAAACATCAAGGTCCATATTGTCTTCAGTGTCCTCCACTTCTGTCATTTTGTGTAAATCCTGGTCTGAATCAGTTGGTTTCCTGAACACCTTATAGGGAATGTGGTCAAGATGAACTCCTATCTTCTTGTTGTCTTCTTTGTTGTTGAAATTAACATAGTATTTTTTCTTTTCTGAGACCTTTCCCCCTGTGCTCAAGACTCGCGCAGCAACCCAATCGTATCAGCCTTTAAGATCTTGTACTTGATCCTTGTATTCACAGGTGGAATTTGAATTTGAATTTGTCAAGTACTTTGAATATGTGCTCTCCAGAACCATCTCCATCAATCTGGATTTCTCCATTCTGCATTGCAAGTCAGACTTTTTCATTTACCCCTTTCTCTGGGTGCAATACACTGTACAAGAGGAAGCCTTCAGTTGCCTCTTCATCTCTGCCTTGGACACCTGTGTCCAGAGGATGACTTTAAATTTCCAGTTTTCATATGATGTGATTTCTATCTTCCACTGGTTGGGGCCATCACAGTTTATTCCTTTTCAGCTATTATTACTGTTTCTTATACAACTTTGTGTTGGTGAATTCTGGCAACCTTACTCAGCTACATGAACAAATTTAATTCTGTACTCAGTGATATTTATCATCACCAGATATACATATAATAATGAAGAGAAACCATGGTAAAGCAACATTAACAGTGAATTTAATTCTGTACTCAGTGATATTTATCCTCATCAGATCTACATATGAAAAACCATGGTAAAGTAATATTAACAGTGATGATAGTTATGATAGTGATGATGATAATGGCGGTTGATGTTGACAGGGATATTTATTTTGATGGTAACGATGATGCTGCTGAAGATGACAGTGGCAGTGGTCATGACGATGATGGTGATATTCATGCTACTGATGATGATGGAAACTTGAAATTGAGCCTCATACTTTCACCTCAAACTCTCATCCTTAGAACCGCTTTGAGAACGTCAGCTCGGAATCAGACACCCGCAGCCAACAGGTGAACTCCGGCCTGAACGAGGTCCAGAAGTTTGACCGTGAGTTCTCGTCCTTTGACACCTGGCTGTGCTCTGCAGAACGAACGCTTGAAGCGTACCTGATGGACGTGGCCAGGGACAGGGATGGCCTTCGCAAGCAGGTCAACAAGATCCAGCCTTTCAATGAAGAGGTCGTTGCACACTCTGCCGATCTGCGCTTCATCAATATGTCTGGACAGAAGTTCCTGGGTGAAAACCAGGTATGTCTTTAGTTTATATCAGTTCTGTTGATATCATACATGGTAGAATATTTCGAGACTTTCTATTCACTAGCCTCGAGTCTTTTTAATTCACTGTACGTTTAGCATGACTGATATCTTTGATCATACTTAATTTCACAATTGTACTATGTTTGAATTTGACCACCTGGAGAAGTTTCATAACTACAATACTACAATACTTGATGTTTCCTGTCAAAAGTTTAGTATAATAATTTGTATACATGTTTTATATATTGGTTGTTAGTACAAGCCATGAGGATCTGTAAATTTTAAAGTTAATTAATAGAAGGCTCATTACACATGTTTTTCACCTCATCTTTCTGGTTATATTCCTCTTACTTACCTTTCCTTTCTTTTCCTTTCAATCCTTTCTCACCTTTTGTTGATTCTTGCTCCTTGCTCCTATTCCTCATTCACCCCTTCTTTCTTTCCATACTCATTAAACTTTGATATAGAGTTTTAATATGATATTTTTTATATATATTAGGTCATAGTCCTAAGACTATTGTACTTTTAACTTGTAAATACATGTACTTTTAAATTGTATTCCAATGGCAATTCAGTTGTAAGACTGCGACGATGGAATTTGTTCAATAAAACCTTTCTATATTCTATATAGAATAAACTTGCTTTAGTGACCACCAGTATGGAACATGAACAAAGAAACATGAATCAATATTAAGAAATTTACATTGTACACAATATGACAATATACTGATAGTAAACTTTGTACTTGCACACGGACATGTATTGTGATGTTTGATGCTTGTGACTCATACCCCTATACAGTGTGTAGCTTATGAATTCTAACAGTTTCAGCAAATTTTCTGAATTTTTTTCTTGCTTTATTTGATGATAGGTCTTCAAGCAGAGGCTAGCCGACTTCCGTGACCTCGTGCAGACAGCCAAGCAGTACCTGCGCAACTTCAGGGAGGAGCCTGACTCGCACATCATCTCTGACAAGCTCAACGACATCAACGACCGCTACGCCAAGCTCAAGATGCGTTGTAACGAGCACACCCAGCGTATCCTCAATCTCCTGGGGCTGCACGAGAAGTGGCGCTTCTCCACGGAGGCGGTGACGACCTGGATTGAGGACATTCATGTGACCATCCAAGATATGGAGAGAGAACCGATCGCTGAGGATAGGACAAGGGTGCAGGAGCAGGTTGACCAAGTCAGGGTGAGATAGAAAGGGAAAGGCAGTGATGATGATAAGAAGAGATTTATAGGGGTAAGGGAAAGGAAGGGGCAAGGGGGGGGGGGGAGGTGAGAGGGTGTGGTGGGGGAGGCAGAGATAGTAAGGGGAGAACAGCAAAAATGTGAAACAGGAGAGAGAGTCCATTGTTAAGGAGAGGGCAAAGACCCAGGAGCAGATTGGTCAAGTCAAGTGAGACTTCAAAAGAGAAGAGAAGAGATAGAGAGTTTAGAGGGATTAATGAGTAGAGATAGGAGATCGGGAAGGGGAGGGGGTAGGATGAAAGGGGAGGGGGTATGATGCAAGGGAGGAGCATGAAAGAGATTTAACCAAGGATAGAATAAAAAACGAAGAATAGGAAGAAAGAGATGAAAAGAGGAAGATAGATGCAGACGCTTCATGAACTACATGCACTTCTATTGCAACCTTGTTAAAACAAACATCATGTCAAGAAATGCAACAAGCATTATTTCATGCATGTGTATTATCTGAGAATTTACTCTAGGTTTGTACAGTCTCCAATTCAAGTATCATCTTGTAATGTATGTAAATATTTTTGTTGATTAGGTTGTTCATGATGATGTTGCACGCCATCTGAAGGATGTAGAGAAAGTGAAGGCGGCTGGTAATGAGCTAGCGGAAGCGCAATCTGACCTCAAACCAACCATCGACAAGGCTGTCAGTAAGTCATTACTTGTATGGTCCCATCAGATGTGGATTTGAGTTGGGGTTATCAGTGTTGCAATGAAGACCATAACTTGGTACATGTATAATGTAACATGTGATGAAGGAGATGATAACGCTGAAGACTATGATTATGACAACGATGATAATGATGATGATAATGATTGGAACGATGATAAAGATGATAGTGATGATGTTGATGGACATAGTGAATATGAGGATAATGAGGGTGAAGAAGAGGATAGATGTAATGATGACTATAATGATGATGATAGTGATGAGGATTAAGAGGAGGAAAATGATGATGATGATGATGATGATGATGTCAATTATGATAATGATGATTATGATGGGGGTAATGGTGATGATACTATGACAATGACGCAGCTAATGATTATAATAATGGCCATGACGATAACAATGGTAATCCTTATTTCCTACCCTCAACTCTTCGCAGACGAGATCATCAACAAGTATGACACGGTGAACACCAACCTCGCCCGCAAGGACAATGACCTCCAGAACGCCCTCGCTGACATGCAGGGTCTTCAGGATGGCATGGATACGACCCTTAGCTGGTTAGATGACCTAGAGAGGAGGGTCGGACGACTCGATGGGGCAAAGGTCACGGTCAAGAAGGAACCTATCTTGGAAGAGATGCAGAATGTCAAGGTGAGAGAGAGAGAGAGAGAGAGAGAAAAAAAAAGAGATGCAGAACATCACGGTGAGAGAGAGAGAGAGAGAGAGAGATGCAGAACATCACGGTAAGAGAGAGAGAGAGAGAGAGAGAGATGCAGAACATCACGTGACAGAGATAGGAATAACAAATTATAAAGAGAGAGAGATAAAGATATTACAATTTAGTTACGAACCAAATACGAAGAAAATATTTAAGGGAACACATTTTTTATTGTTGAAAAAGGGAAGGAGGAAATTTGTTTTTCAAATACACAAAATATATATATATATAAATGCAATTCCTATTGAATTAAATAGTTTTCAGGTGTTAAACAGGATTTAAGAAGTATTAAGAAGACAGTGCATGAGTTGTACCATGCCTACATGTATGTACTAATACCAACACCATACACCTCTTCCAGCTGATTGACCAAGAGCTCCAGAGCAGACGCCCCACCATGGAGGCGCTCCAGGACAAGGCTAACAAGCTGGCCCAGACTGGCAACCCAGCCACCGCACGACAGATGCGCAACAACATCGACAACCTCAACCGTCGCTATGATGCCCTCGTCACGACGTCCGGTCAGTACAACGAGGATCTGCATGGCATGCTAGATACCCTAGGCAAGCTATGCGAGGATGTGGATAATCTGGAGGATTGGGTGTTCCCGACCTTGGATGTCCTGGAATCTAGGGAACTCAAGAAACAGGAGATACCCGATATTGAGAAAGTCACCAAGGTAAGGCACTGTTGTAGGTTACAAGACTTCTGTCTACTTCAAAGAGACAAGATATTACCCGAAGATGTATAGATTGTAATATATTATGATTTGTTCTTGCATGGATCTGGATGCTAAATATTGACATCAGTCATTTTGCAACAATAGCCACACATGTACATGTATCGTTGATATATCGTAGTGGATTTTTTCCCCTTTTCATTAAGAACATACACATGCTGTATGCAATAAAACCTCTCAAGTATATAGTATTTATATTGAATTGAATAGTTTCAATTGTAATACATTTTATTTGAAGCATTTAGCAGGCCAAGAGCATTATTGGTAATGCCAATTTCAAAAGTAGAAGTAAATCCATTCAGTCTGTTAGAAATATTATATGTTTTTTTTATGCTGATTACAATTATTGATTTTGGAGTACATCAAAAGTATGTGAATGGAAAAACTATTATTTTTATCAATTTGTAGAAGAGTCGTATGGACACTTTCTTCAGACATGCCTAATCTTGAACTTTCTTTGACTTTTTAAAAACTTTCAGAGGATTGCACGTGAGGTAGATGATCACACACCAGAGTACAAGCGCATCAAGCGAGTCGCTGACGAGCTGATCCGACACAAGCGCACTCGTGATGCGACCTTTGTCACAGATCTCATGCGTAGTTTTGATCGTAACTGGCAAACCATGGAGGAGGCCCTCACAAGGCTGTAAGACATGTTTAGTTATGCTTGAAGTTTAATTAGGAATTTAGAATTGAACCATAATTGTGGATGTGACATAACACACATTTATAAAGAAACATCTAGAAACAACATCTATACATTGTACTTCATATTAACCCTTTATAATTTTTATTGAAGGTAGAATATATTATTTTAATTTCAATTTTATTAAATCAAAGCTTGATTTTGATTTGAGTAGGAATTTACTGATGGAGGAAGACCTTTCTCAATTGTCTACTATAGACTCACCTTCAGTTAATTCTTTTCACATCTGCTGACAGATGATTCCATGTTGAAGGCCCAAAATATAAATTGGGATGGTTTCCCCAGATTTGTTCAAATTTTGATTATGCAAACTTCAGTTTTCCCTGCTTCTTGTTAGATAGAGATTCAGTTCAATTTAGTTTAATTGTTGTCTCTAATAAATACAAAATACATTGCAGCCATTGGCAAAACTGGGCATATTCATTCTATGATTAATTATCGAGAAATAATCTAACAATATATATGGTAGATATATTGAATACTGTTGTAATTATGAGAACATTTATTCTCCTTATCAGGAACACCTATCTCAAGGAGAGAAAGGATGTCAACGACAAGTACCGCAATGCTGTCAAGGTGGTCCAAATGTGGTTAGACTCTACAGAAGACAAGTATGAACACCTACCAGACATTGCTAGGTCCCTCAATGAACTCAAGAATCAACTGGAACAGATGAAGGTAATTATAATTATATTTGCTTATAAAGCGCCTAACACTTACCTTATCAGAAGTCTCTGAGCGCTCTACATTAATGCGGCATAATTACCCTGGCTTTAGTAGAGCAGCTGTCACGTGCTCTGCGTTTCAAGGAATAGATTCCTACCAGATCCCCATTTGGTTCACCTGGGTGGAGTCACTATGTGGATGAATTCCTTGCTGAAGGAAATTAATATCCTGGAGTGGGTTTCAAACTCACGACCTTATGATTGAAAGACTTGAGTCAGAAACACTACACCATGACGCTTCCACTTGCTGAATATTATCTCTAAATTTACTGCAAATGAGTTGGCAGCCCAGAGATTTAGTTCCCAGTGAACAACTGATTGTGCTGATGCTCTGGCTTGAACCTTCTTCCAATCATTTTATCTCAATTAAATCCCTAGCCTCTGAATCGTGAGGTGACCAGCTTCAAGCCCAAGGTTGACCAGACCTACGAGCTCGGCAAGACCCTTGACGCTCTCATCCAGGCTGCTGAGACGGTGGTCACCAACAGGAGGCGCTCTACTCAGGTAGCAGGAGGTCAGGTGGCACGCACAGAACGTCGCGTTGTAGAGATCCAACAGAACTTCCAAGTCTCAGAAGGTATAGAAACTTGTACACTCTAGTCTTCTCAATGACTTTCCTATGTACAGGTTACAGGTTACTTGACTGGCAATGTAAACCAATCATATGTGCTGTAAGAAGATTTTATTCATCAAGCAAAATACCCTACTTTCTGTAGAGCAAGAAGCGTGAATCTTTATCAGCAGCTAAGTCACGGACACCATTCTTGTATTATACCTGGTTAATGGCAAGGACTTTATGAAATAAAAACATATGCTAATTGGTGACCTTCTAGAAAATGTATGCATAAGTCTTTGTTGTTTTCGTCATAGATCATGCAAAGTATGTGTAGGTCTCAATTTGGTCAAAATTTTATTGACTCCTATTTGTCAAGTAGATGTATGTATATTTTTGTCTGGGATATTTATTTAGCAAGTACACTTAACACATGGGCTGAGGATTTTAAACCAGAGACCATTGTGTATGTGAAGCATATATGTGTAACACTTGACCCATGACCTTGTCTCTATAATGTGTATACAAGTCAACTGATGTCATGTTGTTATCTTTTCAATCTCCAGACACGGAGGTGATGCGAGAGGTGCGCAACCTCCGCAACCGCTACGACTCTCTCAGCAAGAACGTCCAGCTGCGCGAGGACAACATCACAGACATGTACGAGGTCATTCGCCAGTATGAAGAGCGCAACAAAGACCTACAAGGCCTTCTGGACTGGAGTCGTCCAATCAAGGCCCGTCTTAAGGAACCTATCCCAAACATCACTGATGTGGCGTCGCTTCAGAACCTCATTGCTGACCACAAGGTTAGATCAGATCTCTATAATCCTATTTTAGATGAATGATTACCTTTTTTTGGCCTTAATTCAAACTAATGTTTTGAACCTTAGATTTCTCTCTTTATACATGTATTCAATACTAATTGAAATTATGTCTTCAAAATAGCATTGCAGTGTTGTAAATTCATTGCACAATATTTTCAAACAGTAGATGTAATTGTACGTGCACAATGAGGTATATAAAAACTTGTTGTGTTCATACAATGATTATTTATTTCTTGAAATACTATGCAGACAAGCTAGAGATCTTAACTAAACTTTCAAGTTTCACAGACATTAAAAATGTGTTTACTTTTGTGGCATCCAGCTAAAGGATAATTTTCTCCCCCTTGCACTGTACAGCGTCTCCATGAGGAGCTGATGAACAGGAGATCCCACACCGTGGAGGTCATCCAGAACGCAGAGCACTTCCTCCATGACCACCGGACCAAGCTCACCAAGCCTCAGGTGGAGGAGATGCAGAAGCGCATTGAGGAGCTGAGGGAGTACTACGACACCCTGACTGGACTCTCCCATGAGAAGCTGGCTAAGCTCAGGGATATGCTCAATCAACTGGAGCTGGACAACCGTGACAAGGTAACCAATGTGCAATCTAGGGGGTGTTTCACAAAGATCCTAAGTCTAAATTAACTCTGAGTTAGACTTAAAAATTATCGACAGCCATTCGAAGCCTTAAAATCAAATATATTAAAAAGCAAAAAATGAAGTATTTTAGACTTTTTATTAATTCCCCATCAAGAACATGAAGTACATGTATCCTTGATAATAGAAAATATGAATGATTTGAATCAACATTTTATGCCTTAAAAATAACTTTAAAAAAATATTTTTACAGATGGTAACAGCTTTCAATAATTATTAAGTCCAACTTAGAGATAAGTTCAACTGAGGATCTTTGTGAAACACCCCCCTGGAATACTTTGGCTACAAGAACTCTTAGATAATTTTGACTGCAAAGCTTTTCAGCCCATCTGGTTTGTTTGTTTCACCTGACTGCTCCGAGGGACTTGGTAATGAGGATTAATGCCTTACCAAAGGGCACTAGCGCATCAACTTGGTTTATCGAACCAGGACCTCGAGCTTACGAGACTACTGCTCTACCACTGAGCCATCGTGCCTCCACCATCTAGTGTTCCTACACATACTCTGGCGACATTCTCTCTGCTATTTTGTGATTTAAGATTTAGATTTTGGGCTTGGGGTGTTGCTAGGTTTTACATCTAGGTTTTGTTTAGGTGTAGGCTTATTTTAAAGCTCATGAACAGTTTTAGTAGCGAAAAGACATTTGGCATGAAACATATTGAATATAGTCTCACTTTGTTTTCCTTGTATCAAAAGATGCAGAATAGTAGATCTTGATCTTAAAATTGACTGTGACTTCAGGATTCTACTGCTATTTCTCCTATTGACCTGTATTGATATATATATAAAATTTCTTTATTTATTTCTGCTTCCCCGCAGACAAATCTTGAGCAAGAGACCAAGCGTCGCGTTGACGCGTTGGTTGAGCTCCTGGACTGGATCACAGTGGCTGAGCGTAACCTTGGCAATGAGCAGCCAATCATGGAACAGTGCAAGCCACTCGGCCAGCAGATACAGAACCACAAGGTATGTCCAAATGCCAAGGCTATTTTAGGTTATAATTTGAATACGTGTAGACAATTTTGACATAGATCATTTGAATTCTGTAATGGTCATGTTATATATATGGATACAGTAGATATTTATCTGTACATTTAAAGCTGCAGATTCGAGGCATTGTAATACATTGAATAAATGTGTTTTTTCCATCTTCTTAAAGCAAGGATAAAACTAAACTTGATGTCTTTCACTTACACTTCGATGGCTATATTCATCTCTCTATTCAAACCCATGAAGCCTATATATGCATGTACTTCCTAAAAGTGTAGTGCAAACATTGTAATTCACATCTTATTTTCTTTTTTGTCCATTTCTTGTCAGGCCATCTATGAGGATATCCTGGCCCACCAGCAACCTGTCCTGCTGGCCGTACACAACACGGATTCCTTCCTGGAGCGGAGGGGCACCCAGCTCAGCCCGGAGATCCGCAACAAGCTCCAGGAGGGCCAGAACTCTTTGAGGACCCGCTATGAGGTGGTCCAGAGGGAGGCCGAGACCAGGGCCAAGCAGCTCAACGTGGAGGAGGACGAGTTGGAGCACCTGGAGCCGGACATGACCGAGTTTGAGAAGTGGATCCAGACCGCGGAGAGGGATGCCAGGCAGTTCTTTGAGAGCTTTGGCTCAGACACGCAGTCACTGCAGAAACAGGTTCGTTCAATATCATCAAACTGCGATACATCCTAGTATTCTCTTGAAATACATATATAAGCTTACAATCAAACCTGTCTATAAAAGCCTCCGAAGGGACACAGAAAAGTGCCCAAAATACAGTCATACACACAGTCAATGCAGAAAAAGTTTTGCGATCCGTGTCATTCGTGAATTAAATAGGGTACTTGTATTACAGAAATTAACTGTAGATGTATACAGTATGGTGTATCTAATGTACATGTAATAATAAAACTCTTAGTTATGGATGTTTCTGAACTTCTTCTTACATCATTGTAGGTCCAAGATCTGAAGAGCTTCAACAATGACATCCTGGCTCACAAAGGTGACCTTCGAGTCAACAACATCTCTGGCCAGAAGTTCATGAAGGGCGCTGACAACTACAAGCGCAACCTCACCGACTTCCGCAACAACGTCATGCCCCCTCAGTTCAATCGCCAGTTCCGCGAGAACCCTGACCAGAACATGATCGGCAGCAAGCTGACCGACCTCAACCAGAGGTACGAGCACCTCTTCAATTCGTGCGATGGACAGTACAACACCTTGAGTGATCTACTGGAGCGGTTGACGCGCTACAAGGTGTCTGTGGATGGTGTAGAGACATGGCTGCAGGAAGCCTATGACACACAGGGCCGTCTCATGAAGGAACCTGTTGGAGCCGAACCAGAGTTCATCAAGAAGCAGATTGATCGAGTCCAGGTATGGATGACAACAAATTCTTAGTTTATCATCCACTAGAATTTCTTGAATTGAATTAAGCATATTTCTTTTCATGATTGGCAGTTCATGGCTGTAATATCAATGAAATGTGCATCATTTTTGGAGGAAGCACCCTAATTCGGTAGATGAAGCGTTATTCTGTAGAAGTTGCCATCTTCATCGCTTTGTACCAATATAACATAAAAGGACAAGAAGAAAAACAAATTGTCACTTGGCATATATACATTAGACAAATTATCTTGAAATGATTGCATACAAATCATTTATCTGAATTTGAATTTGAATATTTGAATGAACAAAGGTTTTGTACCATTCTTAAATGAGATTATTTGTTGAATATCCTTTCGTGAGGGGGGGGGGGGGGGAGGTGAGTTCATCTGCAATTAACTTGAAGGAAATGTGAATATTTCCAAATTCAATAAGATTTTAATTGTAAATAGATCAAAACAACACCGTATCCAGTCTCCCTTATCCGTTATTTTTTTCTCAAACAATTTACAGATGTTCTATGAAGAGGTTGTGCGACATGGCCATGACATTGAGAAGGTCAAGGACACAGGGTGTGACCTCTATGAAGCTCATCCAGAGCTGAAGCCAGGTGTAGAAAGAACAACCAGTAAGAATCCTTGAAATAAGTTCTTTTATATTGAAGACATATGTGAATTTGAATGTGAGTGTATTTATACGAAAAACTTAAAGTAGTCTTTATCAATGTAAATTATCATTCAAAGATATGTAATTCATAGAAGATTTTTTATTGAATTTTATTTCATTTCATATATTATATATATTTTATATATATATATATATATATACACATACATGTTCATGTAGTGCTTGTTTTATTATCCCTGAGAATTTATTGCAAAAAGCCTCAAGGAATTCATATTATAGACCATAATTATGTTTCTTTCTGAAAAAAACTCTATAGTTGAGAAGTACATGCATGTAAATGTACATTGTACTTGGCACTGATTTTGTGCCAAGACAAGCTCAAAGGTTCATTACATTGATAGATGTGTATAATGCCTGTGATATAATATACATTGTACATGTACATGTACTTGTGTGTATAAATAATTTTGATTTTAATACGATAGTAAACCATTTCCTTTACACTTTACAGACACCATAGATGAGAAGTACAATGGCCTCCTTGGGCAGTACATGACCCGTCTGAACATCCTTAGCAACGCCTTGGCTCAGTGCCAAGACTACGAGGAAAACATCTTCTCCTTGAACCAGTGGCTTGAGACCCATGAGCGTACTATGACACAGATGGAGAGCTCTCCTCTCATCGCTAGGGTGGAACCTCTCCAAGAGTGTGTCACCAACACCAAGGTAACAAACGGTTTACACTTTTCTTTGATTGTAGGAAATGTTTCTTAACATACTATTGTGATTCAATATCTGTGCCATTGTGATAGGAAAATTATTGTTCTTTTAAATTAAAAGAAAATAGTGGAGAATCTTTGTAATTGATGTCATTTTGGATGGCCATTGTGAAAATAATTGTGAATGAAATATTGATACCTACAGAGAAAGTATATTTGAAAAGCAACAATTCAAATAACTAATGGAAGAAAAATCGTTGCTTATAAGATTAACGATTTGTTTGTACCTTGGTCATTGAATTTTATTGCACATAAATGGAGCTTTCTTGTCTCATTCCAGTTTACCATAACAAATGTTTTGTATTGAGATAAAAATGAGATTGATTTAATATGAACATCGTCTTTCCTTGCCTCTTTGTTCCTTCAGACCTTCAGCAGTGACATGCAGACTATCAAGCCTACCGTGGAGAACATCAACAAGGTCTCCAAGTCACTCATCCGTGAGTCGGAACCAGAGATGGCTCGCAACGTCCAGACAAAGATGGACAACGTCAACCGTCGCTATGGTGACCTGCATCAACGCAACGACACCTACTCAACGACTGTGAACACCACGTACGAGACGGTGACTAACGTTGAGGATCTTGTGGATGACTTTGATGACTTTGTTCTGCCGACCGTTGAGAAGCTCAGCTCACCACAGTTCATGAGACAGGAGACAAAGACTATCAACAGGGAACTTGATGTAAGCAAACTTCATTATTATGTTTTTTTTAAAATCACTCTTACATGTACATGTACATGACATGGACATGTATCTTCATGATTGCAGTAGTAGCAATTGGCCATTAGATTTTACAAGAAGATATTTTTCATAAGCTTGATTTTTATCTGGAGAGATATGAAGTATGTGATATGCGGCTACACTGATGCAAACAGGTTTTTTTTCATCATGCAATTACTTCCAATATTATAATGGACATTGTATTTTGGAGATTATTTGTTATCTTTATGCCATAATGGGCAAGCATTTCACCCTTAAGTTCCCCCAGGAAATCGTGGCAAAGGAAAGGAAGAATGGAATGGTGAGATATCTAAGTTTTACTTCATAAAATTTGACAACTCTGTGCTAGCTGTGAGAATAATGATGTTTAATATTGTGCCTTCCCTCTCTCACCTTGTAGTCCACCAAGCAGCAGATGGACCAGCACTTCCCTAAACTGAAGATGATGAAGACGCTGTCAGAAGATGTCAAGAGCAGCCCCAACGTGAAGGACGCTACCCATGTCACTTCACTTACCAAGACATCAGACCAGAACTGGAACACACTCAATGACATCTACAATACCAGGTACACTATTCAGTTACTTTTCATGTACTTATCAGTCTTCTAACATACTCGATGACATCTACAATACTAGATACACTATTGGGTTTACCGTACATGTACTTGTGTGTTTAAAATTCCCCCAAAAGAGATGCTAGATTTGAAGATATTTCCTGATTAAACATGAGTGAATTAATCTTCCATTCTTCTTGCCTCTTTGTGTGTAACAGGAGAACACAGGCCCAGGAACTTCAAGGGGCTCAGGATCGTTACAGCAACATCAACTCTGAGTTTGAGACCTGGATGAACACTGTGGAGCGCAAGTATGAGAGCCTGCCCTCTGGTGTCAAGGATAAGCCATCCCTTGAACGCCAGGTCACTGAAATCACGGTAAATAGTCCATAACTTTGAGTTGTGCTGTAAGCTCTACACTTTCATGTTAATTCTTGTTAATAATATTAGAAATGAATAGTGCTCTACAGAACTTTGAGAAATTCGTAGTCTGAAGTTATTTAATACAGAAGATATTATGGAACAATATTTGCATCAGCATGAACAATGCAAAAATCGAACAGTGGTTTGAACTTTGTTTCCTAAAATTTCTTACTCACCTTTCACACATGTACATGTAAAATGGCTTTCTTTAGCTGAGTGGTTTTATGAGGTGCTTTACATTATTACGCCTGAACGAATCTGAGTTTGAACCATAACAAGGTCAAAGCACTATCCCAAATACTGTTCTCTGCAGCCCCTACACACTGAGGTCGACCATGCGGTGAAGCGCATGGACGAGGTCAAACAGGTTGGTCAGACCCTGGGTCAACTCCAGAGGGAAATAGAGAAGCCTATTGCGTACACCGTGCAACGCTCCAAGGAGTACAGCATGCCACCTATCGTCTCCACGGAGAAGAAGGCTCGCACCATCGAAGAGGTCCAACGCAGCTTCACAGAGCCTCAAGGTTGGTCTTAGTTGTCTTTTTCTTTTGTATGAGGCAGTAAACGATTCAGGAAATTCTATTTAGTTGAAAAAGCAAAATTCTTGTTAGAGCGTTGTGATACCATGATCTAACATGTCCTTTAGGCCAAAGTACAGCATGTTATAAAGATTACAGTCAAACCTATGTTGCAGGCCACCTCTCCCTGCTTCTCTCTATTTCTCTAATAGCCGCCTGTCTACTCTTGTAAAAAAAACAATGTATATAATCTTTCCCAGAGACAAAATACATATATGTGTTGAAAAACTTGTCTAGAAAGCCAACCAGTCGTTAGTGGCTGCTGTTATGACATTTTCTCTAGTAACACGATGTGCATGTACATGTACGTGTAGAGTTAGGGAGGCAGTTGTGATCTAGGGGATAAAATTGAGAGTAAGGAAAAACTCATAGTGTAGTGGATGGTCCAGGGTTGAAGGTAGGAATTCCCCTAGTGTAGGATATTGACTGCTGAGATTTTCTCCCTAGTTATGTTTCCCTCAGTTAGCCTTCATAGGCGGATTTCACTCAATGTATCTTCCTTGTAACTCAATGCATCGATTACAGAGTCTGCCATCTCCCAAGAGATCACCACCCACAACACCCGCTACGACACCCTCTTCAAGAATCTTGGAGGTCGTCTGGATGACCTGGAGCTGATGCGACGTCTGATGGCGCTCAACGACGACGGCAGCAAGCTAGTGGATTGGGAGATGACCACAGACAGCAGGCTCGAGAGGGAGGTCCCAAACAGTGATGATATCGATACGCTGCAGAAGGAGATCAAGAACTATCAGGTGAATTGAGAAGTCATTCATCAAAAGCAAAACTGTAGAAAAGTAATGGACGTATGCAGAATCCTACTACTGACTCCAGTAGCATGGACAAACTATTGGATCATGTGAAAGCCACAGTGTACATGTGCAGTACCTGCCTACTTTGGTATTAGTAGTAGGACTTATAAAGTGCTTTTTCTGAATGTTTTTGATTTTTTTTTCTTCTTCAAGGAAAGTGACCAATAAACAAATTCCTGGTTAATGCAACAAGAGTAACTTACCGGTACATGATTGTTTATCTCCAATTACTATCAAATAAATAAATGATTATGTGTTACCAAAGGTTTGCATGGTGAAGCTTTCAATGGCTGTAGGCTTACATGTAGTATTCAACATGTTATGAACAATCCATTGATGATTTATTTAAATTTTGATGGATCATTTTCAAATGAATTGCATTTTGACAATCCTCTACCACATTGATTTCAGCAAATCTCTGAAGATATCCAGAGGCACGGTCAGCCAGTGACCGAGACATCATCCAAGATAGACACCTTCAACCGTGACAATGCTACCCGTCTCTCACGCGACCAGCAGAACCAGCTCTCTGACCTCTCAGACACCCTGCGTACCCGCTACGATGATCTCCAGCTGAAGTCTAGACGTGACTTGACGGACGCGGAGGAGAAGCTGAGGAGACTGAGGGCTGAACAGGAAGAGAGTGTGAGTACATTTGATTTGAATACTGAAACTGTTATGACTTGAAATACCAATGAACAAGGCTTATTTTTGAAACTCATGATTTGAAGTACCAATGACCATTTTTGTCGCTTTTGCATGTATTTGTTCCTCATTTCATCTATTTCATTCTATAAACGTGATGTATTTATTTCTTGTAATTATGTATTTTCTTGAATATTACTGTAACGCCAGTGGAAAACAAATTTATAAGTAGACCTGTAACTTGTTTGCCAAGACCAAATAAAATATCTTGTATCTTGTATCTTGTATTGTGCAATTTTAGGGGGACAATGGTTGGGAATTTGTTCTTTGATACATCCAAATGATATGTACCTTTGAAAGTTTCTATGTCTACACTTCAGACACCTTCCTCAACATTTACTGGCAACTTAATTGCCAGTTTTTTGATCACTGGAAGATCTAAAACTATTCATATGTATCGACATGATGGTTAAATCCTTTTAACTTTTACAGAGTTGAGTTACACATTCTGTTATACTATTGTACTTCGAAATTGAGTTTTAAATACATGAACATGTACATGTATGTATAAATGGCCCTCTATCTTTATTATAGTGTATTTGAATCAAGTGATACTGGGATAACTACATAATATGCTTTTTTAAGATATTGGGGGAATCCTGATCCAGGAGAAATCTTGGTAATCATTTGTGTCTGTATTAAATCATATTCACTATCCCTTTTCTACAGGCTATGATCCGATCGATGGTAGAGAGTCTCTCAGCTGATCTGACTACAGGGTCGGACCTGATCGACAATGCTGAGAAGCAACTTGGATCAGAACAACCTCTCAATGAGGAGATCAGGCCTCTACAGCAGCAAGAGACACAGCATCAAGTAAGAAATTTTCCCATTTTTTAAAAGTCTCGTTACTGGTACGTGTGATTGTGAGAAGTTAAGGTTAAAGTTAAGTGTGGAAGATATATATTTGAAAATGAATTGCTGGGGATGGTTATGAAACATGTTTGATAAACTTATGTCAAAGGGAGACATGTCCACACAAATAATAGCCTTGCTCTTGTAAGATACAAGCAATGGCCAAGAGGATTCCAGCATGTATACATATACAACTATTACATAATCTGCACAGTGCGAAAGTGTCATGCCAAAGCATGTACATGCAAACACGATAGTGTGAGTGACATGATGTGAGCGTGTTTCCCAGAATACAGTTATCTTCTTGAACCATGAATATGTAGTCCTGACAAATCAAATGAATTTGTATATTTTTTAACCGGCTCTGTTACATTTTTCCAGTGATTCATGTTATTTTAACAAGATATTCCTGCAAAATATTTTCATTTCTAAGTTTAGGAAAGTGATGACTTGCACTGTTAATGCTCACAATTTATTTACTTGTACACTTTATGTAAAGCTGTTGTGCAGCATGAGTCACTTCATCTTTTTTGCTTGTTTAATTTTTTACAGGCTTTAAACTCTGACATCACTGCTCACCAAGTACCCATCCTGAGGTCCATTCAGGACACCCAGACCTTCCTGGGCAAGTACGGTGACAAGCTACGTCCCAATGACAGGTCCATGCTGCAGGAGGGTGCAGACACACTCAAGAGCCGCTATGATACAGTCTCCAAGGTTAGTAGGCTCACCAGCTCTTTGACATTTTACAGGAAATCATCCAAAGTGTGTCCTTTAAGAAATAACATTCATTACCCATATTTTAAAGCCCCACTGTACTACTTGTAGCTACTTGCTCCCTCTATATAGAAAACTTTCCCAAATCGGTGCCCGTTGGTTCCCCAAGATCCTCTTTTTCTTATGTTAATTGAGAGCTGAGTTGATGAGATAACCAACTGTCAGTGACCATGCTGTGTGGTCTAATCCCTTCTGGCCAAACTAGTACAGATTTGGCTTTAAATCACTAGGAATAGTTATAGATTGAAGAAAGATAATTTGTGAGGCAATATGTACAAGAATTTTATTATATATGTGCTCTTGAAATACAAATATAGTCGTTAACAAACTTCTGCTTTGTTTTCTACCAGGAATCAAACCAGAGGAACAACAAGATTGGTTACTCCTCCAACGACCTCAACAAGTATGAGAACGAGGGCGGCACCTTCAAGCAATGGCTTGAGGATGCAGAGAGGCAGCTGGCCAATGCCAAGCGCAACGTTCCGGAGGACTACGAAGCTCTCAAGCACAAGCTGGACGAGCAGAAGGAGTTCACTGAGGATGTCAATGACCGCAAGGGTGACCTCAAGTTCATCAACATGACTGGACAGAAGTTCTTGGACAATGCTAAGGTGAGCCTTGTGTTGTGTACATTTTTTAGGCGTACCCAACACATGCTCTTTACATCACAAAATATTATGCCTTTTTTTCCTGTACTGTAACTCTGCTTTACAATTATACAGATGATACTAACGTATATACATTTATTCTAGATAACTTGTAAAATGTGACACCCCCAAAAAAAAGAACTGGTAGAAATCAAATGTGTTACATGCACCTTTAATAACCATAGGGGAGTTCTGCCAAGAGAGCTCTGGCATAATTCAATCATTAGTTGAACGATTAAAAAAAATGTAGATAAACTTGTATGAGGATGGGTTGAACACCTAAGGACACTTTATCATCATATTCCCTTTGCAGAACTACAAGACAGACCTGTCTCAGTTCAGGTCTGCTGTTCTACCTCGCGAGTTCAACCGCCAATATCGTGAGAACCCAGACTCCAACGTCATCCACTCCAACCTGACCGACCTCAATGACCGCTACTCCCGTCTCAAGACGGACTCCACTGACTTCCTAGCCAGGATGACCGAGGTGGCTGACCGCCAGAAGCGTTACAACAAGGCGGTTAACTACATCGATGGCTGGTTGACCAGCTCGAAGACCAACCTTGACCAGATGGTGAGGGAACCGATTGCTGCGGAGCCGGCTGACATTCAGAAGCAGATTGATCGCCTCAAGGTATGGAGTGTGTACATACAGTGACAGTATTTCCATAAGAATATGTATTGTCTGCTGTGAGCCAGAAGGACATTGACCCATTCTTTTTAACAGAGCTAATGAATTGCTAGCTTTACGCAGATGATATGCGCTGTTGTTCCTTGAATTTTTTGATGTATACCAGAACAAGCCTTAAATGTATTTAATGATGTCTTTTTTATCTTTGGTTTCTTTTTCAGATTTCTGAATAATATGTAGTCATGTCTGCTTTAGCAAGTTGCCAAATATAAAAATCACCTGTCTTTGAATTCTGCACTTTTTCATTTCCATTGATACATTGTTTTTCATTGAAGCATGTATCTAAGAAACCTGTACATTATTACCCCCTTCCTGTAAAGATCGTGTTTCTTTTCTCCTTTAAGCTGTCTTTATGAACAGGTTTCACTCTATTCAATTGTAACTTAAATTTTCTTGCCTACAGAACTTCTCTAATGATGTTATCATGCACTCTGATGAAGTTCAGCTGGTGGACACCACTGGCCAAGCCCTTGGTGAGGTCGTACCAGAGATGAAACCCAACATCAAGAGAAAAACCAGTAAGTGAAATCGACTTTAATCTTGCTCATTCAATCACTACTACAGCAAACTAGTCCTTATCATTTGATCTGTATGATGAACTCTTATTGGTCTTACGCCTACTCATAATGAAGTCCCCTGTGCTCTGTGAACTGTTGGCTTTAATGCTTTCATGTCAAAACATATATTTAAGCCCCTTGACAAAGAGCAAATTTATGAAATTGTCGGTTTACCTAATATGTCTATTGAAATGGCTCTTTCTGAGAGGCTTGAATTGACTTGCTAGAGAGATGAAAGACGTTGAAAAAAATACACCTCATTTGTTCTTTTTTTTTAAACACCACTGGGGCTCCTGTGATTTTTGAATTCTGCACATCAAGTTACATGCAAATTTAAGCTTGGATTAAACAAACAATTCATGGTTTCTTTCCTTAGCCGATGTTCACAACAGTTACGATGGTCTGCGTGGCAGCATCGATGACCGCCTCAACACCCTACAGAATGCCCTCTCTCAGTCGCAGAGTGTCCAGGACAGCATGGCTGATCTACTACGCTGGTTGGACAAGGCAGAGAGGGACTACCATGTCCTTGACAAGGGTACTGCTGTCAAGGTCAAGAAGGAGCCACTCCAGGAACACTACCAACAGTACAAGGTATGGAGTAACTTTGATTTAATATATTATCCAATTTTAATCTGCTGTGTTTCTGTTTCAAAACAATAGTGATGGTATCAATACACATTTTGAGTTTCTGTTCATTGATGTATCTGCAGTTTTACTTATAGATTTATTAAAATTGTACATCTGCAACCATTTAACCTAGTGATTGCACAGAATGGCAAGTGATGGGAATGGAGTTGAACAGAGTATGTTAATAGACCATGCAGAATTTTTCTGTAGATGTGGCTTAGCATTACATGAAATGGTTAATCGTTTAGTGAGTGATTTTGTGAATGAAGTCGAGACAAAGCCAAAAATGTTTTTGGATTGCAAGCACTCCCCAGACTGATATACTATATGAGACATAGAAGAAAAAAAATCAACATGTGATAAACAAAGAGGAGAGCTTCATATTTATTGAATGATATCTTTTATTCTCAGATCCTGCAAACGGACATTGACAACCATCGCCCCATTGTGGAGTCCATCAATCGGCAATCAGGGGATCTGATCAGGAACAGCGAGCCTCAGGTCGCCCAACTGATTAAGTCAAAGCTTGATGAGATCAATCAACGCTACACCCATGTGGATTCAGATACACAGGTAAGGGATTAAGGAATAGGAGGAAGAGAGAAAAAGGGATTAATAAGCTAAAGCCCAACTGATCAAGTCGAGGCTTGATGAGATCAATCAACGCCACACCCATGTGGATTCAGATACACAGGTATTAAGGGAATAAGAAACAGGAGGAAGAGAAAAAAAGGGAGTAATAAACTAAAAAGTATTTCTTAGGCATTGTATCTTTTCAGTAGACCAGCAAAATATGAATTGAAGGAATTGAAATTTGATTTTGAAGTTGAATAGATTTGATTTGACTAAAATAGAACAAATTTGAATCAAGTCATATTGAAATAGACTGAAATGATTTTATTATTAAAATTGAAGCAAATGAACTTGATTTTAATGGAACTGAGTTAGATTGAAAAGAACTAGTTTGAAAAGTATAGAGCAGATTTCATCTTTAAGTGATTTGAATTCAATCAAATTGAAGTGAATTAGATTGAATTGAACTAAGTTGAGATATATTGAATGTGCTGGATTTGAATGAATCTGACTTATAACACAATAACTTTGATTTAAATTGAATTGAATCAAGTTGAATTGAATATTGGTGATTTAACTTGAAATGAACTGGATTGATATGAATTGAATTGCAGGGCACAGGGCAATACCTGACTGATCTGACGGACAAGTTGAACGAGTTTGTGAAACAGGTGGATTCTCTTGAAGACTGGGAACTACCCGTCGTCAGTACTATCGAGAGCAGTAACTTCATGCAGGGCAACCTGAATGATGTCGCCAGCAAGCTCATGGTTCGTTTAAAATCTTTTTAACGTTATTTTGACCATCATAATACAGTCATTTTAGATTACAAAAGGATAAAGAATTTTGGCGATGAAGGAGAACAAGATTTCATTGATTCAGTGCAAACTTGGACTGAACATTTAAAAACTATGAAATACATGTACACTGTACCTGATTGTCTGCCAAACAAATTTGATATAAATGTGCAATGAGCACAGTAAGATATTAAAGTAAACATTGAGTTCACTAGAATGCTTTAAGTAAATGTAATTTCCAGCAAGATTTTTGTAGCTTGGGTTATCTATTTAATTATTCATTTATTCATTTATTCATTTGTTTATGTATTTATTTACCACTTGTGGAATTGAACACCCTGATAAGCATGACTGTTTTTTTTCTTAATTTTGTCCACTTACATTTTACTGTTGCCCATACAAGCCTTCCATTGCACGATGCACACTTCAGAAGCAATTGATGCCAGTTTTTCACAAAGTACAGTTCCGTCACCATAACTTATTGTTCCGTTTAGCTTTAAAGCCTGTCTGGACTAGTTTGGCCAGGAGGGATTAGACTTCCCTGCATGGTCACTGACAGATGGTTATCTCTTCAAATCAGCTCTCAATTAACATAATAAAAAGGGGATCATGGGGGACCAACGGGTACTGCTGAGGCATTGTTTGCTATAAAGAGGATGCAATTAGCTACATGTAGTGCAGTCCTGCTTGAATCCCTTTCTTTTGATCCTTGTTTTCAGGACTCTCAGCGCCAGATGGAGGGCCACACCCAGCAGCTGAACCTGGTCCGTCGTCTTGGCTCAGAGCTCTTGAAGCACCCCAAGGCCAGCGACACATCCTTCGTTTCCACCGTTCTGGACAACACCAACAGGAACTGGGAGTGCTTGGAGGATGGCATCGAAAAGAGGTTTGATTTTTGCCATTTTCATTTGTATAATTTCTAAAATGAAATCAATCGCAAGTCCTCCATTCAATCACAAGTTTGCAATCCCTATCTCCTATTTACATATTTGCGATTGATATTGGTGTATTTATCTACGAGCCTCTCATGTTTTTAAAAACCTTAAATGGAGTGATTGCATATAGAAATAACTGCTTTTAATTCAGCTAAAAGTTGTTCAATTTTTGGTTTTAAATTTCATCAGAAATGAAGAACAATGAAAGAATAATCTGATGTATTTTTCTACAAGCCTCTTGTCTTTTCAAGAACTTTACAGTTGAATGATTTTACATGTACATGTACCTGTAGGTTTGTGAATTGGATTCCTCAATGAATAGTGTAAGGTATTTCATTCTTTATTCACTGATGATGTAATTTTAAATGTAAATATATGTGTACATTTACATAAACGATATTTGAAATAGTATTATAAAGTGCTACATGCACATTGCTGGTACAGTGTACCTGTCAAAAAGAAAGAGCATAGTGAGAAATATTACCATTGATAAACAGAAAAAATGGACATCTAAAACATTTGATGAAGAAACTTTTATAGATACGTGCATGTAATATTAGAACTGAGAGTGGATTCCAAATACTGTAAGATTATACTCTCCTCTCTCTTTGTACAGAACCCAGCAGCTGGAAGAGAGACAGGCGGCCACCAAGAAGTACGGCACGGCCAGCACGGACACCAACTACTGGCTAGACACTACAGAGAGGAAAGTCAAACAGCTTCAGCCGGTCTCCATGGACAAACAGACCATCCAGATACAACTCAGAGAAGTACAGGTGGGTAATAATAATAGTGGTCCACCTTTCGGTGCTCATGGCGCTTAGAGAGAAATACATGTAACAAACGTAAGAAGAAGAAAAAAAAATCTCCCAGACATTATCAGATTTAAGAAAATTACTTATAATTATTACATCAATTGAATCAAGATTATTTTTGGATTTAGCTTGTTTGGTTCATAACAGTTACAGTTTTACATATGTATTTGGCTTTTTAAAAAAATGTATAAAAAATGTACAGTATGTCTTTAAATTTGTATAAAATATAGTGTCATATGTTTGGAAATCGATCAACAAAGTGTAATTGTATACTAAAAGTTGTGGTTAATTAGTTTTTATTGGATTTTATTTGATGCTAGAATTAACATTATGTTACTACAAAGAGATTAATGCACGGAAATTCATTGTATCTATAAAAAGATAAAAGTCGGGAAGAAGAACACAAAACTATGTTAAATAAAGCAATCTGTATATTGCAAGACGTTGGCTGCCTGCAAGAAAGCTGCTATTGCCATTGATAATACATAGCTATTACGGCCTTCTTGCGGACAGTCAATGAAATGTCTTCTAACTTGGAGCTGATTGTCTTTTATTAATTGCATCCTCGATATTCCTTGGTTATTTATAGCCTCTGCGTGAGGATGTGGTCAATTACAAACCCACCATGACTGACCTCAACAAGGTCGGCAACAACCTTGACCGCATCATCAAGGTCACCAACTCCTCCACGGCAACGGAGCCTCATCTCAGGTCCACCACGCTAGGTCAGGAACGCAAGCCTGGTGAGAGGCTTAGACCCAAGATGGCTGCCTTGGACCAGAGTGGATTCTTTGATGGTCAGTAGATTCTCATCTTGTTCATGTAATAGTTGTATCTCATCCAAGAATATAATTCTAGCTTGAGCAATTTCAAATGAAAAAGCACCCATTTAACTAATGATTGTGAAGTTGTTGCCTTTCAATGTATGTCCTTCGTCCGTAAAAGGGGAATGATTATGCAATTCACAAGTTGTAAATTACTTTATTTCATGTTACCTAGCTGCCCTGTATGGACCATTAATCAGGTCAAGTCCTGGACCTTTCTTAGTATGTTCTCATTTTCTCTATATATCTTTGTCATGATGTCTCTTTCTTGTATCTATAAAGTGATGTACATACAAACAATGTTTTAACAGAGATTGGTATATGTAGTGTAGCGTAGTCACCTTACGTCGATATGTGATTCTTTAACCACCTACAAGATACTTTACCTGGACGAGTTTAAGTTTGAATGATGCCAGAAATAAGTGAAGAATTTCCAATGTGAAATATAAAAGAAAAGTTTATGTCTAGCATCCTAGACATAAAAATATAGAATAATAATAGCACTAGAATGGCATTTTACCTTGTGATGAATTCCTATGTACCTTATGTAAGAGGACTCATCACTAAAGTTATGCTTGAAACACTGAAATCTTGCTCAATATCATCAAAAATTAACACGACGTGGAATCCTTTCCAATGCACATAACAGAGGAATCGCCCATCAAGGACGAGCTCAACGTTTCCAACGACCGTTACGACGAGCTCCAGGCCAAGCTCAAGGCCAGAGCAGAGCTTCTGGAACTCATCAGTGAATACATGGACCTGATGGGACGTCTTGGTGAGACCCACGACTGGATCCAAGAACTGGACCAGAAGATCAACATGAGCAAGAGTGGATCTGGAGACCTGGAGTCCCTCCAACGCCACCAAGATGATTTCTCGGTAAGTTGTTTTGGTTGACTGACAGGACATCAAATTCATTTCAAATTTGATTTACCCTGTTGTAGAAAAGATTATCATACTGTATATTTTATGTATTGGACTGACCTTGCAGTTAATAGTTCCCTGCCCAGCATACATGTACATCGTGTAATAAAATTTTATCAATCAGTCATACATTTCTATAAAAATTAGCTTCTAGAAAGTGAACAAAATGAAGAAAGCTATTCAAGGGGTAAAAGAGAGACAGAGGTATAGAGAATAATGAGTACAATGTGTGGTAGAAAAGAATACTTTTATATAAAGTACACAAATACTATAAGACTTCTTTTGTGGATGATCCCCCTAGAACCTGAAGAATGATTTTGAGCAGCGGCGTGTGCCTATCCAGGAGGTGATCAGTGACGCTGAAGCCTTCCTGAGGGTCAACCGCAACCAACTCAACCGTCAGCAGACCCAGGACATGCAGGACAAGATCAACGCCCTCAGACGATACCTTGACCAGGTCATGGTCATCACAGAGCAGATCGTCAAGGAGACGGAGACACAGATCATGGCTGTGAACCAGCAGATGCAGGAACAGGTGGGTTTGTAGATGAGTTAAAGAGTTGATAGTGATGGTGGTTGTTTTGATGATGATGATGATGATGATGATGATGATGATGATGTTGATAATGATTATGATGATGATGATGAGGATGAGGATGATGATGATGATGACGGCCATAGTGATGGTGATGTTGATGATGATGGTGATAATTGGTGCGGTTGAATACTGTATATCGGAAAATATATTAGACTTCATACTTATGTTATATTTGCTTATCATCCTCTTTAGTCTCAACTAAGCCTTCAATTCTTGGAGGTATCCACAGCACTTCAAGAGATGCTGGATTGGGTCAAGTATTCTGAAGAGCAGCACTCTTCACAGCAACCTCTCTTTGAGACCGGAGATGAAGTCAATTCACAACACCAGACTCATACAGTAAGTAGTATTCATTGTGATTTTTCTCCTTGTATAGTCTTTATAACCAAATAGTCTATCCCTTTCCACTCCCTTGTGGAAATTATATTGAAACAAGAATTTGAAAACTGTAATATTGACGCACTACCTGTGGGAACCAGATGGTTTTTGTATTTAGCATAAGCAAATTCAGGAAGTCGCCAGTTGGTGTCTAACAACAGTGACAATAAGCATCACCATACATTGCATCACACTCATGTTATTTCTATAATGTGCCTACAGGGCCTCAATACCGATGTCCAAGACCACTCTGAGCCTGTCCAGAAGGTTATCCAGGATGCCAACACTCTCCTGAAGGCCCAGAGCTCAAAGCTCACAGAAGACAACAGACGCGTCTTGCAGGAGAACTCTGATGAGCTCCGTACCTGCTATGACCGTCTCAACAAGCACTCCACTGACCGCTCCAACAAGCTGACCTTCGCGCTGGAGGACCTAGCAAAGATCGAGGAGGACTTCGGTGAGTTTGGCGATTGGTTGAGGATGGCCGAGCAGGAGTTGGACGCAATTGTCAGGAACATCGCAACGGACGGAGACCACCTGGAACAACAGGTCGGGGATCACAAGAAGTTCACAGATAATGTGGTGACGCACTCTGCTGATCTGAAGTACACCGACAAGGCTGCTCAACAGTTCTTGAACTTCAGCAAGGTAAATGTTAACATTTATAGAAGAACATAAGTCCACTCGTTCTAGTACATATACATTTCTTTAAACTGCAGTCAATATTGACTCATTGTGCACTTTATACATGTACTTGATAATAATCTGTGTTTTAACATTTGGTTTGAATTACCATTCTGCTGTTTAAATTTGAGTCAAAAAGTATGCTTTCGCTTTCATGTCATGTTGTATTTCACACTGCAGGAACATCACAAATGCGTTTTACGTGTACAACAACTTGTGATGAACTTTTTTAAATTTGGCATTTGGTTATAGTTCTAGGAATTAAAAAAAATAGTTTATATCTACATGTATACTGTACATGTCCTTAGTATTTGTTTCTCTTTCTCTATAATTACATTTTTTACCTACAGACCTATCGAGATTTCATCAAGGAGTTCCGCAACAAAGTGTCCTCCCGAGAATTCCTGCGCTCCTTCCAGGAGAACAAGGAGAGTGAGGTCATCTTCAAGATCCTCTCTGACTTACATGCCCGCTACGAACGACTCAGGACAGCCTGCTTTGACCACGGTGACCTCTTGGGTCAACTGGTAGTCAAGCACACCAAGTACTGGGGTCGGGTCGGAACAACACAGGATTGGCTCCAGGGGGCCAACGACTCCTTGAAGGGTATCCTCAAGGAGCCCATCGGCGCAGAGACAGCAACCATTAGGAGACAGATTGAACAGTTGGCCAATTTCAGGAAGGAGGTCGGAGGTCATCAGAAGGACGTGGACGGAGTCACAGAATCTGGTGTGGACCTCAGTCAGGCTCAGCCTAACATCAGGCCTACTGTTGATAGGACCACAGGTGAGTTGTCTTATTCTTATAACTAGGATTCTCTCTCACAAAATGAGTTCTTTCTTCTTTTGTAGTGCAGTGGTAAATTAGTTGCCCTGTTTAGATGTTATTTAAATGCCAAAACCTGTACTTATTCAGTTTATTTAGTGGTCAGGTCCTTGACGTAATTTGATTACAATTGATAAAAAGCCTTGGCACACTTACCTACATGTAGACACTCTCAGATGAATTTCTAGAAGTTTACAGTGACAATGAAAATAATCTAGAACACTCATAGTATGCAGATATATTTAGCTAAAGTATTCTAAGGCACATGAGATTTCCTGGCTTTAGGTTGCCATGATAAGCGGATTTAGCGTTTCATTGAATTTCTTGAATAAATGTTCATACTTTGGATACCAAGTAGTCTGGTAAGTTATCCACTAAACCTCGACAGTGCCGCAACATGAAATTGTACATTCCGTACCAGGCCCTTGAGACTCTTGTAATATCCATACAACGATCTTGTGAGTAACAGTGCCCAATCCCTTTCCCCCTTATCAGGTGAGATTGTGGATGACTACGAGGGTCTTCAGGGGCAGATCAACGACCGTTCAGCAGCCCTGGAAGATGCCCTTGCCAAGTCGCAGAATATCCATGACAACATCGATGAACTGATGTCCTGGCTGGACAACAAGGAGAAGGACGTCCATATGATGAACAAAGGAACGGTGGTGGTCGTCAAGTCTGCTCCCATGGAGGAGCAAATGTCACAGGGAAAGGTAGGGACAATAATAATAATAATAATAAATATGTCTTGTTTACCCAGGGTAGCCTCATCAGTATTCATTTTGTTCTCCCTGAGGGCCCTACAATCATATTATTACCCCGTTCATCGGATTCAGGCTTACCCACACACAATGTATGCACATTCTCCACTCTCTTGGGAGCATTCCAGCAAGGCGTCATTTTTACAAGCGCACACTTGCTAATCTAAGCACATTAGCTTTCGCATCCTACCGGGTACCCATTTAACACCTGTGGTATAATCATCTATAGCTTAAGCTTATTGAGGCCAAGACTGCTCCTTGGGCTAAATTGATGAGGTATTCTTCAAATTGGCAATGCTAATATTTATTATATTTTGTATCTATTTTTGTGTGGCTAATATGTTAAGAGAAGCAGAGGGAGTGCATCAAATACATGAATAAGTTCATTGGAATGACTGATAACAGAAGTAACATCACATTAAAAAGAAACAGAGATAGAAGTAGATGGAAAGCCTTGAATGCCAAAGTCTGGAAAAGACAAGGCACCTAACAAACGAGCAATATTTTTCATTTACTTTTTGATGAAAAGCTATTACAACTGAAGAGATTATACATGGAAAAAAAATGGTATGAAAGTTCAAAAATTGCCAAATTATTAGAACAGAGGATTCCTAACTTTTCATTTTAAAAGTCATGGGGTCAATATAGTTATATATTTTGGAAATGCACATACCTGTGGTAAACAGTAACACTTTCTTCGCTCAATTTATCTTCATTAAAGTATTCTGTGATATTATGTTTGAAGTGCATTTCTTATAGTTCACCCTTCCCAACAGTACATTATCTTGATTGAAACTAAGAAACTAACTAACTAATCATGGTTGCTGCTGTCGTTGTTGCTTTCAGATGATGGTAGATGAGATCGATGTTAAGAAACCTGTCCTGGAACAGATGGTGATGTCAGCGAACAACTTTGTTGAGAATTGTGCTCCAGAAGAAGGCTTGATCATCAAGCAGAAACTGGATAATCTCCATGCAAGATACAATCAGGTAGGAAGGATTACATCTATGCAAATTATATGTAGATGAGATGTGGTTATGATGCAGATGACTGCATAGTGAGTGCAGGTTTCAAGTAAATGCATACATCTAGAAAGTTGAAAATGCAAACACTGAAGATTAATAATATGGCACAGTCAGTTATCGATACATGGGCATTAACTAATGACATCTGAGGCAATGCATGTGTGGTTGTTGTTACAATAGTTTGTTTGGAGCCAGAAGGGTGTTAACTACTATACTTTAACTCATAGTTAAGACCCTTCTGGCTTCTTAGAGATGAAATATTGTACAAGGAGTGGAAGGAATCGTTATGGTATTAGCACTATTGCCTACATCCAAATCCTTTTGTAAACGATCACATTCTTAATCACATTTTATTCCTTTGTAGGTGTCAGGGACATCAAAGGACCACGGCCAGCAGCTCTCCAGCCTGAAGGACAGACTGAGAGACTTTGAGAAAGCTCTGGATGAGCTGGAAGATTGGGCTCTGCCTAAGATCGCTCGGGTCGAGTCCAAAGAATTCATGACACAGGAGCTGCCTAAGATCGGTGATGAGATCCAGGTAAGAGCTTTGCAAATATTTTGCTGATTTGGTTGTAATTTCTTGCCTCAAGTTTCTAAGATGAAGATGATGTCATTTTATATAATGATAGCCAAATATTCCCTAATCTATGGAAAAGTTATAATATGCTGGATAAAGAATTCTTCCTCTTGTTAAGTTGCTACCTTTATGACACCTTCGTTCACACTTCATGTGGTAAAATGGCCTCTAAAAACCGCCATGGTAAATACAATGACCAGAGCACTTTACATTTTCTTATCTTGTATTACACAGATTAGTTTATATGCCCAAAGGACTTTGTGGCAGCAATTACAAAAAAAAAGATAGTTTACCCTGTGTGTTGTGAATGAGGCTGTATGCTACAATTTGATCATTTCAGTTTTTCAAACATGAAAATTAAACTAGTCTGATCTCTCTTCTTTAATTCTCACTCAGCAATGCCGCCGAGAGACTGATCAGCACCGCCCTCAATACAAGGTAATCCATGACATTGCTGATGAACTCATGAAGCATCCAAAGGCAACGGATGTCTCTGAGGTCAAGACTATGCTCAAGAACTGTGAACTCAACTGGGACACACTCGAGAATGCTGTCACAAAACGGTTAGTAAATTGATTTCTCTGATATAGGGGTGATATAATAAAGCATATGATGTTATGCACACTATGTTGTCAGTGAATAAAAAAACATCACTGCGCTGTAAAGTGATGCCATAGTTGAAACTGGCATAAGCACACAGTGTATACTGTGTCGGCTGTCTCCATGAAGGCTGTTAGACCTGTGTATTGTCAATGGCGCTAATAGCCTTTTTGCGGGCAGCCAAGTACATGTATAAATGGAATTTCAGAGTAGCTAGTTAGAGACCAAGAGGCAGACAATAGAAACAGGGGATGGGACTGTGGGAAAAGATCTTCCACAGCCAATCATTGTCAATGTCGATGATGGGGACAGGGTACCATGGAATAGGGCCATAAAGCAAATTCAATTGCCCATTCAATCGTGTTGGGAAAATGGACGATAGATGGAAATTATGAATTAATGTTACACATGTGTTTGTTATCTGAATGCAGAGCTGAGCAGTTTGACAGGAAGCAAGCCGCAGCTAAGAAGTTCAATGCATCGTTCAGAGAGTCAACAGGATGGATTGAGAATCAATTGAGGAAGATCGATCAGATGGGCCCAGTCGCTCGGGACGTCGAACAACTCAAGAAACAGATCAGAGAGATCAAGGTACATGATAAAGCTATTTTATGGTTATTCTTTTACATGTACAGCTTTCTCTTTTCCTTCGTTATCTCCACATGTATTTGTGTTTTCTTATTTTATTTATTTCATTTATTCTTCGTGTTATACCTGTGTATCTTGCCATTCTATACATTCTTGATTTTGCTTGTATACCTTCTTTAACATTGTTCTTCCCTCCCTTTACATCCTCATCTATGTCCATGTTTGATTTCTTGATTACCCTTCTTCTTGCAGCCATTCCAAGGAGAGGTCAAAGACTACAAGCCAAACATCGATGAGAACTGGCGATTCGGTACCGTCTATGATCGCCTGATCAGTGAGACGGAAGATACTATCAATACTCGTACTCACGCCCGCTCAACTGAGATTGACGTCACCAAGCCGATTGATGCTAGACCCCCGACCTACGCCACGCCGGATTACATTGAAGACAGTAAGATGGAATAAATATTACCTCTTTTGATAGGAATCTAATCTCTGTATGTGTAAATTTTGTTAATTTATCTTTCAAAGATTATTACTCTATTTGTACCATTGAAATTGTTGAATTTAATGTTGCATCAAAGTACTCAGTCGTAGTATCCCATTTGTCATTCTTTATTATGATACAAACTTTACTTCATGACATCTACTTGTAAATCCACATTTCATGAACCCATCTCTACTTTAAGAAGTACAAGCTTTTCTTTGTCTAAATTATTACATTACATACAGTATTAATATATCTGAAGATTAAACTGCATATGGCAGTGTAAGGTTGGAGTGTAATGTGATTTGATTGAAGGATAATGCCTATTTTACATTGCAATTTTGCAGAGGACACCTTTGTAGATGACCAGATGGCAGAGGTCCAGGAAGGCTACAAGGCAGTCCAATACGAGATCTCAGAGCGCCTTGAGGACCTGGAACTCATGCTGCAGTTCCTGGAACGATGTGGTGGGATCTTTGGTCTGCAGGACTGGGCTAATGAGACAGAGACCAAGCTTCACCAGCTGAAGCCAACCAGCAGGAATGTGGAGGAGCTGGAGAGACAGATAGAGGCCTTTAAGGTATGGTGTCTTTGAAGGGAGTCTGAAAATGAAGAAATAGGGAGGAAAGATATTTTCTACTGCATTTTTATACAGCACAGCTGTCTTGTTAAAAATAATAGGTCCATCTGCATAATATGATGAGATATGTTTACTAATTTTTAAACATTTTGGGAATGAAAGAATAGAATGGCTTATCAAAAAGATACAATGTTAGTTGGATGTTGGAAACAAATTTGTGTTCAACATTCTCTTGGTAAAAATGATAGACATATACTACTCATGCTATTGATCAGCGTGTATCTCAAAGAGACTTTTATCTTCTGATCTGTTGATAATTATAATTTAAAAAAAGGATGTTAATTTTGTTCAAATGCCAGAGCTTTGACTGTCAAGAAAAAGAAATGGAGGGATATTTAACATCATAAACAAAGTTGTAAATGTGTTGTCATCTCAATCAACAAATTTCATCTTTTATCCATGTACCACTTTCAGCCCATCTGCAAGGACATCGCCGACCACAGGGTCCCAGTCTCAGACGTGACCGTCTATGCTGAACAGTTTATTCGTAACACCCAGGACAAGCTCAGTCCGGAGCTCCAGACGGAGCTTACCGGCCTGGTAACAGAACTGAGGGAGACGTACGAGAGGCTCCTGCGTGACAGCCAGGGATGGCAGAGGGAATCTGAAGATACCTTAGCTGCTTTGAAGAAGGACAGAGATGAAACGGTAGGTGACATCCTCTGCTGAGACCCAGAAGGGCTTTCCACATATGATTAATGCCCCTATGGCTCTCTGTGAATGATTTGGTCGTTTTCTTCTTCTACTGTAGAAGTACAGGTTACCATGTTGTCTGTGTATCTCTTTAATTATAAATTGTCAGCAAGAATATATTGGCTTGGGTAGGTCAAAGGGTGATTGTATTTTTGTGTATTGATTCATAATTTTTCTTTTTTAGAATACATAAAGGTAAATTTGAGAACCAAATCCCACCGCTGCCACCATGTTTGACAGGGAGATTTTAAACATTGCATTTATGGTTTCAATGCAAACACCATGTTCATAGCTAGTAGAGGGGCAATACATGTAGTTGTGACATGTATATGGGTGGGCACTCAACGGTCCATTTATAGAGCTCCACTAGTTAACCCCCACACAGATTCTCTATGAATGGAACTATTCTGAATGCAATGAATTTGACCTATGAATGAGAATCCAGTTAGAAAATATTTGCTCATTTTAATTTGCAACTGCATCATATTTCGCATAGATGTCCGTGGAGGAAAGAGTGAAGGAGCTAATGCGATCCCTCCAGGACCTGTTGGACTGGGTAACACAAGCCGAGAGACACCTTGGCTCTGAACAGCCTCAAGAAGAGGCGATCCAACCTCTCAGCAGGCAGCAGCAAGATCACCAGGTCTGTACCTCCTTAAGGCTGAATTAGTCTATTTTACAGGGCAAATTGTGGCAAAAGGTGTTGTGAGTGTCATGTTTATAGAAAAATGATGCTTACATTGATGTTCAGTGTATCAAAGCATTTGAAATTACATGTTCATGTGAGCAAAGGCACATTGAATCTTTGCATACAAAGTTCACAAAAACGATCTCTTCAAAACAACAGTCCTTCGTATTCCTTTCTTTGATGCCATTCTTTCCTTTTGTAGATTAAGAGTGATCTTACATTTCCTCAGCGAAAACTGCTCTAGACTTTATTTCTAAAGAGGTATGAGGTTAGGTGTAGTGTCAGGTCCAGGGTTGAAGTTGAGGTTAACAGGTGGCGTAATTGACCCTGGAGGAATTTTTGCCTTAGCATTTTTTGTACAACCAAACTAACACAACATCTTTAATGCATTTACTACAGACAATTTAAGTGAGAGGAAAATTGAGTTTTTTGTGTGCCTTTGAACACATTACAGGTGTTGCATGAGAACATTCAGCAGCATCAGCAACCAATCCTAGAGGCTGCCCAGGACGTTGAATCCCTCATCAAGCAGTTCCCCAAGCGCATTGACGAGCCCACGCAGAACAACCTCCGTAGCTTTGCCAACGACCTCAAGTCCCGCTACAACGTCGTCAACTACCAGTCCACTAATCGCACGACCAAGCTCACCTCCCAGGTCGAAGAACTCCAAGGGTCCACCGACGATGAGGGCGACTTTGGCCAATGGCTGACCCAGGCTGAGAAGACCCAAGCAAATGTCCTGAAGAACGTTGGACGTGACCTGACCACTCTGAAGCAGCAGAACTCACAGCAGAAATCCTTCAACGAGGATGTGGTCAACCATGTCGCTGAGCTGCGTTTCATCAATATCACTGGACAGAAGTTCTTGGATGCTGCTAAGGTGATTACTTAAATTTTATCCATTTAGTTCCAAAAGGATGGACAAAATGTTGAACATTATGTTAATAGAAGTGTAATTATATGACAGTTGGCTTGTTAAAGAAATAAACTAAAAGTAAAGATTGGCACAGAGATTAGGAGCCTCTTACATGTATTTTGTATAAATTGTTTTAGACTCAACTGATCGGTAAAGGGTATGTACAGTGTAAGTGCATAATAAGGGAGCATACACTGAACATCTGGAATTGTAATATGACTTCCCCTACCCTCTGTATTGTTTTAGGTCTACCGCTCGGAACTAGCAGACTTCCGCAATGAAGTCCTGCCTCGGGAATTTGTCCGCAACTTCTCTGAGAACCCAAACACCAACCTCATCCGTGACAAGATCGCTGACTTCAACCAGCGCTTTGACAAGCTGAAGCTGACCTCTGCCCAGCACCTGGAGCTTCTCCAGGACCTTGTGGAGAGGCACACAGTCTACGTCAAGGCCAGTGATCGGGTAACGGACTGGTTACCTGGTGCTGAGGATACCCTAGGAACACTCCTCAGGGAACCTATCGCAACAGAGCCAGCAAATGTCCAGAAGCAGATCAACAAGCTGGAGGTGAGATTTATGAACAACTGTTTCAGAATATAATGATTTTGTTTGAATGAAAGTGGTGTAATGTAGACCATTTCATGTAATTCTTCTCATTAAGAAGGCTTCTAACTTTTAAACGGTTGACTTTCAAATGGCAGTTAAATTTTTTTTTTTAAAGGGCATTTTAAGCTTCTGTAAGGCTCCACATGTTGTCAACAGTCTATACAAAAGGAAAGCCAAGAAGAAATGGTAATACCAATTAAGACAGGAATGCATGCAGCTCTCTGTCAAGTAGTATCGCTAGTTCCCAAAATAATTGGAATGTAATTGTTCTTTTTTCTGCAGACTCTTCGTGATGACGTTGTCCTGCACTTGAAGGATGTAGAGAACGTAAAGGAAGCTGGCAATGAACTCCTAGAAGTCCAAGAGGAATTACGACCAGACGTCACCCGGAATGTCAATGACATCACCAAGCGCTACGACGACCTGAACGGAAAGATTGCGGCACGTCTGAAAGAACTCCAGGCTGCTTTGGCCAAGTGCACAAGCGTCCAGGAGAGTATGGACATGCTTCTGAAGTGGCTGGATGAGTCTGAACGCAATGTTCACCAGATGGAGAAGGGGACTTTGATTGCAGTGAAGCGAGAGCCACTTCTTGAGAATCTCCAGGAGCAGAAGGTAATAGAGTTATTCTCAGATATAAGGAAGAGGAAGTTAAAAGAAGTAGAGAGATTGGGAATATACATTGTGTAACAAGAAAGATAAGATAATCCTAACATGAGTGAAAGAGAAAGGGAAGACAGAATAAAAGCATTGGCAGAAAGGAGGGTAGATGAAATAGAGAGGGATGACTGAGATAAGTACCCAGACATATCACTAAACCAGAGAATCACATGTTGATGCATGTTTTTTGGGTCAAGAATAGAAAAAGAGTAACAATTTGAGAGAAACACATGTTCTTTTAAATGGCCATGTATAAGTTGTAAGAATTCAAAGACTATGAAATTCTTACAGAATTTGACTTATTCTAATTTGCAGGATGTGTATTAAAGAGGTAACTTATTGTTCCCTTATTCACTCTTAGGTCATCATGTCTGACATTGAGAACCACATTCCAGCGGTTGATTCCGTCAACACCCAGGCTCTTCCACTCATCAAATCCAGCGAGCCAAAGGAAGCACGCCAGCTACAGACCAAGCTGGACTCCATCAACGAACGCTACGGCAAGGTGGACACCAGGACCAAGGACCATGGCGTCCATCTTGAGAACCTGAGCCGCAGACTGTCCGATTTCGAGGAGGAGGTGGAGAATCTAGAGGATTGGCTGCTGCCTACTGTTGAGGAAGTAGAGTCCAAGCAAATCGCACAGCTGCCTCTGCCAGAGTTTGGCAGTAAATTGCAGGTGGGTTTTAGGACTAGGGTGCACATTTCATTTTTTGTGTGAAGCAAAGGCTCTATGTGAAATGTTCTTAGAGCACATACTTGTATTCTAGACTTAAACAAAAGTAAACACTTGTTCATTTGAATCTTTCAAAATGCTTTATTTCAGATATTGGTCAGTCCTAAGAATGCGTTTGTAAAATAATGAAAAGAGAAATTAGTGAAGTTGTGTGTTAACTAGTTTCATTGTGAAGCACTATTACCATAACTTGATCTAATGAGAACTTTAAATGGAGCCTGTTGCTGCATACATGTACATGGACATGGACATTAGTAGTAACTGTTGGACCAATCGAAGTGAATGTTATTTTTTTTTTTTTAACTCTCATCTGATAGACGACCAGTATTATATCAAACCCTTCTCCAGAGATTTACATTTACTTTGTCTTCTACTCTATGGTTATTAAAATCTTTCATATTGCCTGTTATCCTTTCTCAGAATGTCCGTCAGCAGACAGATGCTCACAGGCCACCCCTGAAAAAGGTTCACCAGCTTGGTGATGAGTTGATCAAGGATACCAAGGCCAAGGATACCTCCTATGTGACGTCTGTCCTCGGCAATGTGGACGCTAACTGGAAGGCAGGAGAGAAGGCCTATAACACCAGGTAAGATTAACAACCCCTTCCAAGCCAGGAAAATCCTGTCAAAACCTCATTCATATATATTGTGATAAACCATCTTTAAAAGAAGCATACTGGCAAAAAAAAAAAAATAACAAGTGAATTAATGGCAACTGAGGGCGATATTTAAACAAGACTTAAGAATGTACCCCATGGGCTGACATGTCATATTGTACTTTTCTGGTTAAAAAAATTACTGTTTCTTTCAACCTGAAAAGAAATGCGTTATGTATTTACTTTGCAAAGATTGTTCCTTTGGAAGATATTCTTAAGCCAAATTCAGTCATAAAACATAGTTTTAAAATGCCAAAGTAAAATCTTGCATTTAATTCACAAAAAAAAAGTGACACAAAAGGGGTTTAGTTCCAATGTTTTAGATGCTTTATCAATGCTTATACTTGTTTCATACCCACAGGAACAAACAACACGATGACCTCTCGAACACAACCAAGAAGTACCAGACTGACCGCAAGGATGTCCTGTACTGGCTGGACAACACAGAGCGTCGTCTTGACCAGGTCAATCCCCAGGCCATGGACACCAACACTGTCCAGATCCTCCTCAAGGAGCTAAGGGTAAGTCTTCATTATTCTGACTTCCCTCAGGGATCACCTTATTGCAATGAAACCTGTGTATAAAGACCAATCATGGAAGACTTGAAGAGTGATCTTTACACACGGGTGGTTGTTATATACAGGTTCATTTAATTCAGGATTCAGTGAAAAATACTGTACAAAGGATTCAATTGAAGTTAAGATTGTGGTCTTTATAGTGAAAAATCCATTTGCCCCAATTTATGTTTCTTAAGAATGTGACATATTAAAGCTTACATCTGAAACTATTAACAAAGGTCCTTATTCAACCAGTTCACCGTTCCTTATTGATATCCAACTCCCCCTCCAACAACAACAACAAAAACATCAATTTTACAAGGGGTATGAGTAATTCAGTTGTAAACTATATGTACAAGTATTTCACCTTCACATAATGAAGGTCAGAGTTGTTGTATGGGTTACATTACCCTGGGATTATAAATAAGCAGCCATATCATTGCATGGGCAAGGCCAGTGAGGTAATCATTTGAAATCTTACACACAAGGCCTAGGATTGATGACTTTCAGGTTGTAACAACTATTAGCTACTGTATTGCTTGTAAGCTCTGATTACATCAGGTCTCATGAGGTGCATTTATGATCTAATTTGTGAGATAAATGTATCTGTATATTATAGTTACATGCATCTACATGTATATATCTACTTTCAGTATTCACTCAATGCATCTTTTGTAAATTTCATTGAAACAGCCATTGCAGAAGGAGATCACAGACTACAAACCCAAGATTGACAACAACTCCAAGAACGGTCAGACACTGGACACGGTCATCCGCGATACCGTCCAGCCCCTTCAGAGTGTCCCTCATTACAAATCTACTGAGCTTGGGAACATTGGACAGCAGGACCAGGCGGGCAAGTTCCAGGAACCAGTGGAGTTCATGGGTAAGTAGACATTCATTGTTGCCATGGTTGCTTCAGCCCCAAATTGTGCTTTGGCTCTGAAACTAAACATTAGGTCTACTAAATGTGTACATGTACATGTATATTAGATTAATAGCACACTTTAAGTACTGTGTTTGTTTTGACAATGTTACCACATCTTAGTATGCAAAAGAGTATAAAACAGTACAATGAAATATGTCATCATTTTAATCAATATATTATATGCTAGTCAGCACTTGTATATTATCTATTCGTAACCTCTATTTGTATTGCTATGTACATGTAGGTAATAAGAAATGTAAGTGACAACAGTGATATTTTACTTAGTTTGTTATGAAGACAGATGTCTTTTTTCTTCAGTGCAATCAATAATTACTTTATTGATAACTGAAGAGTATTTCTGTCTTTTTCAGTGCTGCTTTATCAAAGTGGAATTGCCACCATTGTTTTTATAGCAAGAGAATCTACTGTATGAATCAAAGCTTACACTATCTACATGTATGTACACGTAACAATGATATCCTCTCCTTTCCTATATCAGGTGAGACCCCGGTCCAGGGTGAGGTCTACGATGTCAACAATCGCTATGACAACCTCAAGCACCGCATCAATGCCACGCTGGAGGACATCGCCCTCTCTGAGGAATGGGTCAATAACCTCAACAAGGTCAATGCTGACCGTGAGTGGGTCACTGCCTCGGACACTAAGATGGACAGGGCAAGACCGATGGCCAACGACATCCCAACACTGACCAAAGAGATTGAGGTCTACAGGGTAAGTTTTTGGAATGATATTTAAAAAAATTATGAATTAAATTGTGATAGAACCTTCAATTAGCCAGAGTAATAAATTATCAAGAAGATCTAGTTTCAGAAGTGATTTTACTTTTTCATCCAAATAGACAATGTCCTTGTTGAAGGAAAGGTATTACTTTTGTTTTAATTCCTCTCACAATTTGAAGAATTGTGACTCCTCATCTCTGCTATCACATACCATAATTGTGCTGTTCTTTATTAAAGACCACAAATCAACAAAAGAAAAGTATTAAAGATTAATTTTGTTTTCTTAGATGTTCAGACAGATTTGCACCTATGGTAGCAGTAATGACACTCTTCCCTCTTCCTCCAAAATTTTTTTTTTTAACAAAAATTGTTCTCTGTTTTCCTAATGCCACTGAAGGGCATCCACAGCGACGTCCGCGCCAGGCAGCCCAACATCTCCGACACGGTCAACGGATCCGAGCTCTTCCTGCGCAAGAACAAGGACAGGCTAGCACCCAAGCAGAACGATGACCTGACCAAGAAGTCAGGTGACCTGCGTGTAGAGTACGATGACATCTACAACAGGTCAGATGACTGGCTCAGGGAGGCCGTTGATAGGCTTAACAACATGGAGATGGATGAAGTGCAGAGGGTAAGATCCTTTTGGATAACTATAACAATATTTTATATTTTTAGCGCACATATCTCCCTGAAGGTGCTCAAGGCCCTCCAAAATTACCCGGGTTTGCTAGGCTACCGATTTCACTCAGGTCTCACAGCATTCATGGAAACATGTGTACTTAACTTGAGTTGCAATGAATTACTTCTTAAACAAGGATTGTATCCATAAAGTATTATGAAACAAGCCATTATGCCTCTTTTAGTTATGAAGCAGTTAAACAGCAGCTGAAAAGCTTTAATGTTTAAAAAAATTGTTTTAATTAATGGCAACTAGGCATTAAAAAGGTCCTACAGGTAATTACGTACATGTAATTCTTTGTTATAACATACAGAAATGTGATGCGAATTACATTTTACATCATCATTACTAAATTAAACACTGTGTACCACTGCATATCTGACCAAGGCTCAAATTAACTTAGCTTTTACTAAATGACTATGACTTGTACATTTGTCTCCTCAACTCGTAGGTGCGCCTTGAGACTGAGCTTCGAGAGAAGGGCACCAAGCTCCAGGATCTCCTAGACTGGCTAGCCAAGGCTGAGCAGGCTTTAGCAGCAGAACAACCACTCAACGAGAAGAGTCCCCAGGTCAAGCAACAGTACACAACTCACAAGGTACTGCCTCAAGTTTTTAAATGCACTATTGCCTGTATAAATTATAGATCTAGAATCTCAATTTAATGATGTAGATATATGTAAACGGTATATGTACCTGACAGGAAGGACTTGATGAAATATTTGAGCACTTGATATTGATCAAATTTTGCAAGACAGACAGCCTACATGTAGCTGAAGCCAGGATACTTACAAATATTCCTCTACCTGTATATCATATTGATATGTACTTGTATAACCACATGAATTATCAATATCTTTGTTATCCTACAGCCCCTGCACGATGACATCCAAGCCCACCAGCAACCCATCCTGCAATGCGTGGAGGACATCGAACAGCTACTGAAGACCCTCGGTGACAGGGTCGGCAAGACTGAGACCAAACGACTCAGGGATGGCCAGGATGAACTCAGAGGACGCTATGAGGCTGTTAATACGCAGTCCTCAGACAGGCTGAAGACATTGACCCAGGGTATTGAAGACCTGCAGAAGTTTGAGGTACATATGAATGTATTTACTCTCAGATCTCAGTTTCATGCTTTTTCCTTTATTTTTCTGGCCAAGTCACATCTGTTTCAGACCGTTTCAGGTTTCATGGTATACAGAGTGTAGGAAGCTCCAATATTTATTGCAGTCTCTCTTAGTCTCTTCCGAGGCTAATTGCGGTGAAAAAATTGACACATCATCACTATTTATTCTGGACCCCATTTTGTTTTTTGTTTTTTCTATGCAAGGCTATGCAATACACATTGAAATGAGCAGATCTTTGTGTGACGATAAAACAAAAAACATGTAACTCTTATGAAAAATCAATAAATTAATGTGAATATTTTTCCCTTGTTCAAAATTCATGCATTGTGAGACTGCTGTTTAAAAAGTTGATTACGATGAGCTACAAAACATAAAGAAGTTTTACACCTGGTTTGAAGCAGAACATCTTTTAAATTGAAAATAATGATAGAACTTGTTTACTAACAAGTACAATTCTATTTTCAATTCACTTTAATAGGTTGACTTCACTGAATTCACCGACTGGCTTCAAGGAGCAGAGCGGAAGATGGATAACTCCGAGCGGAACGTTGCCATCGAGCTGGTCCCTCTCAAGCAGCAGCAGACAGAACATGCAGAGTTCGGCGAGGACGTCAACGATCAGAAGGGAGATCTCAAGTTCTTGAACAAAGCAGGACAGACATTCATTGACATGGCCAAGGTATGCCAACATCAAGTCACAAATATCTGTCTTTTGTACCGTATGAGATCAACTTAGCTTGGGATAAGTATTGTATTGATAGATATCATCACAATTGCATATGTAAGTACAACATCTACATGTATACGTATCTATACAGCTATGCAAATATGAATACAAGAGAGCTGTATTCTATACTTTTTATCAAATCATTAAATGAAATTGTATTTTGATATACCTGTACACATGAACATACAACATGAGATGACTCCAGGGTGTTGTATTCAGTAGTTGTCTGTATACCACTACCAATAGGTGACTTATGTAGTATTCCTGTATATGAATAATAAAATTTGCAATGGAAATGAACCATTGTTTAAACCTTCTACCAAAGAATACAAACCAATAAATGACATCACTCTCTTCTCAGACAAACATATGTAACATGAGACGTTTCCTTTTGTTCCACCAGGTCTATCGTCAGAGGCTTGCTGAGTTCCGCAACATCCTCCCTCGCCAGCAGAGCCGTGCCTTCCAGGAGGCCACCGAAGCTAACCTCATCCGTGGACAGCTCACCGAGATCAACGCCCGCTTCGACAAGCTCAAGCTACGCTACGGCAAGCACCTGCGCCTCCTTAACGAGCTGGTTGCTAAGCACCAGCTGTACACAGACAGCGTGGGCGGAGTCTCAACATGGCTTGGTGGCGCTGAAGCAACGTTGGGTAAGATGAAGAGTGAGCCCATCGGTGCTACCAAGGAGACCATCCTCAGACAGATCGGAAAGGCAGAGGTATGTGTACAGCCCCTTAGTTTAATAACCCTTTGAATCCTAAATTCATGAAAACTTGTGGTGGGCTCTATAGGAAATATGTGTTCAACCAAAATCAAATAGTAGTAATTGGTTTAAATAAAAGCGGATAAATTGTAGACCATCAAGATTTTAAACTTGGTTCTCTCAGTTTATTGGTTTATTGGTTCTCTCAGTCAGCTGCCAAAGAATGAATAATTATTTATCGTGATTCTACATGTACTTGAAAATTGTGAAAATTATCTATTATAGAGGTGACAAATTTTCAGGTAGAAGGCAGAGGTAGTAGATGTTCATGTTAAGATAACATTAACTGAGATTGAATAAAACTTGTAGGAACAAGAGCCTCAATATTTCCAATTAACCTTCCTTCCCCAAAAGAAACAGCATACATTAAATTGTTACAACTGATTGATTGATAAGTAAAAAACAAGTACTAATGCCTAATTAATTTGTACTTTGCATTCAGACTTTCCACCAAGACGTTGTTGCCCATGCCAGCGATGTTGAGAACGTGAAGGCAAACGGTGAAGAGCTGATAGGAACACAACCTGCTGTCAAACCAAATGTGCAGAGGACAACAGGTAAGCAAAGGTTTCATTATTCTGATTGCTTTATTGAATTTCTTCTGATTGTTTTGTTTTGAGTTTTTTTAGCATTTACAAGTGATTTTAGTGGGAACATTAAGGGAAATTAGGATGTCCTTATTACTAAACATCCAAGAGAATCATTTTTGTTGTTGATAATAATAGTAAGCTGTTATTTTTGTACAGTGAGATTCTTTTTGAAACTATTGACATTGTATGGGTCATCTCATAGTCTAGTATGTCACTTCATGTTTAACATGTGTGAATAAACTAGTAAAATAATGAATGAGACTGTGGATTGATGGAACCATTGAAAACTTAATTGCGACGTACATATACATGTAAATATCCACACCCATCTCTTCACGTCTCTGTTTTGTCCCCTTCTTTTTACCAGGAGAGGTCGTACAGCGATACAACGCCCTAGAAATGGGGGTCAATGACTTCCTGGAGAAGCTGAGGATTGCCCTGGCCAACACCCAGGGAGTCATGGAGAACCTGGACATGCTGGAGAAGTGGCTGGATGAGGCGGAGAAGGAGCAACACAAGCTGGAGAAGGGCACAGTGACTCCAGCTCGCAGGGAGCCCATCCTGGACCAGATTGAGAATAACAAGGTTAGTTTGAGAGGGTTGGGGGTAGTGGTGAGGTGTTTGCATTATTGGTGATTATGGTGGTTTTGATGGTGGTGTAATTGTTGTGGATGGAAAAAATGATTGTTGAAGAAGGGAAAGATAACTCTAGCTCAGAGGAGCCCTTTAAGGAGCAAGTTGAGAATAATAAGCTTAGTTTGAGAAGGATGGGGTTTTGATGACATGATGGTGATGATGAAGGTGGTTGTTGTCTTGGTAGGGGTGGAGAAATGATGATGATGGTTAGAGAAGACACAGTGACTCCAGGACTTTTGGATTCCATCTGGGAGCAGATAAAGAACAAAAAGTTTGAGAGGGATGGGGTTTTGATCGTGACCATTATGATGGTAGTGGTGGTAATGATGTTATGTGATAAAAGTTAAAACAAATTTAAAAAAGGTTGAAAGAAAGGAAGAGAAGAATAACATACACATATATATAAAGGAACAAATATTAGATTAAGCACCAGGAGATTACTAAAAATATGTGCCTGTAATGCAGTAGCATTCAAATGACGTGTAAACAATAGCATGTTAATCTTCAATTGACACCAGTTTGAAATATTATGTTCCCATGTATTCCAACTTGATAGCTCAAGCAGGACCAGAAAGTAAGTTTTAGTTACTATCCATAGCGTTAATTATGCATCCTTTTGTTCCAGAGGTTTATGTTCTTTTCTGTAAAGTGTTTGTGATCGTTCTTTATTTTCATGAACGTCATCTAGTCTTTTTTCTTTCTGTTTTTCCTCCTTGTCTATTATACATGTACCTTTACATGTAGCTGAAACTTGTCATTTTGATATTCTTTTGTTTTGTTTTTGTTTGAGTTTATGTAGCTAATGTGTTTTGTGTTATGTGTAGCAAGAGTTCAACGATTCATCTTTTGAGAGCACAGGTCTAAACTTTCATACCACTAGGATACACGTTCATAGAATATTCATGAATTCAATGCCATGTGCAGTTTTAGATTTGTCTGTGCATACAGTATGTTTACAAAGTTAAATGGAATTTCAGAAATGTACTGTACATATGCTGAATACATGTAGTTGCATGCAAAGGAATTAAGGTGTATTACTTGTTTATGTATATGTCTTTGAATATATGCATTGTTCATGTAGAAGTGTTTGTATTTTTTATGAAACATGCAGTATATTGCATTAATCCATCATTACAATTTCAAATATAATACAAACCCTGCAACTACATGTATGTTAGCCTTGTGATATATTATTTAGCTGTACATAATAGAGGGTTCCAATAGCTTGTTACTTCATGCGTAAATGTCACATGAAAATATACAGGACATGTACCATGTACTTGTACTTATGTATACCTGGAATCTTGCTTTCTACAGTAGTTAATGATAATGTTACATGTACATTGTAGTTTGTGATAGAGTATTAGAGATATACGAACTCTTACATATAGAATCTTCTTTTACATTTCTACACGTATATAAGCAGATATTTGGCAGAAACGGGTATTTTCTTAAATCAGAAATAAAATAAATACATGTAGAAGGATAACTAAGTGGGTACATGTACTTAATATACATGTGCAATTAAACTGTTCACTACAAGATTCTGTAAATCCTCATAGACTTTGAGCAACCAGTCAATTGACATAAACGCATGTACATGTTACATCTAGATGTAAACAAGATCCATACCATGTTAAATATGATTTTTCTGTCTTACGCTTTTTACAGTGAGTATTTGAGATAACTTGAGATGCATGAAATAGTGTGAATTTTGCTTTAAATTATTATTTTTTGTTTATTTTTTTTTGATGGACTGTTAAATTAATTAATTATGATTTATTTTAATGTACCTACACATTAAGTAACTGGTTAATTTTGTTCAGGCATTGCACGAGAGAAAGAACGGACTTGATTTAAAGTTTCAGTTGATTTTAATTTTCTATTCTTTCTGATCTTTGGTATTTACATGTACATTTAACCAGATGAGGGATTTCACTTTTTGTGTGGGGACCTTAATGGAATGGGAGATGGGAAATAATGTAACTTGCGCACGGTTATTGGTTGTTTCAAAAGGGATAATGGAACTAGCTCCTTTAAAATGCCTTCTGCTGAATTGTGTAATACATGTAATATCAGATATTGTTAATCAGGTAAAAACATGTACTACAATGTCATTTTAGATTGTGCTGAAAACGTATACTGTACTTACATGCATTTGTGAATGGATGACATATATAAATTTTTGATTATCTAGCTGTTTTAATAGCTACTGAATTCTTCCTGTATTCTTTTCCACTGTAACATGTATTAAGTAAATGCAATGATAATATTGATAATAATGATTGGATTTATAAAGCGCATTTTCCAGGGATACAAGGCGATGTCCTTGAGTCAATCAACAAATTAAGAACAATTTTAGAGGTGATTTTTCATATCAGGTGTACCGTACTCATTCTAAACATATACCCTTCTGCCTTAATATGACAGGTCCTCGAGGATGATATCGTCAGTCACCGCACACCCATCGACTCTGTCAGCGTGGCTGCCAAGCAGCTCATGACGACTGTCCCTCCCAGCGAGGCCAAACTCGTCCAGGAGAAGCTCAACCGCGTCAACGATCGCTATGGCAACGTGTCTTCGGCTGCTAGGGACCACGGAGAGGGGCTACTGGCCCTGAGCAAGAAGTTGTCTGACTTTGAGAAGGAAGTAGATGACTTTGAGGATTGGCTGCTGCCTGACCTTGAGACGCTGGAATCTGAAGCCTTGATGAAGCAGGAGCCTGCAAACACTGCTAATACACTCAAGGTGGGTTAACCCTTTAAATACCATACTTTCCCATTCGTCTAGGCTTCATACAGGAACCAACTGGCTCCTCTAGGCAATGTGTTAAAAGATGTTTTGGAATTGCAGTTGTGATGCAAAACAGTCTTTACACCCAAAATGTATTACCTTGATTTATCAAGTGCCGAAAGCTGTATTTCAAATGTACATGTATTTTGTAAAGCTTTTTGGAAGAATTGCCTTCAGTAGATATCAACAAATTGGACTGGTTAAACAACAATAAAGAGGGAGATTACAATTCAAGATTCATTATATTTACTTTGCATACAAATGCATGAGTAAATGTTTAAGCAACACTGAAAAAAAGAAGCAGAACATACCATGGTTAAGTACTGTGTTTAATAAGGAGAGTGTAGTCAGCATACTTATCAAAATTGTTGAAGTAAAATTAGCGTGTACAGGTTGTACATGCACACTGCAGGTATGAAATTAGTTTATGAGGGTTGCTTTTTTGAGAAGTATCAAACTAAAACTCCTCCTTTTTTTGTTTTCTTCCCTTCTCTTAGGACATAAGCCGTCGCGATGACGCCCACAAGCCTCAGTACAGTCGCATCCACAAGCTTGCCGAAGCACTCCTCTCTGACTCCAAGGCCAATGATACATCGTACGTCACATCGGTGGTCAACAGTGTAGACAAGAACTACATGGACTTTGAAGAGGCACTCAAGAAGAGGTAGGAGTCAGATGGTGATGTTTTACACACCTCCCTGAAAATCTTTTATCAGGGACAGTGGGCAAATATTTACATGTTAAGAGCAGAAGTGGTGTCTGCTCTCTCCCTTAGACCTCGCCCCAAAAGACATCCCTCGAAATGAGACTTTACAGACTTGCTTCCCCCTCCCTTTTGATAACTCTGGATATGCCTCTGGTGTACAATATATTATCGTGATGAATTGTTTTTATGACATTTTCTTGCAAATTGATACAACAAGCTTATAGTCACAAATGCCTAATACACATAGGTTCATTTTTTTCTAGCAACACCACATGACAGCATCTGTCTCAAGTTAACACTGTTTGTTGATTTTACTTGTTTATATTAACAGCTTTACTAATGAGAAGGTAATGAAAATGTAGAGTAAGTATGTTACATGTGAAAGATACACATGTTCATTGTGTGTTCCCAATTGTGAGACATGTATTTTCCATCTATTCTACTCGTACAGGAACAAGGACCTAGATCGCAAGCGTGATGCTGAGAAGAAGTACGGAGACCGTCACCGTGACACCACCCAGTGGCTGACTGGTATGGAGCGTAAGGTCAACCAGCTACCGGTCAGTGGCAAGGACTTGGCTGCTGTCCAGAAACAACTACAAGAGGCCAAGGTATGTAATTCTAACTCCTGCAAAAATGTGAATTGATTTTTATTTTCAACATGCAGTGTACACTATGTGCTACTAAGCCAGTTCTTATATCCAATCTGTGCAGGGGCAGTTTATGCTCTAATGGCATTCACTCTGGGGGTTTGAAAGTGGGGTTGTGGTTGTGAAATGAATTTTAGGGTAGGTTTAGGGTTATCATTAGGGTTAGGGATAGTAGGCCTTATTTGGCTGAACATAATAATTTGAGCAATGTTTTAGATATTGACTGCCAAGCATATCTCACTGGAGCATACATTCATGTTGGACAATCGTTTCATATTTCTGTACAGCTTTAATGAGTTTCTGTTTTGAAAGATATTTGTTTGCTGAAGTTACAAATATAATTGAAATTTTTCAGGTTATTGATAGGAAAGTTGTTCTAAGTTAATGAAGTATTCAAATGTTCACCATCTCACCCATTTTTCACCCTTACAGCCAATCCAGCAAGAGGTCATCGGCTACAAACCCAGCGTCGACACCTGCAACAAGCTTGGCAACACCTATGACACGGTCATCCGTGAGACTGACCAGCCCATCGTGGCCCAACCTCACATCAGGTCACTCGAGGCCACCATGCCTAAAGCTGGACAGGTCAAGCAGCCGGTCACCGATCTGGACAAGAGTGCCCTCTATCAAGAAGGTATGGGCTTTGTTTGAAGAGAGATGGAAGACTTTTATTCAATTGTTTATGTCTCACTGTTTATATACAGCCATGTATGGTAGTGCATTAAATGAATAGTAATAGTAAGTACTCAACATGTACACATGATTTTAGAGTTTGTGATAGATTAAGAGTGCTGTATGAAGTCTGAGGTTGGACATATACATGTAAATTGTCTGAAGTAATGTAGTTTCAAGAAGAATTTATAATCGGTATTATTACAAATTCTACTTCAATAAGTCTATATATGCATGTAAATGTATGATTTCAAACTACAAAAAATTAATTCTTTTGAACTCACAAATATCAGAGTCTTGCCTTCTCAAACACAGCAGTTGTGTAATTCATAACAAATTGGAAAAAAGCTGTTTCAGAAATTTGCTAAAAATGTTTTTCATTGTATATCTACCATGGTATCTATCTTTAAAAAAAATAGATGAAACACCAACAGAGCGCCAGCTTACTGACGTCAACCGTCGCTACGATGATCTCCTGAAGAACATGCAGTTCCGTATTGAGGACCTCAATCTGTCCCGGCAGTACATCGAGCGTGATGGGAAGGTCGGAGAGCAGCTGGATTGGGTGACTGCTACAGAGACCAAGCTTGCTAGATCAGAGCCTCGTATCCCAGCCACAGAGATTGAACCTCTCGAGAAGGAGATTGAGAACCTAGAGGTGAGATCAAGTTTGACCTGCCATTATCTTGAGCAAGAAATTGGAATGATGTACCTAAACATAAGAAAGAAAAGTCATTTACTAGGTTTTGGACAAGGAATGACAACAACATAAAATGTCTAGATAAGTAGTTCAAAACTCTATGCATGTTTGAATTATTTAAAATATATAATTCAATTGAAAATTAAAAAAAGCTTTTAATAAGTCCTGTTTGGTTGAAGAATTTAAGAGACTGTTAATCAGGTGAACAGGTCTTCCAATGGAAACATGTAGGAACATGGAGTTACTATGTGATGTACATATACATCTTAAAACCCTGTCACATAATTGTAACACTGCTGTGATCCTTTCCTCATTTTTCCATGTTGGTGATGATGGAGTCTTGATATATTCCCGCATTACTCATGTTCATTCTTTCTTTTTTTGTAGAAAATTGTCACTGAAATCAGCTCCCACAAGATCCCGGTTGATGATGTGAGCCTCCGCAGTGAGCAATTTGTCGCTGACAACAAGGAAATCCTTCCGTACGACAAACAGGACAGTCTCAACCGAAGGACAATCGCCCTGAAGGAGGGCTTCGGCCGACTTCACGTCGACTCAGGGGATTGGCTGAAGGATGCTAATGATGAGCTCAACAGGCTGAGGCATGAGAGAGACGCAGGGGTAAGGATTGGAATCTCAATCTTGTCTTTCAGCAGACACATCAAGACCAATAGTGTGCATTGAATAGCAAATGCGGTGAAAAAGAAGTATCTGGATGCAACACAGGTCCCACATATCTGTAAACTCATTTTTCTGTGTGTTGTAAGATACGGGAATGTGGAGCAGGAATGTGGAGCACATTAGTAGTTTTTTATTACACTTGTGTTATTTCATCTTGCCCCAGCAAATGACTGTGTCATGTGAGAAAAGGCTTAATGACAAATCAGCTATTAAAGTGGTCTCGGTATTCTGGGAATAAGATAATTCAGTAGCCCATGGGTTACGTCGTAAATTGTATAGATATTAATGGCCATACATATCGAGTATTGCCATTTAATACCTCTATTCAATAGTCAAATGTTTCCCTGTTTGAATATGTTTAAAAGGGACCTCTAGGAGCTCAACAATGCTTTAATAAAACAATGAGCAATTTATATAAACGCATTGTCTACTAGAACCTGGTGGCTCCTGTATTAAGCCTATGAGAGAGAGAATTCAGTTGTCAACGGTTTAGCCAGCTTCAAAAGTGATGTACATGTATGATGAATTTTTATCCCTTTCTCTTCACCTACCCAGTTATCTCTTGCCGAGCGTCTGCAGCAAGCCCTTGCAGGTTTAGGTGATCTCTTAGACTGGGTGAAAGAGGCTGAGCATAGACTAGGCTCTGAACAACCCATGACAGAAGTACCTAAGAACCTTGGTGCACAAGCTAAGGATCACAAGGTAAGGTCAAAGGTTACATTCCACATTACCTCTTTCTCCTTTTTTATCCTACTTTTACACATGCATTGTTAACTTAATTATCTAATCTCTAATCTAACTTGTCTCTTTTTATTTTTTTTTATACACATATGTTCTTTTTTTTTTTAAATGTTGTTGCTTGGTTCAATTAATTGCATTATACAGATTAATGTAGCATTGCATGAATTTTAGTCATCTTTCCTTTGAAAGCCGTGTTACATAAAATGTAGTGAATTTGAGTCGTAAATGATTACAGGAAATGCCTGCCGTTTTATGAAGCATTTTCATTCAACCTATCTTTATACTTTTTGCAGGTGCTGCATGAGGATATCGTTGCCCATCAGCAGCCAGTAGTAGAGGTCGTCCAGACAGCCCAACAGCTCATCGACCAGTTCGCTGACCGCCTCAAACCAACAGACCGTACCAAACTAGAGGACCTCAGTTCAGAGCTCAAGAAGCGCTATGACGTGGTCTACGTCCAGTCGCAGACCCGTGAGAACCGCCTCAATGGAGCCATCCCAGAACTGGATAAGATCCTGGAAGATAACCAGGAGATCACCCAGTGGCTAGGAGATGCTGACAGACAGCTGCAGGTGGCAGAGAAGGACATCGGCAGGGACCTCAAGACTCTCAAGGATCAGTTTGAGAACCAGAGTACCTTCAATGAGGAGATCTTGACTGAAGGGGCTGATGTGCGCTTCTTGAACATGAACGCCAAGAGGAACATGGATGCTGAGAAGGTAAAAACAAATTTGCTGGTTCATATTGGCAATCTTCAGAAGAAATAGTGATTGATTTCTTTGTTTAGTCATGGGTAATTTTAGTAATTGGTCTTGGGGAATACTCAGTAGACAACAGATTAATACTCTTCATTTTGTAGATGTGGTAACGTTTCAAACACGTTCCTTCTCATCAGGTCTATCGTCAAGAGCTTGCCAACTTCCGACAGACTGTCCTACCCCGTAAGTTCAACGACTCCTTCCGTGAGGAGCCTGAACCCACCATCCTGCGTGACATCCTGAACAAGGCCAATGGACAGTACAGTGACCTGAAGACCACATCCTCGCACCTGACGCAACGTCTTAGGGTTCTTGTGGACCATCACCAACTCTTCAACAATGCTGTCACAGGCATCCTGCCATGGTTGGGCAATGCAGAGACCACTCTGTCCAAGCTGCTCAAGGAGCCTATCAGCGCAGACCCAACAGCCATTGAGAAGCAGATTGAGAAACTACAGGTATGTTCTCAAATGACTGATAACCCTGTGCAATATTACACGGAGAACCAGTTTTTTTGAATAGATATACACTTTTTACATGTAGCTACAAATGTGTCCTAATTCTTTATAGTGCAATGTTTATTTCCATCGTGAAATATTCAGTATTTTTTTAATCAATGAAATCCAAGAAAAATTCTTGGAGGTAGAATCAGATGCCAGAGATTTATCAAAATTCTTACAAACCTTCAAGAACTTGTTTGAATCAGTCTTTTTATCTAACTTTCAAGTACATGTACATGGAAATGAATTGAAAATGTAGTTGGTGTATTTTAAGTTTCATATTTGTTTATGATCTTTTCTTGATTAATCAACCCAGGATGTTACAGTAAGTACACACATGTATGATATAATGTTCTTGCCAAAATGTTGTGTAACTAGTGTCCTTGTGAAAAATGCATGCTGGTTTGTAATTCTAGAATCAAATATGCATGTATGTTTCAAATTTCTTGAATTTTTTAATGAGTTTGATTGTAAGTTAAAGAGTCTTTCAATAAATATATTGTCCAGAAAATATCAAGGATCAAGATTTCATTCTGTAGTCAATATGCTTTTGAAATTACCCCTTTTTCCAAAGAGATGTATGAGTAGTGACGAAATAATCAAGAGCTATTGCATGGATACAATTTTATCATTGCTTTTCCATTAATTGTTGAAAAAGAGAATCTGTCAATAAACTCTTTTTGTTGGTTGCAAGTGCTGTGTATATTTACATTGCATGAATTTGTTACAAATGTGTTGATAAGCTGTAGAACGATTTGCAAATATACTCAATTTTGTAATACATGTACGTTAGAGTCATGCATATATGTGTATCATATCTTAGAGGAAATGGTTATAATTTGCATAAAGGGGCAAATATGAAATGCTAGAAATTTGTTGTTGTTGGCTTTTTATTTAATATTTCTGAGCATGGGTGGCAACATGTTTGTTATGAGATGTGAAGCACTAATTTGAAGAAGAAAAAAGGTGATTATAAAACAAACAAAATTATCCAAGCTTTTCAAAATATCAAAGTTTACATTGGCATTATTCACCTAAACTTTCAAGTCTGTAATACACTGTACATGACTAATACTGATGACCTTTGACCTTTATCCCTTGTAGAATCTGAGGAATGATGTTGTCCAGCATCTGAGTGATGTTGAGAAGGTCAATGACACTGCCAATGACCTTGTGGTCATTCAACCTGCTGTGGAGAGGGATGTGTCAAGACAAGCAGGTATTTGAACTTTGAACTTTGTATTGCAGTACATTTACATGTATATTTTTAATTTCAAGTTCCTAACCACTTCAGAAAGATGTACAAGTATAATGTTCATATCTGCACATATTGGATGGAGATACATCAAGGTGCATGTTAATAAATAAATTGTAGATATTTATATTTTGACAATGTCATTACCCAGAACAAAAGTAAAAACCCTTTTGATGATTTTTTTTCTTCTTCAATGGACAGTAAGATACTATTTGTGATGATTGTTTAAATTTGTTAGTTCTGTATGAATGAGTCTCATCTTAAAATTTCATGATTTTTTTATCCAAAAATAAAACTTGGGGGTCCACATGTTCTAGGTCCTGTTGTCCATGTACAATACAAAGTTCTCATGGTTTATGCTGTTCTTGTGTAGAGCTTCTGCTCATGATATAGTTGTACGTAGCAGTTTAAAAGTATACTACACCTCTTTCCATGATATTTTAGATGATATCGATCAGCGCTACCAGGCCCTAGAAGGCCAGATTGATGACCGCCTTGCAGCTCTCCGTCGAGCCTTGAGCCAGTCCCAGGGTGTCCAGGAGAATCTGGACATGCTCCTGCGCTGGTTGGACAAGGCAGAGAGGGACTGCTACAACATGGAGAAGGGAACCCTGATCAGTCTCCAGAAGGAGCCACTCCTGGAGAACATGGAGTCACAACAGGTCAGTATGTTTCCTATATGCAAGCTCCTGATGTTTAGTTTGTTCTTGTATTTCAGGAAAACCATGGGTTTAAGCATACTGTACAGTTGGTATTTGCTTTCATAACCACTTGTATAAACAGATACCATAGAGTGTCCCTGATTTTACAAAGATGTGTCTAAAACGTGATTTCATGAGAACAGTATTCAGCAATAGTTCCTTAATTGTTTATGATTTTTAATATGAAAATTGTTTAATGATATCAACACATGTAAATTTGTATTTTATGAATTCATAAAGAATTGCAAACATTATTTTGTTGAAAAAAAAAATTAGATAAAGCATGAAAATTAGGGTGGTTTATACCGCCTATGGCAAAGATCCAAGTTTTGACATATGTATATGTATCCTCACCTCCTCCCAAACCCAGATCCTCCAGAAGGATATCGTCAGCCACCGGCCCGACATTGACGCCGTCAACCAGGCTGCCACCCAGCTCATCAAGACCAGTGAGCCTCAGGAGGCCAAGCTCATCAACGACAAGCTAGCTGAGGTCAATGACCGCTATAAGAAGGTCGGTGACACGACCTCTCGGCAGGGCGATGTCCTCCAGGGACTCGTCGACAGGGTGGGTGACTTTGAGAGCCGGGTGGACAAGGTCGAGGACTGGGAGCTTCCGGTGATCCAGACCCTCAACGCCAAGGAGATGGGACAGATGGACACTCCAAAGCTCATCAATAAACTCAAGGTAAGCTGGGTCACGTAGAGTACATGTAGATAGGCTTGAAGAGGATGGAAAGGGGATATGGGCACATTGAGTGCTCGTGGGAGAAAAAGTTTGAACAAAATTTGATGCATCCTGTTGGGTTTCTTTCGTGATTGTTCCTTTAGACAAGAATTCATCTGCCACTGTCTCTTTTGACAGAAGTAATATGCAGTCTTGTGTAGAAGAAACTCCTTGTAGTACTGCAAATATCCGCTTTAGCGTCCAAGCTAGATACATGGTTCTATCTTCTTAAAGCAGCATAGAAATGTTTACTACAATATGCATTTGACCCAACAAAAAAAAATGAAAGAAAATAAAATAGTTGGCTGATATGAGTTAATCATTTCCAAAGAGATGGCATGAAAACTATTCGGCCAAAGATTTTTTTATTCCGTTGACATTACCCTGATTATGTGGATCTCAAGTTCATTAGGAAAATGATATTAAAATTCATGATTGAATCGGTCTGTTTTCTTAGGATGTACGCCAGCAGGTGGATGGACAACGTCCCGCCCTGAAGCAGGTGCAGCAGATGGGAGAACAATTGATCAAGGAACCCAGAGCTAATGATACCTCACATGTGAAGGGTATCATTGCTAATGTCAACCTCAACTGGGCCACGCTGGAGGACAGCCTGGGACAAAGGTAAAGATTTGTGAAGAACAGATCAAAATCTGATGGAGGCTTTTTGTCCCTAAACATAGTGAAACTTGGTTTAGCGATCACATGTGTTGAAAGAACCACTGTCTATAAAGGTCATGTATGTTTTCCTTGAACAGTGTTTCTCATAGAATTATGTACCTAACGTGTAAGACCACTTGGCTATAGACTAAAGATATATAACCTATAGACCTTTCTTGTCACATTGTCTTCAGGTTATGTTCCCTTTTGATGTGAACATTTATTTGAAAAACATAAGCAAAATAATTTGTTAGATCTACAATTATTGAGAAAAAAGTTTGTTGACCCTCAATGTGTTGTGACCTCTAACAGGATGAAGCAGGTGGATGACCTCCAAGCAGCCAACGACAAGTATGGCACCCAGCACAAGGACACCACCTTCTGGTTGGGTAACATGGAGAGACGGGTAGACCAAGCCAGACCTCATGTCAAGGACAAGGCTGCCATCCAGGCCAGACTTAAAGAACTCAAGGTAACAAGACAGATAAATCTGCAGAAATTGTTAAAATGAAAAGGTGGATTCCATTAAGGATGTGGCAACCCTTTTAGAATTCAGTATAATTGCGATATCTAAATCCAGAGATATCAATGTTGTGTAATTTTTAACACAAATGTGCTCATAGAAATATCTCAGTTCAAATGCTTTTCTAATTAAGGATATCTGAAGAATACTTCTGAAATTTCTGTCTTTTTTTGTGTTTCATTCCATCTTGTTTCTGGCAATCTATGCTTAAATGTGTGCGATTCATTTCATTTATACATTAATTTATAAATTAATCTTATTCATTTCATTTCATTTATACATTAATCTTAATCTATGGAGACACTATCGAACAATTTCATTTATTATCCTTGTAGCCTTTCTTGGAAGAGGTGGATGCCTATGAACCCAACATCACAAACATCAACAGGACTGGTGATGCCCTGGATGCACTCAAGAGGGATGTAGCCCAAGCAGTACCATGCAAACCCCTGCAGAGATCAACACAGCCTGGACTGGAAGCTGTACCAGCATCGAGAGTGGAGTCTGAGCCTCACATTGATGGTAAGATTCTTCACTAAATCCTAACTAAACGGCTACAGACATTTTTAAGGGAATTTATCCATACTTAGTGAGAAGTGATCTTGCAAGCTTCCCCTTCTGCATTTTCTTTTGCTGTTCTATCTCGTTAAAATTATTCCTAGCATAGCCATGCATGTAGACTGGAAAGTAATTGCATTGTGCATGTGAATAGGCGTTGATGAGTATCACCATAGAAGTAGAAGTAGAAGGGATGGCAAAAAAAGGGAGATAAGATTAATAATTGGTTGAAGGAAAAAAAAAAAAAAAAACATATTTCATGTTGCATATTTTCTATTTATAACAAAAAGCTAATGGAAGAGTGGAACAAAAATGATGCAAAATATCTGAAAAGTTCAACAAGCTAATAGCCATTATCAATTTCATGTTACAATTCACATAGATGATACACCAGTACAGCGTGAACTTGATGAAGTCAACCATAGATACACAGACCTCCGCAAGCACCTTGTTGATTGTCTGGATGATCTCCATGTAGCAGAGAGATGCAACGAGGAGACAGACAATGCCCAGGACACACTGGACTGGGTCCAGGCCATGAATACCAAGCTTGATCAGACCAAGCCGAAGAGCAGGGAGATAGAGCCTCTCAGGGAGGAAATCAAGGCCTTCAAGGTAAGTTTTTGTTTGTTAACATCCAAATTTACTTCTTCCATGTTGATCGGTATACGCTATAGGAGACCAGTGCATTGTGTAAAATGTGAGGAAAGCTGTTTGTAACCTGAAATTTACTCTTGTGACAATTACTCTGTCTCAATGTTTTGCAATATCTCCAGATCGGTCTCTCCATTGAAACAGGGATGCGGTTCACTATTATTAATTTAATATGTGGGAGAAAACAAAATGTAGACATTATTTTACCGTACATAACTATTTTACTTTATCACAGAACAGGCTACATGATTACTAAAATATAATAGAGACCCAAATTTATAATGGCTGTTGTGGACATCAGGAAAATTGAGTTGACACAGAGTTCATTTGTACATGTATATGACGTATTTAAATTTATAATTTGCATATGTTCATTACATCATTCAGACTCTTCAAGCCGAGGTACAGGCCAAACAACCCCAAGTCAGTGACACTGTCAGCTCTGCAGAGCATTTCAAGAGAGAGTACCGTGACAAGCTCTCAGATGACCAGCAAACACCACTGGAAGAGAAGGTTGACAAACTCAAGATTCGCTACGATCGTGTCTACAATGATTCCAACGATTGGCTCCGTGACTCGACCCAGACGCTGGATGACCTTGTCAGAGAGGAGGAAGAAAAGGTAAGGGTTCAAACCTGTTATTAATCTAGCTATCATCCCAAGCTATACCGTTTCAATTTGCTATCATACTTTTATTAAAATAATGTGTATATCTATAATAAATATATGGAGAGAGAGAGAGAGAGGGAGAGAGATACAGAGACCATGTCCTTATGATACATCTTTTCCACGACTTTGAAGTCTTGTTGCCATTGAGATGTACAGTGTAAAAAATCACAGTGTTTCAAAGATCAAGTTGTACAATTGAAGTACAGCACAAATGGGGCGTTGTGGTGGCCACCTGTAATCCAACTAACAATGGAAGTTACAAACTGATTCGCAGGACGCAGATTCGAAACTGAGTCATGTCTTTCGGATGGTGATGTTAAAGGTCGGTCCCCAGACGTAAATAATCATATCTGATTGATACACGTCTGTAAAAATCCAATTACACACACAAACACTAAAACTGCATTTACAGCGAGTGCTCCCAAAGTAAGGTCAACAAAAACATGTTGGATGATGAATAGTTTAGTTCATTTACATGTAGAACCTCCAGAATATCATTTATCAAGAAAGGTTTTCACTCTTATTTCCTGTATTCTTTCTTGTGTCTGTTAGAAACGAGTGGACACTCTCCTGAGAGAGAAACTGACAGCACTGGTAGGACTCCTGGACTGGGTGAGCCAAGCAGAGAATGCACTAGGATCTGAGCAGCCACAGAGCGACCAGTCTCAACCCCTGGAGGAACAAGTGGGAAGCCACAAGGTAAGTATAGAGAGGATGATTGATTTAAGGATGAGTCGTAATCTTAGGGATGAATCAAGATATATACATGTATATATTGTTTGATCATGCATCTCTTCACCCGTTGACTACTGGATTATATCATTCCCATAGGCTTAAATACAGGAGTCACCCACTTCCCGTAGGCAGTGGATTAAGCTATAATATTTGTCCACTCCATTGAATTAACGATAGTTCACCTGGAGACATCTTTTTGAAATCAGTTTCTCTTTTAATACTTCAGATAGAATATCTATATGTATGTCAGTATCTGTCTGTGGTACTTTTGAAATAGGATTAGATGATTGTAAAGGAATACTTGGATGCCAAGAGAACTTTTAGTTACGCACATTTATCTTTTTTCAGCGTATGATTTACACAAACATGTCAATTATTTCTATTTCTTTAACACGAAAAGGTGTGAGCAAAAAATTATTCAAAAGTTAAAGATATTAAATCTCATGTCCAGAGTAGTTGAAGTATTCACTTGTCCTTGTCCTCTAGGTCCTTCATGATGATGTGCTAGTACACCAGCAGCCGATAGCACGCTGCACACAGGACATAGTTCAGTTCCTGCAGCAGTATGGAGAACGCATCAGCCCAGAGAACCTCACCAAGCTACAGGACGGTGGCCAGAATCTCCAATCTCGCTTCGACGTTGTCCTGAACGAGTCGTACGTCCGCACCAACCAGCTCAACCCGGCCCTGGAAGAGGTCAAGAAGTTTGAGCAGGAGACGGAGGAGCTTCAGACCTTCCTCGGGAAGACAGAGAATAAGATTGATGTTCTGAGTGAGAATGTTGGATTGGATTATGCGACGCTGAAGAGCCAGCTTGATGAGCATCGTATGATCACAGAGGATATCAACGATCAGAAGGGAGATCGCAAATTCATCAACAAGACAGGTGCAGCCTTCCAGGAACAAGCAACGGTAACCATCACAATTTTCTTTTCCTTTCACACATTTAACTATCATATCTTTATTTATTTTCATTTTACTTTGGGAATATGTAATTTATACTTTCGGTAGTGCCCCGTAGTTTAAATCACTATTTGGTTCGCAGAATAGTTCATCGTATTTCAGAGACACCAGTGTTTGAATACCTTGTATTTTATTTGTGCATATTATACATGAAGATACATCGTTATTAGTTTCAGGAGATAAATACATGTACATATACATAAAGGAAAGCTAGAAGAATTTTGACAGTACTTATTTATGCTTAACCTGAATCTTACTGAACGTATATAATGTGGAGCTGTACTGTATTGGAAGAGTAGAAATGAATTTCATCCTTTTCTTTTGACCTATATTCAGTTAGTACAAAGTCCTTTACTTAGAACTGATTTAAGCTCATGCCTCTCAGATGCGTTGAATTGTTAGTATAGAATATGACCATTTACTGATTGCAAATTTGTACAGACTTTATTTAATTCATGTGCTGAAATGTGATATTTTGTTTCTTACACCGTATTGCACCTGGCACAGAACATGGGAGAACTCACAATGGTATAGAAATTTATTATAATTGTTGCCTCACGTCTGTGATATTGGTGTGCTTCCAGTGTAACTGCATGACTGGCCAGCATGAATATTTGATGCCACCCCCCAATATGCTTTTAATAATTGATTAACTCGCTCTACTCGTCATGAATGGCTGATACATGTAACTTGAGTTAAGAGTGTTTTCATAAGAACACATACATGTTAAAAACATACTGTTAATGGTATAACCTACCTTTGCAACATGGTAATGCAGTGGAGTAGTTTACTGCAGGAACAAAGAAGACTTTATGGAAATGACCAAAATTTGTTAAGATATAAGATTAATTATTGCCCGTTGATGTCTTAAGATCGGAAAACCTTTGGAGAATGCATGTTGAATTAACTTGAAAATGTTCCAAATCGATTGAACTGGAAGAAATGACAAATTTAAACTTGCATGACAGAAATTTGTATTTCATGTAATTGATCTCATGTAGATAAAGAATTGTATGTACATAGCAGGAGAGCCCCTTGAATAAGACTCGAGCAAAGCTGTAAATATCTTATCTTCAGATGGTGTAACAAAATGTTTGCATGCCTGCATGGATGGAAGTGTAGTGTGCGTAAATTATTGCCAGGAATCCTATGTTCAGAATTTAAATTCTGATTTATGTGTAGCTTGGTGAACAGATTGTTTGGCAGAATTGCCTTTGATATTAAATGTATATTCATGTACATGGTTTGATTATGTTACACATGCCTGTTCAAATTTCTAATTGAATGATTTAAATAGTTTGATATTATTACAAAGGCATTTCAATATTTCCCATTTTGTGTATGCTTTAAATAATTTTAACAATTGCAATTTACCAAGCCTGATTAAGAAGAAATCCAGATACTTTGAACATTGTTTTACTTGTGTATTTCGAGGATGAAATAATTGTTTTCAGCTTGAAGGTACGATACTACTAAATTGTGCAGGTGATTTAAAGCTCATAATGAGCATTTCCTTGGGATGGTTCTGTGCTGTTCAATGACATAATTTAGTTCCTAGATGTTTTGTTATGAAATGAGTGAATGAATGTTATATGATTGAGCCCATGTTCACACCACGTACTTCTTCCTCTGTAAAACAGGCATACCGGGACACTCTGACTGACTTCCGAAACACCGTACTCCCACGCACCTTCACACGCAACTTCCAAGAGAACCCTCGACCAGAGGTGATGCGGAACTGCATCTCGACCATCAACGACAGGATGGACACCCTGAAGACCACGTCCAGTGAGCTGGGCGAGCGTCTTCGGGACCTGGTCAACAAGCATGAGCAGTATAACTCTGCCGTTGATGGGTTCAACGGATGGTGCGGCGATGCAGAGAAGAAGCTTGGTGTGTTGGAGAAGGAACCGGTCGGAACCGAACCGGTCTCCATCATGAAACAGATTGACAGGGTCAAGGTAAGGACTTGATGTTGATTATTTCATGTATGTACGTGCACGTTGTCTGTGGTTGCTTAGTTATGAAACAATGTATGGTACTTGTGCAGTATTAAGTGATTAGTGGATAAATCAGGTTTCTAGCAGTCAGAGGTTGATACTGGAGAACTGAACAAAAAATACATGGGAATGGATGATGTACATATTATCTACTTTGAATCTTCTTTGCAAGAAAAGGAAAAGAAGTCCTCTGGATTAAAAGCAGTAATAATATGCGTTCAAATATAGGTTTTGAATACACATTGCCACATACACGTACATGTATAAGATATCTACAACCTATTGACCACTTTATAGCAACGGACAGTTTGAAACTAAGAAATTATTTTTCTTGACAAAATCCATAGGAGTGGAATTGTAAGATCGGTTGAAGCTTAACTACATGTTTTGGTTACACAAACCCATGGAATTTTTCTGTATCAAGCTCTTTTTTAAAGAATTATCTAGCAGTCAAACAGATTGTATATTGAACGTCTTTGTTACAAATTTTGCTTCTGATAGGACTTCAACGATGATGTGATTGCCCATGGCCGTGATCTTGAGAGAGTGAAGTCAACAGGAAATGAGCTTGTCGATGCTCAACCAGAACTCAAACCAGATGTTGATGACACCAAAGGTATGACTTGATTTCATTTAATTTGATTTGATGAAATAATCATTTGATGTTCAGTACATGTACCTGTATGTATGCTATTGTATTTGCTATAAGGTTGTAAATCAAAACCTACAGGTATTGGAACATTTGCCTGAAACACAAGAGGCATATTTGTCAAAATTTGTCTTATTTAATTTCACTACTTGTACGTTAGGCTATTTAACCCCATATCTATTATTCAGATACATGTCCAAGTAAGTCAGGTTATCTGCACACAAAAAAAAAGGTTCATTTTACAATGGGCACATTTTTAAGGCTACTACAATTCACTCAACTATCAGACAAAATTTTCTATCAGAGTATTCTTGCACTTTGTTCTTGGTCAATGCTTTAGGTGCCTGAAGGCAGCATGTCAGGGTATTAATAATTCTTACCGTTACTGTAGTAGACACCTTTCACATCCCCTGGGATGAATATGTCTGCAATATAGATAAGGTTTATGTATCATTCTTGATAATCATTTGAAATGTCTTTTTTTCTTCTCCTCAATACTTTCAGATGAAAGCAACGAGCGTTACCAGGCTCTCCTGGCCCACATTGCTGATCTCCTGACCAAGCTCAACACTGCTCTTGCCACTGCCCAAGGCCTCCAGGGATCACTGGACGCTCTGCTGCGATGGCTTGACCAGGCAGAGAGGGACGTGACCAAGATGGACAGAGGTACCATCATCATTGCCAAGAAGGAGCCTCTGCTCAAGAACATCGAGGAACAGATGGTATGTTCCGATTCCGATTCCTTCTTCTTTTATCCAATACAGTGTAAAATCCGCCTATAAAGGCCACCCCAGATAACAGAAAAGACCACCACTGTTTAGAGATGGCCATTCCATACATGTTTTATAACATATGTTTCTCCAGGAGGGAGAAGGGGACCATTAACATTTTTGTTTTCTTCATTCGCAATGTAATTCATTCTTATTCCTTATTTTCATGAATTTGAGATTTTTTCTCTTATTTAGGTTAATTGTGTGGCTTGATCAATTTCTTAAATAAAACATTTAACAGATAATCTATATTTTGCTTTTAGAATATACAATATTTTCAAAATATAGTTTGTTCTACCCATGATATGCCTGAACATATGGCACCAATGTCAAATTCACTTGCACTCCAGTATGTGTTTACTTGTTCTCTAAAAAAGAATATGTGGAAATAGAAATGTTCATTTTCCTGACACTGCCTTTCATTCCCAGGTGATCAACACCGACATCGTAGCCCACCTGCCAGCCGTTGAGTCTGTGGTCAAGGCAGCTGACGAGGTCCTCCTCAACAGCGAACCTGAGGAAGCACGCAATATCCAATCCAAGGTTGAAAGCATCCAGAAGCGTTATGATATCATTGACGACGTCACAGAGAAGCATGGGGAAGATCTCCTCCTCCTCGGCCGTAAGCTGGCTGACTTTGAGAAGGAGGTCGACCACCTGGAAGACTTTGTGATCCCAGGATTAGAGACCCTAGAGGCGAGGGACCTGATGAGAATGGACATGAACCAGCTCGGCAAGAAGCTCAATGTAAGTTTGGTTTGTTTGTTTGATTTACCTGACTGCTAAGAAAGCATGTGTATGCTTGTATTAAAGTAAGCAACCAGGAGATCAACGGTCTCAAGTCCTCTCCCAGGGACTTGGTAATGTCTTACCAAAGGGCACTAGAGCATCGACTTGGTTTTTAACCTGTGCCCTTTCATTTACGTGACCACTGCTCTACCTCAGAGCTATCACGCCTCCTCCTATGAAAATGTAGATTCAAATGAAAGATAACCACCTGAAGCAACATAACAATGAAATAACATTGTCTGTACTATGAAATCAGATTGGGTGACTAGGAATATTGGAGTGAAAGGAAGAAAGGTAGCAACAGATAACAGAAGTGTTTGGGCACAATCTTTTCATATCCAGGAATGATGCCTCCTTTTACTTTCTTTATTCATGATGAATAAACTATTGACAGGGTCTGCTTTGATATTTCATTATTTTCTACATGTATGTTTGTACCAGAAGTTGTAACTATTCCTGCAGATAATATACAGGATAAGTATTTCTGTTTACTCACATGCATGAGTGATTGTGGAAAAAACACCTGTAATTTGAAAACCTTCAGTTTAATCGAGTCACTTTTTTGTTGTTGTCCCCTTCAAATCTTTTATATATAAATGAATATTTCTTGTGCTTCATTAACCTTAGTAATCTATGTTTGATTGTGTTTTGTAGGATATCAACACCCAGATTGAGGCTCACAGACCGCAGTACAAGCTGGTCCATGAGTTGGGAGAAGAGATCGTCAACCAGACCAAGGCCAAGGATACAAGCTATGTCAACGCTGTCCTGGCTAATGTGGATAAGAACTGGAAGGATCTCCAGGATCTCAAGGATCTCAGGTAAGGTGGATGGTGGTGGTGGTGATGATGATGAACAATATTCAGAACAGATTAGTGACTTAACATACAGATTAATACAACAAAACCCAACAGCAACTAACTAACCAGAAAACCTTCATATTCAGTCTTATACATAGAAGATGAACTACCCTGTCAAACATAATTTCTAATCTTTCAAATTGAATCTCTTTGAAACCCTTCAGGAAGAAGCAACTGACCCAGAAGCAGCAAGCCACAAACAAGTACAACACTGGCTACCGTGATACCAACACCTGGGTCACTACCAAGGAGAGGACACTCAGTCAGCTCCAACCTATTGCCATGGACTCCAGGACGCTCTCCAGGCAAGAGAAGGAGATCAAGGTAAGATCAAGTTCATTAATTTATTTATACATGGTAAATCTTACGGCATAAACAGCTGTTTTTCAGAAAGTCTGTGAGATGAAGTGGGTTTGTTGAGAAGGCAGAAATGGGAGATGTTAGCATTGATTGTTTTGAGATGGGGATACATTGTACAGCTGTAGATGTGATTATAAATGAAACAATAGTTAGTAGTGATGGTTAAAAAAAGGATCAAGTGTATTTATGACGACATGGTGCTATTGATATGGAGGAGATGTGATGGCAGTTATGACTGATGATAATGGGTATGTTGATGACAAGGATGCTGATGCTGTTGGAGATGAAAATTGAAACAACAGTGATTATAACGATGATGATTAGAATGGCAATGTTCTATTAATGGAATCCTTGACTTGGTCTTTATAATTCAAATTTGAAAATACCTCTGTCTTCTATAATTTATCCCAGCCTTTCAACCTGGAGGTCGCCGCTTACAAGCCCACCATGGAGGAGATCAACAAAGTGGGTAACAACCTGGACACGCTGCTTCGGGAACTGGAAGCACCAGTGAAGACCACACCTCACTACAAATCCCTGCAGCTCAGCACAGGTCTTTCAGGAGACCAGATAGTGCAGCAGCAGATCAAAGAGACACTGGAGCGTGGCACACACCAAGAACCAACAGGTACAGAAGATGCTTATTTTTGTGAATTTTTTATTTTAAATCAATCGTTATTAGATCATTAGGTAATTACATCTAATAAAGATCTGATATGCTCCATTTAAGGTCAGGCATGTTCAGGGGGAAAAAAACTTGCTTTTGATCATGCTTTAAGAATCAGTAGCAAACAAGTAAAAGTGTCAGGCGCGGATCTACGGGGGGGGGGGGGGTTTAGGGGGTTCAAACCCCCCCCTTGGGCGGCCCCCCAAAAAAAAAAAAAAAAAAAAAAAGAAAGAAAAAAAAAAAAAGAAAGAAAAAAGAACGCACGCTGGAGAGAAACCCTTTCAAGTGCAAATATTGTGAGAAGATATTCAACTCATCTGGTAACTTAACCAAACACATGATAAAAAGGCTGGATATAACTGTGTATTAAGCTGTTACTTGATTTAAAAAGACGTTATCATGCACTGCTTTTTATGGTCTCCATTGTGTTAATAGATGCCAGGAAAACATCACTTACGGGGTTCAAATAAACACCCCCCAAAAAATCGGCTCGCCGCTACGCGGCTCGTGGACGATGCTCTGCATCGTCATTATTTTGGTCAAACCCCCCCCCCCCTTAGCAAAAAGCTAGATCCGCCCCTGAGTGTGTTCATTTGAGTAAGAGGTAAATAATCCAATCAGATGTACATGTATGAGCAAACAGGATTTCACTCAATTGGTTCGATAAAATCCCTGAAAACAGGAGGCACGGGGTAAAGAATGATGCATAGCAAGTAAAAACCAGTTGAATGAGATTTGACATTTGTACAACACATTTCCATAGACTGCAATGTGGATTACATGTACAAGTATGTTGGGTTAGTGTTCTACAGTTTTAAGATATTGTCAATGAAACAGGTCATGAACAATATAGCATTTAAAGTATTCTCCCTTCCGCCTTCGACATTACAGAAGACAGTGACATCAAACGCCAGCTGGGCGACGTCAACCGCCGCTACGAGGGTCTTAAGATCCGCATCAAGGACCGCGAGGATGACATCGGCCTGGCTCATCTCTTCCTGGACCGTCTAGGTGATGTCAATGATCGTCTAGATTGGTGCGCCAATGCAGACAGTAAGCTGATGAAGCTCAAGCCAACCAGTAGGGACCTGGAACAACTCAAGAGGGAGTTTGACAAGTTCAAGGTAGGTCTATTACTTTCACAATTTTGTTTGCTTTCTTCTCAGACATTGCTAGCTGGGTTGGTATCAAATCAATGCTGATATGAATCAAGTATAAGTATCTTTAACCATGAAATTGTTTATATAAGTCAGTGATTACAAAAGGTTTCTTTAATTTGATTTGAATAAAATGTACCTTGTGTATAATTTTATATTGTAGATACAACTTTGAAAAAGTAAGTCTTAATTTGGATAATAGACTCTATCCAGTTCAGAGAGTCTTAATATCAGCTGTATTAGACATCTGGTTAATTGTTTATTGTCTGAAGATACATGTAGATATAATAATGTTACCTGAAAAGCAATAATGCTTTGTAAAAATCATGAACTGTGGTATGATTGTCTCATAAGTCTTTATCACTTATTTCTTCTGACAGGACTTCAATGGCAGCGTCAACACCAACAAGCCAGCCATCCTTGAGACGATCGTGACCGGTGAACAGTTTGCCCGTGAGAACCAGGCTCGTCTTCTCCCTGAGCAGGAAGAGGAGCTCCAGCGTAAGACCGATGAACTCAGGACGTACTTTGATACGGTGGAGAACAAGGCTGCAAAGATTGATGGAGACACCAAGGCTAACATTGACAAGCTAGAGTGGGAGATGACAGAAGAGGTAGGTTGAGATATTGTTCACATTTCATAGATACTCTTGATGTGTGCATGCGAATATTGATGAACGAAAAAGGAATGTGGATCATTTGTTGTACTTTTGAAAGTCTGAACATTTAGTCAGTTGTACTGTTTTGAAAATGGTAGAATTCTTTAAGTTAACATGATATCCATCCATGTTGTCTTTCAGATGCGTGTAAGGCAGCTGTACAACGATGCTCTGAGCTCCAATGTGAAGCTACTTGACTGGGTATCTGACATTGAGAGACGTCTAGGATCTGAACAACCCATCAAGGAGGAGACAAAACCACTCAAACAGCAAGCTTCAGAACATAAGGTATGGATTGTACTGCTCAGTTTGCAAATGCATTAACTTTGTTCTATGATATTACGAGAGGTTTTCTTTAGCTCAACCAGGTTACCCTCTCCAATTACTACACATTAGGATGAACTGCCAGGAGACCAAAGAGAACGAAAAGTCAACAATGATATGTACCATGTTGCTATGACAGTATCTCAAATACTGCATTGTTTTGTTGTATAGGCTATATTGTGTTGCAGAGTTAATTTATCGGCATGTAAGTGATAAATGTCAGAGTGGGTAACCTGCATTAAAATAAAAAGGGAATGATAATAAATGCCCTATTAAATGGGGTCTTTTCCTCTGGGGAATCATTTTGAACTAGAAATCTCCTGGTATTAAGGCCAATACCCTGACGACTGAGGTTTGTTCATTACACCGTCTCTCCTTCACAGGTTCTTCACGAGGAGATCCTCAACCGACAGCAGCCTGTCATGGAAACTGTCCACACTGCCACTCAGCTTGTAGATCAGTACAGTAGCCGTCTCAAGGATGCTGATGCCTTCAAGCTCAAGAACACTGCCAATGACCTCAAGACACGCTTTGACAACGCTGTCGTCCAGTCCTACACCCGCAACACCAAGCTCGGATCCTCTGCAGAGGACATCGGACTCTACGATGGAGACATCAACGAGTTTGATGACTGGATTACCAACGCGGAAAGGACCGTTGAGTCCAAGAGACAGGCAGTACCTAAGACGTTGCCAGAGTTGGAGAAGAGCCTGTCGGACATGAAGGCCTTTGAGAAGGAGGTTGTGAGTCAAGGAGCTGATCTGAAGTACATCACCAAGACAGGACACAAGTTCCTGGACAACGGCAAGGTAAGGATTCTGTCTTTAGAGACCTCATGACTGAATGATATTAACTAACTGTGTAAGGATTTACTCCAAATTAAATCACTCTAGTTTTATCCACATCAAAATCACTTGAAAATTGTGTATTTATTCTTGCATTACGCATCCTCAAGTTCATATACACTATAAGTGTATTGTATACCTCTTACACATATTTACATATTTCTGTCACTGATATTTTGTTTGTTTTCAGGTGTACAAAGAGGAGCTAGCTGATTACCGCAAGTCAGCCCTCCCCAGAGACTTCAATGCAAACTTTGAAGAGGAGCCGGAGACCAACATCATCCGTGACCACCTGGGCCACAGCAACGACCGCTACAATGCTCTCAAGTTGAAGACCAACGATCTCACATCGGAGCTTCAAGATCTCGTTGACTGCCATCGCTCCTACAACAACAACCTGACATCCACTGATGGGTGGTTGAAGGATGCAAGGGAGAGTCTGGATTCTCTGCTTCAAGAACCCATTGCTTCTGAACCAATCAACATTCAGAAACAGATTGATACTCTCAAGGTATGTCAGATATCTCTCCTGTGTTATTATTCTGGCTTGTCTCCCTTAATGTACATGTATGTATGTATGTACATGAATCTTGTTGAAAGATGATAGTTGATTTTCACTCCTGACAATTGCATACCGGTACATATAATTGCGCTTAATTTGATGAAAAGATCACACATATTATTTAGTACAAAATATTTCCAACTACTTTTGACTCAATATAGAACAGTCAGATGTTTGACCATTTCAGAAGTTATTGTTAATTCAGATACATATAATTGGTTGCCAATTGGTACCAGTAAGCAGCCATTTTAAAATAATCCATTGCCAAAATTTTCATTTGGGCCATCATGATAACAGAATTTGTTTTCGATGGTTTACATAATTTTGTACACTTTTATTAGTGTCCATTGAAAATCATTAAAACCTTAATCGTCTTTTATTTGTCAAATCGCCCAGACTCTCCATGACGATGTTGTTCTTCATGGTCGTGATGTGGACGGTGTCAAATCAACAGGAGAAGATCTTGTTGACCTTCAACCTGCCACCAAACAAGAGGTCAACCAGTCCACAGGTCAGTACTGGGGTCAAATGGAAATTAGTGGAATCTATAGTGGTATTTTAAATGGTTTCACATCCTCCCCCAGGCCACTTGGCTGTGGAGTACCCCAAGGCTCTGTGGGCGGGCCCACCTTATTTTCAATATATCTAACTGGTCTCAGAAATGTTTTTCAACGTCACTCTGTTCAATATCATTTATATGCAGATGACATACAAGTTTTTGTTTCTTTTCCGCCGCATCAAATTCGAGCTTCCCAAACCTTGCAAAATTTGGAAAATTGCATCGCTGATATTGACGCCTGGATGAAGTCACATTCTCTGCTATTAAATCATAGTAAATGCGAATTCATTCTTTTCGGCTCAAAACCTCAGTTGAATAAATTAAATATAGACTCAATTTCTATTTCCGGTAACACCATTCCCTTATCAAATTCATGTCGCGATCTTGGCGTCATTCTTGATTCTCAAATGTCTATGTCCAAACAAATCACAAGCATTTCCAGATCAGTTCGCTATCAATTGCGCAATATTGGCTTCATACGGAAATATCTGACTCGTTCGGCAACAGAGAAACTTGTTCACTCACTTATTTCTTCACGTTTGGATTTCGGCAACAGTTTACTCTATAATTTACCAAATTCACAAATTGCACAGTTACAAAAACTACAAAATGCAGCTGCACGCATTATTTCTCTGTCAAGCAAACATAGTCATATTACTCCTATCTTACAAAATCTCCATTGGTTGCCTGTAAAAGAACGTATAATATTCAAAATCCTTCTTTTAGTTCATCAAATCATGAACAAAACAGCTCCTGAATACAACCAGTCTTTAGTTCACCTCTACCAACCCACACGTACCCTCCGATCTTCCAACTCTGGTCTTCTACACATACCGCTTTCAAAGAAATCTTGGGGGGAACGAGCTTTTGCTCATGCCGGACCAGCCCTGTGGAATTCACTTCCACAGGAGCTGAAGAACTCCGACTCTTCAACATCTTTTAAGAGCAACCTTAAATCCCATTTGTTTAATCTTGCGTTTTGAAGACAGACATTCATTCTTTCCTTCTTTCATTTTTGCATTTTCTTTCTTATGTAAATGTACCGATTCTTTGTCATGATGTAATGTGTTCCTAATATTTTGAAGCGCCTTGAGCATTTAATTAAAATGGATAATGGCGCTATATAAATCTCATGTATTATTATTATTATTATGAGCGAATGCTCAATGATTATCGTTCATTGTACAAAATTGTCATTGTCCAAAAATGAATGAAATACTGCAAGTCCCAATCCGCAGAACCCCTTTTCCAATGAATAAACTACACTGTAGAACCATTACCATTTTGTTTCATATTGTATGTTATATATTTCCTTTTAGATATTTTTTCTTCAAACAACTTTAAACAGATGTTTCACAGAAAAGCATATACAGTGTAGGATAAATTATACATGTATCGGATATAATACATGTACAATTTAAATGTACTTTTTCGGCTGACAACAGAATAAGATTTAAAATACAAGATGTAATAATTGCATCTTATTTCAATTTCAGACGATGTTGTGAGACGGTACCATGAGCTTGAGGGAGAGCTGGCAGACAGGATGCGTGAGCTGCGTAAGGCTCTGGCTGACTCTCAGTCTGTCCAGGACAGTCTGGATGCCCTCCTACGATGGCTGGAAGACAAAGATAAGACGCTGATGAGGATGATGAAAGGAACGGTGATCGTCGTCAAGAAGGAACCGCTGGTGGAGAACCTTCAGGAGTACAGGGTAAGAGAGCCTGTCATATACTCATTTTTTTTAACTTTGATACATCTCTGTAAATAGCAACACCATGAGCAACAAGGCCATCAACATGGCTACAGGGTATTGTATGTTTAATAGCAAACTGCAAAATTTAATGTAAGCATCTTTTGTAAAGAAGTGCATTGCTAGTAACAAGGCACTATCTGTTATTACAACATGGTGGCAGCGATAGGATATTATATATGTTGTTGTTGTTGGCAACAAGGTAGTAACGGTCACTTGCAATATGGCTTTCCATCACTAAAATATCTTATTGGCAGAGTTGTTATTTCAGCATCAACACCACTTACCTGATGGCAGTGGTGGGATATATATTGTTACTGGCAACAAGGCAATTAATTGATTTTGCAACATGGCTTACTGTTCAAAATCCTTTTTGGTTGCAAGATGCTCAGTATGTAGATTTTTGTGTGGGTAGAAAATTAATCTTATCAATATTTTCTCTCAATGTAGCTGCTGGAGAAGGAGATTGAAAACCACCGCCCCACGATCGAATCCGTCTTCCGCGCCACCAACTCTGCCCTGCGCAACTTTGCCCCGGAGGAGCGTGCCATCTACCAGGACAAGATGAACGACTTTGACACCCGCTTTGGCCAGCTGACCGGCTCCCTCAAGGAGCATGGAGAGAACCTGCAGGGTCTCTCAGGTAACCTGGTCCAGCTGGAGACCAAGCTGGATGATCTGGAGGAGTGGCTCATGCCTCTCCTAGAGACCCTGGAGTCCAGTGACTTCAATGACAGGGAGATCCCTGAAGTAGAGACCGCTATCAAGGTATGGTAGAAATTTTGACGATATTTTTTAGGGATGCAATTTTAAAGTGCAGTTATAAGTACAGTGACTTTCCTTTCTTTAAAGGTTATTGTACCTTAAGCTTTTCATGACAATGTGCACCCATTCAGCTGAAGATGGAGATAGGAATCAAGGAATAGTATGTTTGAAAATGTGTTAACGACAATTACATAGAAAGCATTTATCAAAGAAATGATCATTGTTGGTGCTCCATGATTGAGTGGACCAAGTTTAATCTAGTTTAATGTAGACTGCTTTTGGAATATGGGCCAAAGAATTATATTTTATCCTGTCCTCGTGTCGCTTTAGGAGATCATCCAGGATGTTGATGCTCATCGTCCTGAGTGCCAGGCTGTCCATTCTCTTGGTGAAGAGCTCATCAACCATCCCAAGGCAGGGGACACATCCTTTGTCTCGGCTGTACTCACAAACCTCGACCAAAACTGGACAAGTCTGGAGGATGTTGTCGCTAAACGGTAAAAGGATTGTCCATTTCCCTTTCTATATCAGTTTCAAATAATTTCAAATATTCAATAAAAACAGATTAACAAAAGAAACAAGTCCTTTGTGGTGTTGGATATCCATGATAGAATGTAGGCCTACATCAATATGTCTTGAGCTAAGGCATGAGGAGAAGTCAGACGGGGGGTATGCCAAACACATATAAAACAGTGAGGACATCATATTTGTAGACATAGTTCCCAATTGTCTTGCTAACTTCATATCACAAAACATTAAATGCTTTAGTGTATTGCTTTTCTGATTTCCCTCAAACCTATTTTGATATGTTTCTCTGAATTTTCTGCTGTAAATGAAGCTAAATTTTATTCAGGGGCTGGAATTCTCCAAAGTATTTGATGCCCTGTAGTTTATGTTATCAAATCCAGCTAGATTCTCAAAGATTTTTTTTTTGTTGTATTTTGATACAGTGTGCAGCAGCTGGAAGATCGCCAAGTCGCGACCCGGCGCTACGACGGCCGTGCTAACGATGTCAACTACTGGCTGGAGAACATGGAAGATAAGCTTGGCAAGCTTGACCTGGAAGTACAAGACATCCAGGCAGTTGACCTCCAAATTCAACATCTCAAGGTATGCTTCATCAGTTTGCTACGATGTTTATTTGCGGAATAGAAATATCTTATTGTTATTATTATTATTGTAAAAAGTACATTTTTAATATCAAGCATCATTGAAATTTGTCTAGAATAATCATATCACTGCTGCCTATTAATACAGATTGATGTAGTATTCATTATGTCCAAAGAGACTTGAGAGATATAACAGAGATTGCATGCCCATTCACTCAATTTTTGCAGGTTGAATATTGACACATCCAAATTGATACATGCATATACCTGTACACGTAGTTACAACTATGTAGTTTATTGCACCAACATGTATTGAAAGAATGGTATATGTGCAGAATTTTTTTTACTTGAATGTACTTGCATTGCATTACATCATATATTGCAATTTTTAATAAATACAGTTTACACTTATCCATGCAGGTTTGCCTCCTACTTTTTATTGGGGGAGGGTGACAAGGTATTAGAAATAAAGCATCTAAAACAACTAAATTGTTTTGTCTCCTCAGCCTCTGCAGCGAGAGATCACTGACTACCGCCCCAAGATCGTGGAGGTCAACAAGGTCGGCTCTGCCCTTGACAACCTGATCCGTGACATCATGCATCCAATGGACAGCAGACGTCACTACTGGTCATCTCAAATCGGTGCTCAACTCCAGACGGAGTGGACTCCTCTGAAACCAAAGACCAAGAGGGAGGGAAGAAGAGACGAGCCTGACAAGTCTTTAGGAGGTAAACATGACGGTGATGATGATGATGGTGACTATGGTGATGATGATGGGGTTGATGGTGATATTGATGATCACAGTGCTGATGGAGATGGTTAAGTTTATAATGATGATAATGTTGATTTTGATGAAGAAATATGTGATGATGATGCTGATAGTAGTTGTGATGATAAGTGTAGAAGAACTAATGATTTTCATGACAATGACGACAAGTAGTACGAGTATCCATCATTTGCATGCAAAAGGAAGGCTCGTCTCATCTTAGGAAAGCTCAGACAACAGAGGAGTGAAATGACACCAAAAATCCATCTCTTTGTGATACTGAATGAAATATTAAATAAAATTGTAAGGATATGAGCCCTTACTAATACAACTGTTTCAATTCCTATCACAAACAGAGGACACTGAAGTTGAGAAAGAACTGGAAGTGACCAACAAGCGCTACGACGACCTCAACCGTTGTCTGAACGATGCCCTGGAGGACCTTCGCATTGTCCGTCTCTGTGCGGACAAGGTGGACTCGCTCCAGAACCTACAGGAATGGGTCAACCAGATCGATGCCAGACTGACCGACACCCAACCGACCAGCAGGGAACTCCAGCCATTGGTCAGAGAACTGGACATCTTCAAGGTAAGGAGAGATGGTTTGCAGCGATGCTAGGTTTCAGAGAATTCAAATCATTTCCGGCCCTGTCACTTTTTTAGGCTCCGTTGTGCAGGATGTTTGGGGGCTTAAACATGTATTGACTTCTTTTTCAAGTTAATTGAGTAAAATTCGTTGGTATCCCTGCAGTTTGAAGTATTAGCAAATCTTTCATTCTCAGCTTCATAGAAAGAGTTCTATGAAGTTGCTCTTTGTGGGAAATTAGGAATAGACCATTTAAGATACACAAATTGTATTGTGTGTGTCATTCCTTAATTTCTAATGGTTTATCGTAACATTTTTGATATGAAAAGGAATGTATTTAGAACCATTTAGATTCTTATACTTTGAATGTTATTAAGCAAATTGTATGTCTGTCTTTCTGAGTTATCCAACACATCTAATGGTGAGATTCTGAGCTTAGAAATGATACATGTACAAACAGTTGAAAAAAAACCCAAAACTGTTACCATGAAATGTTCCTTTCTTTTTTCTCCACAGCAACCAAAAAATTACTTTTTTTTTTACGAGGGCTCTTTTCAGATTTTCCCTTAAAAAAATAGCCCCCCTTAATTATTTTGCGGTGGCTATTTTGGAGCTCAGGGGGGCTTCTTTTTTTTTAAAGGTTGTATTTTTTTTAAACGCGGTTTTACCCAATTAAATTCCAAGCAAAGGCAAATATAGATACAATTGTAGCGTACATATGTCATGTAGAGTATTGCAGACATTCTGATACCCATGATTTATTCACTTTGTGTTAAACGTGTGGCTTTATGATTTACATATACATGTAACTAAAACTTGTCAAAAGGAGTGTTTTGTTTAACTGTTCGTTTTTCATATCCTAAGAAAATATTATCACTGACACGCGGGCTAGGAATTAATTTTTTTATGGGGGCTACTTTTCCCCATTGCCTAAAAAAAAAAAAGGGGCTACTTTCTTAAAGCCATATTGTAAGCTGTAACAATAAGTTGTGTTTTTCCTTAGCCATCATACTACTAGCAACCAAATTGGTAGGTAATATGTTATTTAGTCTTTTTTTCTGTCCCAAATTTAATTGTTATCATGGACAATGCAATCCCATTAAAAAAAAATGTAGACCAACTCCCTTTAAAATTGTGTTATTTAGACCATTTATAACCATTAAATGTGAGTAAATATTTTTACTGTTGTCCCACATACCGATGTAGGGTCTATTTGTTATGCCGAAACATGCAAAATCATGGCCTTATTTTTTTTTTATAGACTCTAATTCTAAAGGCCAAGCCAAAGCTAGTTTCATTTCGTAGACAGAAATTGATATCATCATCATCGATCGTATATAAATAATTTAATTTAATTAAACAGTTGTAAGAAATATTCTGAGGAGTAGGAACATCCTTTATATATTTATTTACGGTTTTTTTATAACAAAATTCAATTTCTGTGTACGAAACTTGCTTTATACCGATTTTACAGGAAAAAATCCGGCATTGATTTTGCACGTTTCGTTATTACAAATATATCAGTATGTGGGACAACAGTAAAAATATACTCGCATTTAATGGTTTTAACTTATAAATAACACAATTTTAGACGGAATAACATTTTTTTTAATGGGATTGCATTGTCCATGATAAAAATTAGGGCCAGAAAAAAGACTAAATAAACATATTACGTACCAATTTGGTCGCTAGCAGTTGAGCTCTCGTCACTCGCAATTACTTATTTGCTTCATACAAGGAGCGTGCGGGCGCGCGCTGGAGCTGAGCCAGTACGTTTCTGTGTATTGTGAACGTGTGCGGACTGCGTATGCATTCATGCTGTGCACGAATGCATCGGGGCCGGTGGCCTGTCCGGCCGCCGGGAGCTTAGGCGCAGGCAGGCGGATACCGCTGTAGATCTAGCTACAGTAGGTACGACCGCCGATCCGCTGCAACTCACAAAACTTTTAAAATGTTGATGGAAGTTTCTAGTTTTGGAGTTGGTAGTTGGAACGGAGATTTCACTCAGACACATCAATAAATTGGTTTATTAATTCATAGGGAATATCAATTTATGGCGGGGGCGATTTTTCAAGATATATTGATTTTTTTTCGCCCTCGTCTTGATTTTTACCGTGGCGATTTCAGAGGTTTAGGGGGCGAATCGCCCGTCGCCACCGTGTATTTTTTTCGTTGCTCCACAGTCATATGAACCTTTTGAACTAAAGATGCTTGTAACCAAACTGAAGGTTATAGAATTTATTCAAAATTGTTTGTTACACCTGCATCTATTAAAAAGACTTTTCTGTTCATTAACGCACATAATAGTGAAATATTTGTCATCGTCTACACCTAAAGCCTCATTCAGATATGACTCTGCAAAACAGAGACGATTAAAAAAGGATGATATAAAGTGTAATATACTGCACATTTCTGAATATTATAACACAGAGCTCAGTGAGAACGCGTAGGACTTTTGTTGCGCGCAGTTGCCATCCATTCAATACACGTTAAAAAAATGTGGTTGTTTTGTTTTTGATGGTTTACACAGTCATATCTGAACAAGCTTTTACAGTGTACCATGTTTGTATATGCGTAAATGATCTCTGTTTGTTCTCATGTTAATTTTGTGTTACACCCGAATCCACTTCTATTGATGAAAGAGAAAAAAATTGTATATTCAACACAATATCCTTAAACAATTGTGTGGCTTTGTTAACCTCCTTGATAATGCATGAATGAAATCTTCCCCAGTGTTTTAATTGAGTTTGAGAAAACCCCTTTAAGATGTAAGCTTGCTTAAGTATGGATACCCCCCCCCCCTGTACATATATTCATAAATATACTAGTATCATCTACAATATAAAGATAACTTTTGCTAGAATCCATCCAGCTTATAATAGGTATTACATGTATGTAATTCAGATTATAAAACGTACATTAAAGCACATACCGGTATGTATCACAAATTCTATCAAACATTTGAAAATACATGTATATTCAATTCTCTATAGCTGCCACGAACCATTTCATTCACATATGCCAAGTTGATAAATATGCTTTTCATTGAAAGATAAAATTTGCTGAAAAGACAGTAAACTCTAAAGTTTCATTGTATATTAGTGGAGAAATGTACATTTAAAAGTGTGTACACTTTACATGACTTTTTGTATATATTTTTGTATATACCTGTTCATTTTATTTACCAAGTATGTAAGTACCTGTACACAGTAGAGTAAAGAAATCTATTTTGATAACGAAGTCCATATACATTTTAAAAGCAGCCAAATAGATATGAAATAGAAACGTTATCCCTATATTGCATGGTAAACCTTTTCTTTGTACTTTTATAGTCTAAAGTTGTTCCCTGTATTTTGATAGTCTGAAATCTGTATCTTATTTATGCTCACACCTTTGAAATTATGGTTTATATTATTTTCCAAGTTGGTACGATGTTGTAATCATGTGTGAATTTGTAACATCATTGTTCAATGTTGCATTCTAAATTTTGATATTTTACTGAGAACTTACAGTATTATGAAAATTGCAAATTTGTACTTGTATATTTTGAAATTTCCCCAAAACCTGGTCACAAAAAAGTAGTGTCATTTTTAATACATAAACATGAACATTTCCCTCTCATTCCATAAAAACATCATTGTGCAAATAATATGTTATCATACATGTACATATAGATACAAAAACATAAAACCCCTAGATACATGTCAACTTAATTTTGTTAATACAATTCATCTTTTATTATGAGCAATTATTATTAACTTTTTACTATGAGATGAAGGATGTACATATATTTAAAAATGTCATCTGTGTGTGCGAAGTTCCTGTGCATGGAGTTTTGATTTACTAATTTTTAAATTTGAGAAAAGAAAAGGATAAAGAGTGAACATGAAACACTTAAAAAATGTATTTGGAACAGTGGGTACTCATCTTTAATTCCATATGAAATATATTCATGCTTCCAAAAGCTCTTTCTCACTGCCATCATTCCTCCCCCCACCCACAGCCCATCCATGGTGAAGTAGCTGACCACCGCCCAGTCATCCTGGAGGTGGTGCACAGTGCAGAGCAGTTCCTGCGTGACCATCGTGACAGGCTCCATCCCAACCTACAGAACAAGCTCAAGGGTTTGACCTCTAACCTCAGGTCATCCTACGAACAGGCCTCACTCAAGTCCAATGACTGGCTCAAGGAGGCTACCCAGGTCCTGGACCTGCTCAAGAACGAGGAGTCTGACCAGGTAAACAGTCTTTCTCTTTTCTTTCTGTTTTTTTGAGAGGGATGATCCTGCCTTATAAACTCTCCAGTAATTAGTTTCATCACATCCACGTCTCTGGAACTCCCTCCCTCCTATTCTTCGGGACACCAACAAGCTAGAAAGCTTTAAGCTTTAACCAGCGCAGCTGAATATATTTTGTATAAAAGTTGCGCTGTATAAATTTATTATTATTATTATTATTATTATTATTAAGTCGGGCCTTAAAACCCATCCTTTCAAGCAAATGTGTAGTCCATGACTATTGGAGGAGCCGGTGCCTTTGAATGTTTGAAACAGATAAATGGCGCCACACAAGTGCTGTGAAGCATCATCATCATGTACAGAACTTTAGATTTGTTGGGTACATGTACAATGGAAACAGAGCACAAACATGTTATAGATTTAGAGAGTCAATAATTATTTCTTGACATTCTTCTTTCTACCTTATCACAGGTTGCTGTAGACGAGCTGTTACAGGCCACCATACAATCCTTGGATGATGAGCTGGAATGGATTCCAATCATTGAGAAGAGGTTGGGTTCTGAACAACCCTTCGCTGAGGAATCTAAGCCACTCGCACAACAAGAACTGGAACACAAGGTGACTACATTTCTCTTCAATTACAGGGTCTTAGGAAAACTATTCAATCATTGTCATGACTGTGTGTGTTCTTAATACTCTATCCAAAATACAAGTACTGTGTATGTCTGGACAATTTGTGGTGAATCATGTTAGATGCAGATGGAGGTGGGAAAAACCTTGATAGATTTTTTATGTCATTTTGCTTAATCTACATGAACAGTGTAGGCTACCTGGACATGCCAGGTCAAACTTTTCATACATGTACATGTACCTGTAGGCCTACATGCACTGTAGTCGCCTCTTTACAAAGGTCACTTGTGACCAATTTTAATGTTTCTCCTATTAGAAAAAACATGTGGACAGTGCTTTGTGCATGTAGAGTGTTGGAAAACCCATCTAGAAATCCATCCTGTTTCTAGAGGTCACTTTTATGGATAAACATTGTATTAGACATATTCATATCCACAGCTGTCATCTTCCTCTTCATCACAATCTGAATACATCAAAATATTTTCTATAATCACATATATATGTTGGAACTGGACCACTCTACAACATGTCACTAATATTTTCCTCTCTCTCTCTAGGCTATCCATGATGAGATCCAGAACCACAAGACTCCAGTCCTACAGGCCCTGCAGGAGACCCAGTCCCTGATCCGTCAACACTCTCAGAGTCTTAGACCAGAAGACCAGACCAAGCTCAGTGAGAAACAGACAGATCTCAGGAACAGATATGATGCTATCACTACAGAGTCACTCAACAGGACCAACAAGGTAAAAATTTGATGTTTTTTCAATGCAGAACTTCTTTGACTTAAGAGAAAGTGTGAGACTTAAAAGAAAGCTGGATAAAGGAGAGACAGACAGACAGAGGCAGAGAGAATGTTAGTCTTAACAAAATTTATAAGAGTTATAATTAGAGTGTTGGAAAAAACAGATAAAGGGATAAGGAGGGATAAGGAGGAAGAAAGAGGAAGAGAAAAAAAAGGATTAAAAACATTGACAGAGAGAAAGAGAGGAACAGAAAGAAAAAAAAAGGGTTCAGGCATACAAAGTTAGATCTGTGGATTAGATGTTAAAAATGGGTAAGGATAGTGTTGGAAAAAAACACATCTTGTTAAATGCTTTCATTTGGTATATTTCAGAAGTCAAAATAAAGCAAAAAAAAGTTTATGACTGGTAAAGTGAAAAATGAAGTGATTATTTTATTCTTTTATAATCCTCCCCCTCTCTCTTACATGGTGTAACCGGAAGCCTACTGTATATTTTATTCTTGTTGAATGCTTTATATTATGTTGTGACATACTGTATATTTGATCCGATTGCAGCTCCGCTTCTCCAACGAGGACCTTCCTCTCTTGGAGAACGAGGTTGGTGACTTTGAGGAGTGGCTGGATGGTGCTGAGCGCACTCTGGATAATACCCTGAGACAGACCCAGACTGAGCCTGAAGCCATCAGGAAGCAGTATAACACCATGCGTGGCTTCTCAGAGGACGTCATTGCTCATGCTGCAGATATCAAGTTTGTGGTCAAGGGTGGCCAGAAATACTTAGAGTCAGCAAAGGTAATGCTCTACTGAATTTTTTTCTCCAATATCTGTCTTTAATCTGTTATAATTTTGAATTATAGCTTTTCTATTGCAAATACTTGCAGCAAAGAAATTCTTACTTTTCATCTAAATGCCTCTGTTTCTTTTTAGCAGTGAAGATTATGTTACATATGTGCACATGATGGAACACTGTATGTACAGGTGTTGAAAATGCACTTGCATTCAAGAAAGTGTGTTTAAATACATTTTTGAGATCATTGTTTGTTTTATTGTCATAGAGCAAGTGAACCCACCTAAAAAAACAAAAAAATAAGTGATACAATTTGATTTGTGTTTGAGCATTTTGGTGGAATGTAGATGTTCATTTCATATCGGAATTAGAATCTGATTTACAGTATGCAAAGTCATGTGTAATATGTTCTTAATCCCTCATCCTTCTCCCTTCAGGTCTACGGTCAAGATCTGGCTGTCTTCCGTGATGCTGCCCTCCCACGCCAGTTCAACCGCACCTTCACCGAGAACCCTGATAGTAACATCATCCGCGACAAGCTCGGCAAGATCTCAACCCGCTACGACCGCCTCAAGGTGACAGCCACGGACACCACCAATGCCCTGAGGGACGTGGTGGAGAAGCAACAGAAGTTCCAGGACGTAGCAGACAGTCTTGGGATCTGGCTCCAGGATGCTGAAGGGTCACTCAAGGTGCTCCAGAAGGAAGCCATCGGAGCGGATCCTGCAACGGTCCAGAAGCAGATCGACAGGCTCAAGGTGAGAAAGACTTTGAAAAAAGCAACCTACATGTATGGGCAATGTGTCACACTATTGTATCGCTAATATGAACCATGTTCAGATGATATGAAAGTATGAAAGATGTCGTTGTAATATTATTACATTTCAACAGGTGGAGCAGAAGGTTTTGAAATTGCCATTGGCTAATTTTGTGAAAATCTTGGCCACAGTGTTGAATATACCCTTCTTTATATGATAGATACTTTGTGGAATTATGCCTCCTTGACTGAGTTTGTATTGCCAAACTTTTACTTTATGGTACAATTGTCATGTTAAAATGAAATGAATACAGCTTTTAGCTGATGAATATATGGACCTTTGTTTAGAACATTTTGCCGACTAATGTCCAGCACATAAAGATGTAAAAATACATTGAGTGCTAGATATGAGCTGTTAAAGACATACTGTATGCACTGCTTCTAACATCATTTGTTTTTCTATTCTTTAAGGTTCTTCGTGATGAGACAGCTTTCCATCTGAAGGACATTGAGAGGACCAAGGAGGCAGGCAGAAACCTGGCTGACTCTAAACCTGAACTACAGCCAGAGATCAACAAAGCCATTGGTATGTCATTTATATAAACCCATTGCATACGGGAACCGGGTTGTCCCTGTATTAACTCTATGTGAATTATAGAATTCAGTAGTCAACTGGTTAACATGGAGACCATAGGAAATATGACCATAGATAGTTTCTGTAGTGTGATCGACTCCTGATATTTGTTGAAAATATTAGATAGGGATAGGAAAACTCTCTATTTTGTACTCTAAAGAGGCAAATATCTGTAAAATCTGTGTGAAGGGGGAAACAGTTATGCAACCAAATAAAGACAATGAAGAACTCAAGCATTCTGCTCACTACGTCACAAAAAAATAAAAAACAAAGCAAATTGCGATACTATTAATTTCTTATCTACGTGTACGTTTGATTTATAGTACAAGGCTTGCATTTGGAATTGAAAATATGATTTCACATTGTTGGCATAAAGAAAATCCTTACAAATGATTAATACACTTTTTACAATCAACAATCGTATCATAATCAATGTATTTGCTTATTCCAGACACGCTGACACGTCGCTACAACGATCTGGATGGCCAGATCAACCAGCGCAACCAGCAGCTACAGAACGCCCTCACACAGTCACAGGGTGTCCAGGATAGTCTGGACACGATGCTACGATGGCTGGATGATATCGAGAGGGGCGTACACAGGATGGAGAAGGGAACCATTCTGGTCGTCAAGCGGGATCCACTGGTGGAGAACATCCAGGAACAGAAGGTAACCATCTTCATTTTCATTTTTTTTAATCTTTGTATATTTAAAAAAAAATTGAAAGCAATAAACACAAGTTAACATAAAAATCAGGTGGAATAAAATAGTAGTAATGATTTTATTGAGGGTGCGATTTTAGCAAACTGAACAGATTGTAATTATGTATTGATAGGGGCTTGCATTATATTTCTTTGAAAGTTCACATTACTGGTCACAAAAAAGGATAGTCATCTCGAGTTTCATTTACATGTACATGTTCATTGCTGACATGTACATATACAAGTATTGTACTTGCCAAGTTGATCTTTTGTAGATGAATCATATTAACATTGATGAACATACACTAAATACATATAGTAGACGTGGGATAACAGGTGACAAATGTTTATCTCATTGTCTATGGACATGTATATGTCATTGAGTAGGTAAACCCATGTTGGAACTATGCTTGACACTTTCTTTTCATGTTGTCTGATTTCATCCTTTATTTCTAGGTGCTTGAGGATGACATCACAGCTCACAAGCCAGCCGTTGAGAACGTCAACCGCTCGGCCAAGACCCTGATACAGAACAGTGAACCTAAGGTTGCTAAGGTGCTACAATCCAAACTCAACAATGTCAACACTAGATATGAGAAGGTCAGTTACATGCTGCTTAGTTCCCTCCTTCTCTTTCCTTATCTCTCCTTCTCTCTTTGTCTATCTTTATCTTTCTCTCACTCTCCCTTTCCTTGGCTATCCCCTTCGCTCTCTCTATCCCTTTCTACTTCTCTCCCTATCCTCTCTTTCATTCTCCTCTCCCTATCCTCTCTTTCATTCTCCTCTCTTACTATCCTTCTCTTTCTCTTTCTCTTTGCTTTCCTCTTCTGTTTCCATCGCTCTCTCTCTCACACTTTTTCCTTTCTTTCTTTTTCCTCCTGGGTTTGAAGCATAAACGTAAAAGATGTTTCTTTCCTTGCTTTTTGAATGCTTGCACATGAATTCTAAAATGCAAAAATACAAAATTGAATTCTAAACTAAATGTGAAAAATTTGATTTATTCACAGGTCTCTGTAGCAACCACCAACCATGGTCAAACTCTTGATGGCATGCTTGGGAAGCTGAACGAGTTTGAGAAGGAGGTTGACCATCTGGAAGATGTCCTCATGCCAGCTATTGACCGCTTGGAGCACCGTGACTTCGGTCGTCAGGAGATCCCAGAAGCTGAGAAACAGCTCAAGGTACTGTCATGTTCTCTGTTGATTTGTTACATGTTCTGATGAGGTGTTAATCTTGAATGACAGGAAAATAAAGTTTATTGTCTGACATATGCGTGATGGGATGAAAGTGCAAAAAGGGGCAGTTATGCTCTCGAAATACAGTGTCAAGTACAAGTTTCATACAATTTTGGAGCTGCATTTCATAATGTATAAGATAGACTGTTTACAAAGCAAATGATGAATTGATTTTGATGTAATTTGTATAGACATACAGATGTCAGATTACAATGGTTAGTGCATGATCAAATGTATATGTAATGTATATGTATATACCACATTTTATATGATTGCATGTAATGGGGTTTATGAGTAAGCTTAAATAAAAGTACATTGTTGAACAAGGAGTTTAAAATTAAGCTGTGCTTGTAAGTCATAGGTTTCAATTAATGTATTTGCGATGTGTTTCTCATGATTGCAGGACTACAAGGCACAGCTGAATGACCAGCGTCCTTCTCACAAGCGAGTCCACCAGCTTGGAGAGGCCCTTGTACGTGACCCCAAGGCAGGAAACACTTCCTATGTCACAGACGTCATCACCAACCATGAAAACAACTGGAGGACGATGGAGGAGGTCCTTGCCAAGAGGTTAGTTCAGACACAAGTCTATACTACTAGCCCTATCGATGTAATCCCATTCTCCACTTTAACCCAAACATGTTCATGACGAATCAATTTATATTGCATGTACAGTGTACAGTACAGTAATTTATCTGACCCTCATAATAACTTCATTAGTATGAAAGCAGCAAAATAAGATAAACAGAATGTGATAGTTTGAAATAAATTAGGAAATTAATGAGTGTTGAGATCATTAAGTCTATGCGAATCTCAAATTGGCAGTTTGATTAGTGGATGGTGATGTAATCGCAGATAACTCTCCCGTTTGTTCAGTAGTATTTTACTATCAAGGTTGGTTTTCACAATGGGATATTGTAAACTCATTCAAATTAACTGTATCAAACCTTCTTGCACTACAGGTCCAAGCAGATTGACCAGGAACAGAAGGCCGCTAAGAAGTACTATCAGAGCAACAAGGACGTAAATCACTGGCTTGAAAACATGGAGCGCAAGGTGGGTCAGCTCCAAGCTGTATCCACCGACCCAATGACCCTGCAGACACAGGTTGAACAGCTCAAGGTATGCTAGTGATCTTTAATGCATTTCTTTCTGAAATTTTGCACTTCCTTTGAATATTTCAAAGTTCAGGATAATAGTCTAATAATCTTAAATTCTTAGAAATCTGTTGCTTCTGTCTAGTTTCAGTCCATGTACATTTCAGTGATAACTTCTTGTGCAGTATAATATTTAGAATGAAATTAATGTCAACCAGACATGCTAAATGTATCTGCACATGTACATGTAGATGGCAATCAAATCTGAAAGACATACATGTACAGGTGTACATGTAGTTTTTAAGAAGAGGTTTGTATTGAAGAATGTGTACTGACTGTATGATTTACTTGAGTAAAATCTTTGAAATTTGTTAAATCAAGTAAAGATGTTTTTATCTTCTTTTTGATGTAACCCTGTACATGGACAAATTGATTATTGTTTTAATTACATTTCACATTCCATTACAGCCATTCAAGGCAGACGTCATGGCCTACAAGCCCAAGATCATCGACGTCAACAAATTTGGCCAGACCTTTGACCGTCTGGTCAAGGAGGGTGACTCAGCAGTCAGTCTAAGACCACGCTGCCGGTCACTTCAACTAGGCTCCATGAAGAGAGATGACGTGCTCCAACAGAGACGACCGGTTGATACCTCTGACATGAGCGACTACCAAGAAGGTTTGTCTTCTTCCTCTTCCAAACAGTGTTTTAGATGATTAGATTAAATCCCCAAATTGAATCAAATGTTGATGTCACTGTGGTTTACTATTCCTCACAGTCATGAATCAAATTAAGCACATAATTCTGAATATAGAAACTTGTCCCTGCATATCTATTTAAGTTTGAATACCTATGAATAGTTTATGAAATGTTGTAGTGTAAAATACAATCAACAATTTATTTCCCTTTCTCACTTTGTGAGTCCCTTTAGTATTTGGAATATAGATGCCTATAAGATTGATTAAATGGTACTCTGAGGATTATTTTATACATGTACATGTATTATGTATTTGCTGTAGTGTACTGTATTTACATATTTAATTTGATTTGCCAGAGCCAGAATTACTATTTCATAACATATTCAGCATCATTTGCTTACTCTATGAAAGTCATGATGCACACATACAGTGTGTACCTTTCTCTTGTTTTCGGCTCCTTGTTTTTCAATTCTAACGAATCATTATCCATCTTTTCAATGGCAGATGACAGCAAGACGGTCCGTGACCTCGCAGAGATCAACCACCGCTATGAGGCCCTGCGTGCCACTCTGTCGGACCGCGAGGAGGACCTGGACCTGAACTCTAAGCTCGCTGAGAAGACCAATAGCGTTGGCGGTCTCATGGACTGGGTGACCGCCACCGATGCGAAGGTGGTCAATTCAGCTCCTCGGGGAGGTGACATGGGCCAGTTGACCGATGAGCTGGAGAACTACAAGGTGGGTCAAGAAAATATGTTGCAGGAATTTCTACAGAATCTTGTACTTCTCCCAGAGGTAGAGAGGAGAACTACAAGGCAATTCAAGAGATATGTTAGGCAATTTCTATAAATACTTGTTCGTCTCCCAGAGGTAGAGAGGAGAACTACAAGGCAATTCAAGTGATATATTGGGCATTTTCTATAAATACTTGTTCGTCTCCGAGAGGTAGAGAGGAGAACTACAAGGCCATTTAAGAGATATATTGGGGAATTTCTGTAGATACTTGTTCGTCTCCCAGTGTTAGAGAGAATGCTAGATGAAAGAATGAAGAAAGAATTGGAGCATGAGTAGTGTCATGACTGTCAATGGTGGCTGTCAGAGCCTAATATTAAAAAGTGAGAATATTTACTGAAAAGAAGGGAATACATGAGGTAAGTAGGATGACGATGATGATGATGATTCACAGCATTTGTATGGTGCCATATATCTGTTTAAAAAAAAGTTAGCATTTAAATGTCTGAAGGAAGATGTGAGTTTTGAGTGAAGTTTTGAACTGGTCAAGGTTGTCAATTTCTCGAATACCGGTAGATGATGGGAGGGAATTCCACAGGCGAGGAGAAATAGAGGAAAATGGCCCGGTCTCCTGCAATTTGGAAGTACACATAGCTCTGGGCCTTATTTTGAGTCAAGACACGAGAGGTCCTACTCGGTGCTGACCCATTTCACATCATTCATGTGCTTCTTTATTCACTTCCCTCTCAGCATGTCCATGGTGACATCGACAACAACAAGGCGGCCATCTTGGATGCCATACATTCCACGGATCAGTTCCTGAAGGACAAGCGTGCCAAGCTCTCCCCAGAGAGGGTAGGTGAACTCCAGGCGACACTCGTTGACCTCCGTAAGCAGTATGACCTTCTCAGCCGCAAGTCTGATGATGTCTTCAAGAACACAGAGAGCACCCTCGCTCGTCTGCGCACAGAGGAGATAGAGAAGGTAAGCAATGGACATTTACTGTTCGTCCACATTGATTACTAGATGGATGCACTTTGAAATGTCAGAGTCTCCAATTGGGAGAGGACCCAGGAGAGGCCCCTTTACATCTATCCCACTCTATCCCTGTTACTCTCTCTCTCTCTTTTTGTCTTTTTGTTTTCCATCATACAAGGTAAGCGAATGTGTCTCCAAGCACCCCCTCTGCCTACACCACTACCAGAAGTACATGCACATTTACACCTCTATAATTTTGTTGTTGTTTTTGTTTTAATGTTTAGATGAAGCTGAAGGAGCAGTATGCTGAGACCAAGGATCAGCTGAGGAACCTCGGTGACTGGCTGACCAATGCTGAACACCAGCTTGGTGCTGAACAACCTATCCAGGAACAGATGAGACCACTGACAGACCAAAAGAACAAACACAAGGTACATTGTACATTATGAATCTGAATTTTCTCATTCTCCTTGGGAGACCGAATTTGTGTGCACATCATATTCAAAGGTGAATAATTCATTTACAATGTACACATGTAAATGTAGTCCATTACTTTGAGCAAGGTCATCAGGAGTTTGACATAAATTTAAACATTCTGAAGTTAAATTGTTTGCAAAATAGTGATGAAAAAACATTAATAATGCTTACCTAATCTTTTTTGTATTAATGTTGGGAAAGTTATGCATGTGAGTAAATGTTTACAAAACTTGATTTGTATATGTGTTGGAAATGAACACAGGTTAGGAAAGTGTATGACTGTTTACCTCTATGACTTGTGACCTTTGACTTGCAGGTGCTTCATGAAGACATCCTTATCCACCAAGGCCCATTCCTGGAGACTGTCCAAGAAGGCAACCAGCTCCTCAAGCAGAAGGGTGACCGTCTCACAGAGGACGAGTGTGCTGCCCTCAAGACACCAATGGATGACCTCAAGGTCCGCTATGAGAACGCCAACGTTCAGTCCACCACACGCAGCGACAAGCTCCGTCTGGCGCTGGACGACCTCAAGAAGCTTGAACCGGAGATGACCGAGATGGAGGACTGGCTCCGGGATGCAGAGCAGGCCTTAGAGAAGTCCAACCGTAAGATTGAGCTTGGTGATGAAGCTCTGCAGAGGCAGTACGAGGAGCAGAAGGCTCTGGCTGATGATGTGGTCACACATCGTGCTGATGTGAAGTTCATCAACATGACCGGACAGGCCTTTGTGGACAATGCTAAGGTTTGTGTTGCAGATACTTTTACACAATATTTTGTTGTTGAGCTCTTGATGTGAGAAATCATTATTAAGTAAAATGTAACATGATATTCAGGTGCATGTAAATTGAATTCACATGAAAATAAAAAGATCTCCAGTAATCGTTTGTGAGATGGTTTTATATTTACAGCAGTATCTGGTGTTCAACCAAAGAAGTATCACTTTGCAGCTCTTCAATTTCATTTGCAAGCTTACAGTGTTTGTGTATAAATTGTAAAGTACTTGTAGGTCAATGTTTTCAAAGCACATAAACTGTACATTTGTTCACATTTGTATGGTAGAGAGTTTCTTCCAAAGTCCCAATGCAATCCTTCAACTTTCCTTTGATTTCTAATATCTCCTTATTTAGATGTACAAGGAAGAGCTGAGTGACTACCGCTCCACTGCTCTGCCGAGGCAGTTCGGTCAAACCTTCAGCGAGGCACCAGAGTCCAACACCATCCGTGACAAGCTTGGCAACATCAACTCCCGCTACGAGAGACTCAAGACCCGTTGCCTGGAGCATAGGGATCGCCTTGGAGATGTCTGTGGGAAGCAGACTCGATACACCGAGGCTGTCAACCCAACCATGCCCTGGTTGGACGAGATGTATGCTACGCTGAAGAACGTTGAGAAGGAACCCATCGCTACAGAGCCTGAAGTTGTCCAGAGGCAGATCGATGATCTGAAGGTAATGTCTCAAATGTTTTTGGGGTATTTATTTACATACTGTTTTAAAAATAGAACAGAAAGCAAATTTTAATTTGCAGTGCAGGGGGAGAGAATGAAGAATGACAGAATGAAGAATGACAGTTACAGAATCTGTTCAAGACATAATGCAAATCATTGTGTCTTGGTGGAGGGCGATGAACTCACAATTTTGTTGGATTTCCAAGCTTTTAGTTTGATTGTTGAGGTAATAATTTTACTGTTGTCAATTTGGACGATGCATATAGTGAAATGTGTTACCCGCATGTACATGAGGATTTAATCATCAAATGGTACAGACCCTGGATTGCTTATTTCTTGAAATTCACATCAGTTGTCAGTATGTTCATCTGCGCCCTTTGGCAGGACATGCAACAAAATGTCAGTGTTTTAACCGTTTTCCTTATCCACATAAAATTGTAGGCCCTCAGTGATGAAGTCCTCATGCATAGCAAGGATGTTGAGACGGCCAAGGAAGCTGGTCGTGACCTCTCAGACTCCCATGAGGACCTCAAGCCTGAGGTCCAGAGACAGACCAGGGACATGAGTGACCGCTACAGCCAGCTGGAAGCCATGCTGACCGATCGCAGCAACCTGCTCCACACCGCCTTGACCGAGTCACAGACTGTCCAGGGTGGACTGGACTCTCTTCTGAGGTGGCTGGAGGATACAGAGGCAACACTGAACAGACTGGAAGAAAGGACACCAATCTCCCTGAGGAAGGAACATCTGGCTGACGTCATGCAACAATACAAGGTGAGATAAATATTTGTTGTCTGTGTTTATTAAAAATGTCAAATTTGACAAACTATATATGTACATGGTCTATGAACAACATATTTACATTGCCAAGTGGAAAATATAGTTTGTTGTTTGGTTTACATCAATGTATGTGTGTCCTGGACAACCCTCCTCTGTATAGTATGTAGTTAATGTACAATTTGGTTCTGTAATAAAAGTTAGAATGGTGGTTTTCAGAGATCAATTTTGGAAGTGGGATGTTTTGAGGATGATCCATAACGTAAACTGTACCTCTGTACATATAAATAGATATACATTATGTGCCAGTGGTGTTGCTAATATAGATTAATAAATTTTGGCTCTACAACTTATTTATTTACCCCCTCAAAAACAGAAATATAATATGCTGTACGTCCTACATGTATTTCACTCAGAAACTTCTTGCTGATGTTGAGAATCGTAAGCCAAGCGTTGATGGCATCAACAAGTCAGCAGCTAAGCTCCTCTCCACCACGACCGACCCAGCCGAAGCCAGGGCACTCCAGTCCAAGTTGGACGCCCTAAACACCCGCTTTGAGCGCCTGTCCGGCCCTGCTCGCTCCAGCTGCGACTTCCTGCAGAAATTGTCCGACAGGCTTGGACGTCTCCAGGATGAGGTGGACAAACTGGAGGACTGGTTGATACCCATGCTGGATCTACTGAAGGCACCTGACCTGAGCCAGAAGGACCTGACTGAACTGGGAACCATCTTGCAGGTTGGTCCATAAGAAAAAAAATCTATTTCAAAACAGTTTATAAATCAAATCAAGAGTAGATGATCTCTTTGTTAGTAGTACAATCTATTTCATACTACATGTATCTCGTACAGAGGCATGTAGATGATCGGGAGGATTTTAAGATTTCTTGAGATTTTAGTGACAGACGTGTATGTTAATACAGTGCATGTACAAGTAGGATACGGTTACATGTTTATAAATGTATTCACCTCACTTTGATTTATACTTATTATAATTCTTTTGTAGGGTCTTTGCAATTTTATTGCAAGTCCCATTCATGCTCTGGGCATGTTATAAAGGATTCATAGGACTTTAAAATTAGCTGATTTTGTAAAGTTTCTTCCAATTCCACACCCTATTTCCTAGTTTTATTTCAAGATCCAATATTTAAGATTGAATTTGACAGTATTCTTCATTTTCCTCTTTTATTTACTTGCTTTGTGGAACAAGATTTAAGTAAAATCTCAATTTTTGTTTGTGAAACAGAATGCTCGTACTCAGGCGGACAAGAACAAGGCCCAGTACATGGACATCCACAAGATGGCCGATGAACTGCTTCATGAGAGGAGGGTCAGTGATCCAGCTGCTCTCAATATCATCCTGCAGAACCTGGATGACAACTGGCAAGATCTCCAAGAACTCCTGGAATTCAGGTACAGGGATGATGGTGATTGTGGTGATTGTGGTGACTTTCATATGTACATGTACATGGGGAATGGTAAAGGATTAGAATAGAAAACGGCTCTATTGAATATTAATATTTTGTAATGGTTGTAAGTCCTTTCCGAGGGATTTGATAACGACAGTAATTGCTGTAATTGTCACCATTGCACAAGTTTTTGTGTGAATCTTGGACATCTTTGTTTAATACAAGACCACTCCTCTTCCACTGGGCCATCATGGTTCGTAGAGACTATGAAAATATCTAAACTGTGTAGTCACATTTGATTCTTGATCTATCCTCTACAGATCGAGACAGCTTGAAGAGAGACGAGCTGCCCAGCAGGCCTACAATAACAGTCTCAAGGATGTCAGCTCCTGGCTCATACCTGTAGAAAGACGCTTCAATGGCTTCAGGGCAGTCGCCAAGGAACTGGACGACATCAAGGAACAGTATGATGAATTGAAGGTATGGAAAAGAGATGTTTGTATTAATTGTTGAGGTATCAATCATGTTACAATTTTCAGTAGAAGCATTTCTATTAGCAATTGCGATCATTATCAAAGTTTGTCGATTGCATGATAAGAAATTGGTACTATTTAAAAAAAAAATTTGGTCAGCTGAATGCAAATATAATATTTTTGTGTTTATCTCGTGCACCATGCTTGAAAGACATCTAATTCATGATTCCCCTGCTTTTTCAATGAATTACAAATAAGAAACTTTTTGCCAAGCAACAATCTTATGCTTATAGACTGAGGAGATATCCCCATCGGGTTGCACACCTACACACTTTTCAGTGAAAATCATTTCAATGTAGTATAACGTCGTGTCATTTTGTGCTCAAACCCTTCCCTTACAGCCTCTGAGGAAAGAAGTCAATGAATACCGCCCGAACGTGGATGAGCTGAACGAGCAAGGCACCCGACTGGATACCATGCTGCATGATGCCCAGAACGCACCAATGAGGGCGCACCGCAGGTCAGCCCAGATCATGACCTCCACACCTAAGCCAACCAGTGCGGCCTCAAAGCTCAGACGACCCTTTGAGGATGCCAACATGAGTGGCCTCATGGAAGGTAAGATTCAATGACATATCGCTTTTCATGATAAAGCAACTAGTCTACCTCAATGGATTACAAGAAATAGGAAACTTAATGGAATAATCTCCCACAATACATTTACTTTCAAGTATGGGATTCATGTTAACAATTCGACCACCAATACCAAGGTGATTGCCAGAACCCATTGGGAATGTATTTTCAAGTAACATTGTCAGAACAATGATCATTAGTCCTTGGAGCCCTTGAAGCTGGCTAGTGTTGAGCCCTCTTGTATGCTTGTTTTACAAATATTCTTCTGAATTTTATTGACCTGGTCATCTCTCTTTGATCTTGCAGAGGAGTCTGAGATCCAGCGACAGCTAGGCGACATCAACCGCCGCTACAACGCCCTGGACATCAAGATCGACGAGCGTGACGACGAGCTGGACACTGCCCTGGCCCTGACGGAACGTAGCAAGCCTGTGGATGAGCTCCTGGACTGGGTCCAGGTGACAGAGGTCGAGCTGGCCCAGAGCGTACCTCAGCTGGACTTTGCCAATGAAGATGACCTAGACAATCTCATGGTGGAGTTTGACAAGATCCAGGTAAAGTGTGGTGTCTTTGTTTATCTCGGTTGAAAATTAGTGAATCAAGAAAACAAAATCTGTACCCACAGTGTGATCTTAAATGTAAACATCTTGCCACAAACATCTTTGCTGGAGTGTAGTTAGATGTTAGTACTACATTGCATTGGACGTCTGTTTTTGTGAATACCATTTGTAAAAGAATAGCAAAAGTCAAATCAACTATTTCTTGATGTCTGTTTCTCTATTACTTTCCAGATCATAGAAATTGTGTCCTTTCATGGATAAAACTATCACATACACAGTATTTATGTTTTCATTTTTACAGTCCAAGGTGTCATTAGAGTTATTATCAGCATTGACCACATTTAAATGATGTACGTCTTTACATATTGATTCTTTACCTCGATCAGGCTGTTGAGGAATCTATCCAGCAGTCCCAGGCCCCAGTAGCCCATGCTGCAATGGGGGCTGATCAGCTCATCAAGGACAAGGGTAAGAAGCTCAGACCGGAACAGAACCAGAACCTGCAGACCAAGAACGTGGACCTCAAGAATCGCTATGACGACCTTGCATCCGGTGTGAAGCAGAAGAAGAACGACCTGGAGCAGACCATCAATAGGGTCAAGGCAGATAAGGAGCAGAAGGTGAGTTTAGGGATTAGGATTAGTAATTGAGATTGGGGATTAAGATTAATGGATCATCACTAATAATGATCAGGACTAGTGATTGTGACACCGTAATTGGTTAGGATTAGCAAATCTCATTTGTGGTTAGGATAAATGATTAATATTATGATATTGGGATTAATGATCAGGATTAATGATTGTGATGAGTGGTTAGGATTAGCAACTAATCCTTGCGTCACTCCATGCCCTTTTCCTACAGTCTCTCTTGAGCCGTCGCCTTGGTGAGACTCTGACACAGGTCGATGACCTCAAGGACTGGATGTCGAAGACTGAGACGAAACTTGGAGTTCAGCAACCAATCAGTGAGCAGATCAGACCACTAGACACTCAACTCCAACGACACAATGTAAGTCGTCAGAGAAAGTACAATTTCAATCCCACACAAAGTACAGTCAAAGCTGCTTTAGTGACATATAGAAAAACCTCCTGCCTATACCGACTACTTTACTTGTCTCCCTCAGGTGGTCTTTCTATACAGGTTTCACTGTAGTTGTGGTTTCTGAATGGCCTTTTGTGTGTGGAATATGTGGATGATGAACAGCTGTACCTGAAAGGAAAAAAGGACAAGTAATGGGTTAATACAACAGCCTAAGAAATTGATAAAATAAAATCAGGTCAAAAACATTGCATGTGTATGCTTTCTTTTAATATATTTACGTCTAAAGCTTTGATATGAACCAATTGCCTACAGGAGCCGTATACTACCTGAAGATCTATTTAATCTTATGGGAATGAGATAACTCAGAGGTCAAAGGGTTAAAAGACAGTGTTAATGAAGTTCCCAAATGTTTCCTTGCAGTCTCTGCATGAGGACATCGTTGACCATGAACCTCAAGTCAGCCAGGCTGTCAACGAGGTGACCATCCTCCTTCGGGAGTTTGATGGCAAGCTTGCACCCGAGGATGCCAAGGGCCTGCAGCAGGACCGTGATAACCTCAAGAAACGCTTTGATGCAGCCAACATGCAGTCCCTCAGCCGAAGAGACAAGCTCACAGCCGCCCTCGATGACCTTGAGAGGTACAGGGAAGAATTTGCAGAGTTCAGCGACTGGCTCCTGGAGGCAGAGCAGAGGAACGAGAAGCTGATGCGCCCTGATGCAAGGCGCAACGACCTGAAGGCACTCAACCAGCAGATTGAAGAGGAGAAGGAACTGATGGAGGACATCAGCGATCATAAGGGAGACCTCAAGTTCATCAACAGGGCTGGACACAAGTTCATTGACAACGAAAAGGTTTGTCTCTCAATGTCAGATTTCTCCACTGATGTAGACAAAAACTAACCAAAATATCCCAACAGCTCAAAAACATACATAATGGTATTGAGCATTTTGTTTAGGCCAAAAGTGTTGAAATTGTCTATTAGATTATGAATCTTTAAGAATGTTTTTTTGTGCATACAATTTGATCCCCCCTTTGAATATCATAATTCCTCTTTGTATCAAACATACCTGTATGTAAACTAATATTACTCCATCATGCATAAGATTTTCTTGTGTGGAAGCAATTTTTAATCACATCCATACACTCAAACATGGTTCGTTCCATGAATTTCATCGAAGCTAAAGGGTTCAGATATATCTCTTGATTGTATATACATTCTACATTCTTACCGCATGTAAATTTCATCTTGTGTCTCCTGGCTGCTGAGCTAAGGCTGAGGAAATGAACATATCCACTGCTTTGTTGCCAATACGAATCCAGTAATTATTAACACTATGATTTATTCTCTTCTACTTCACAGGCATTCAAGCAGTTACTCTCTGAATACCGCACGTCTGCCCTCCCATCCCAGTTCAACCGCACGTTCGCTGAGACGCCCGACTCCAACGTCATCCGAGATGAGCTGGCCGACGCCTACGACCGCTACACCCGGCTGCGCAACCAGGCGAGAGACCACTACAAGTCTCTCAAGGGTCTGGTTGGTAAGCAACAGAAGTGGGAGAACTCTTGCGACGTTGTCCTGCCATGGATCACCGAGGCTCACGCTAAGCTCTCAGATGTGATGAGGGAACCTATCGCCACGGAACCAGAGAACATCCATGCTCAGATGGAGAAGGTCAAGGTATGCAAGTGTGCTGGTGTTTGTGCTGGTGGTGATGGAGTTCATTTCTTCAGTACCGTAGAAGCTAATTTTAGCTGACATGCTACATGTACATATACATGTACCTGCACAGGGGGCGTATGAAGAAAGAGTAATTTATTTTATGCTGGACAGGACAATAGTTTGCCTGTTAACCCCATATTCAATTTCACACTTGTACATGTACAAGTGTGAATGTAATAGTAATGCATGTTCTACCCCAACGTCCTCCATCTCCTTTCTTCTGTTCATATATACGTATGAAGAAGTTCTATGATGTATTTTTATCCACAAAATTGCCAAGTTGTTTTGGGTTTAAAAAAAAATTAATTTATGGTTCAGTCATTTTTAGATTCTGGATATGTATCTGTCATCTGACTGATATTCAGTTTCAAATTTTTAGAAGAAATAGAGAAAGACACCAAGTACAAGCACTTTTTGAGTGTTCAGAGCAATCAATAATGTTCATGCAATTATTGTGGTTTGTTCTTTGTAGGACCTCCATGACCAGATCGTCCTGCACACCAAGGATGTAGAGAAGCTCAAAGGACATGGCAAGGATCTAGCTGCTTCACAGGACGCAGTCAAGGATGATGTCACAGGCACTGTCCGTAAGTCAACTCTCAGATCAGTGTACAGGATAGCATTTGCTGAATTGTCTCAAACTCATGGTTGTAACCTTCGTAGTACACAAGACGCATTTATGTTGCAAATACCCCCATATAAATCCATGTGCTGCCCCTAGATTATTGAATAGATTACCACTAGAATTAAGGAAAGCCCCATCACCAGAATTTTTTAAATCAAGACTGAAAACTCACTTGTTCATGTAGTATGTATAGCACAGCATTTACAAGCTCTTGCAGCGCAGTAAAATATATCCACATAGTTATTGCGCTTTTCAAATGAATATATTATTCTTATTATTATTCAATCATCTTTGTTATTATTATCATCCTCATCATCGTAGTCATTATATCATCAATGTCATCATCATCACCATCTTTTATTATTGTAATCATCATTATCATTGATGATATCATCATATTCTTTCCCCAACTAGGTGATGTGTCAGACAAGTACAGCGAGATGGAGGCCCAGCTTGCCGACCGTAGCAACCAGCTCCAGAGCATGCTCTCCCAGTCTCACAGCGTACAGGACAGCATTGATAACCTTCAACGCTGGCTGGAGCAAGCTGAGAAGAACACCAGTCGGGTAGTCAACGCCCCCATCATCATCCGCAAGGAAGCTCTCCTGGAACTCCTGCAGGATCACAAGGTAGGATCAAGCTTCTTACTCCTCGGTGACCGGTGTTCTCAGATCTCCTCTCTTAATACCTTCCCCAACCCCATTTTTACTGGCAATATTTGCTTTGGTGATATTATATCTTGGGACATTTTTTTCTGAACAATATTTTATCAAAGATAGGAGAGTTAGGGCTAGGCTTGCGATGGGACTTCTGGTTTATAATAGGCTAGATTACGATATATTTAAATGTGTGTGTGTAATACATATAACATTTACTCAAGTGTTGTAGTTAAAAGGTTGGTTAGTGTTATATATTAACTCTGGAGCAATTGTCACAGAGCAGTATATTTTTAATATATGTTTTGAATAGGTTGGTAATGTTTGTTGCATCTATCTATAAGGAAATTGAAAAGAAATGGAACAGGCAGTTTGCTGATACTGCATCTAAAAACATGATTTTTATTGATTTACTTAGAAGTTATCAAGAGAAAGAGCTAGAAATCACTCTAAAAAATGCTGCTGCTTGTAAAACTTTTTAGAAATCCTTAGCAAAAGTATTTTTAGGAGTGCATTCATATGTAGGCCTTCATAATAGTTCCTTTTGAAAATGCATAACAGTCCTTTCAACCTGATAAAACAATAATTTGGGAGACTCTTTTACCTTGTGGAAAAGATTACATATATCACTTCTTTCATTTCTCTATTCTTTTTGGCTCATTTATTATTTATATATGGCTTTCAATTACCTTTTTTTAATTTTTGCTTCAAGAAATGCTTTCTTTTCTTATCATTTGCTAGATTTATTTGCATGTCTTTTTATTTAAGTTTAATGACCATTTTAATTTCAGCTAGTGGAAGAAGGATATTTAGATTCCCTCCAAGAATTTGTGGTATGATTATATCTTTAGAATGCAGTGAAACCTGAAAGAGAGAATTACTTTATTGATATTGTTTGCACAGTTTGCAGAGTTTCTTCTTATTTTGCCCCTCTATACAATAAACATGTGTAGCTCTATATGTACCACAGGTCTGTCCTACATGTATTTTGGGGTTCTCATCGTGCAAATGAGCCTTTAAAGTTAGGTGCTCAGTATATACACTTGAATTCAATTGTTAGTATAGACTCCTGAATCACAACAAATGGCGTGCTACAAAAATCACTTTGAACCTTGTTTGGTTGTAATATAATTCAAACGGATCTTTGTTATAAGATACATATATAAAGGTCAGGACTTTTTTTTTTTACGTTTGAGTTATATCAAGAAAAAATACCACATTTTCACTTGTAGTAGCCCCCTTTTTGTTTGTTTTAAATGTAAAACTTGTTTTCATTTAGTGTTTGCAGTATTGTGTGCTGTTTCTTGCGTATGATCTTTTTCCAACTGCAGTTCTATCCTGATCTCTCTTATTCCTTGCTCTCGTTCTGGCTTTATTTCTTGCTTGTACATGTATGATGCTCTTGTTCTGGTGCACATGTACAATTACAACTGAATTATTCATTCCCCTTGTTTGTGTTTTTCGTAACTCAAGAATGAAAGGTGGACATGTTTAATTAGGGCCTTTGTTGAGTACTTGTAGGTGTAAGCCTGAACATGTCACATTCTCCAAGAAACATAAATTGGGACAAATAAATTGTTAACATACTGAAACAATTACAGAACTTGGTAAGCTATGAATAATTTAGTTGTTGTATGTCTGTCGCTACTCATGCCTTCATTCTTAAATTCTAAGTTGTTTTTTCGTCACCTTGGCTTTTGTTTTCAACTGATTTAAAATTAAAAATCCTACTTTCTCCTGATGTCCTTGCTTGATTGATAATTTGATTAAAAAAATGATACAACAGAGTTGCAGAACATGGGAATATATGCAAAACACATCGTTTTACTGGGTGAGCTTTATTCTAACAATCTATAGACCCCAACTTCTAAATCTCATTATCATTCTATCTATTCCAGTTTTGCATGCTGTTTACTAATTATTTCTAAAACTGCCTTATCGATTGTACAAATTGATGAATACAATATAATTGTAATTTTGTTACATTTTAATGATTGAATTACTACACACAGGTTATATTCATTTTACATTCAGTATTTGTGTGATAAAGAGATAAGACTAATTATTATTTTATGTATAATATTTATAAGAATATGTTGTAAATTTTACAAAATTGGACAAGAACTAATGTACAGTATATACAGTTAATGAACATTATTTACTATCTAATGAATGTATACAATTAATCAATTTTGCTTAATGTTATATTACAATGATTTTATAGAAATAATTGTGTGCCGTCAACTTTTGCTTTTGTTTGGAAGTTACTATTGTTAAAACACAATTCACATGTACACGAGCACGTGATAACATTTAAGATAATTATAAAGACATCCATGCAATATACACAATATATTTAAATCATAATTCTATATTTAAAGTATAAGTACATATATGTGTATCTAATAAGAATTTATATTTGAAATATTATTATACATGTACATGTACATTATTTACTTAATTACAGTATATTCCCATATTATGTAATACTTTTTAAAAGTCTTTTTAAATGTACATGTACTCCCCCAGATGGATATTTGCTCATTTACAACAGGCCTTTTGGGGCTATTTTTCGTCACCTGATGCCAATGGACCAAATAACTTTGCATTTTCTTCATATGACAGATATATAATTGAATGTCATCTGTATACATCTACAGTACACATTAATCACATATGTTAAATAAATGTAAATGTAAGTTAACATTAGATTTGTCAGACTAAAGTTATTGATCTACACATAAGTATTAGGTTCAAATTGCAGCTTTTATATGGGTGACAGAATTCCAGACAATTTCTTGACATGCTAGAGAATTGTTTGATCTTAAATATAAGGATACAAAACCGAACCAATGCTTACACAAATACTTTTAACTTTGTAGTCTTTTTTTTTTGGAGGGGGGGGGGGGGGGGGGGGGGGAGGGGGGAGGCAGGGGGAGGCAGGGGGAAGCGTTAAAGAGTTCATAAAAACGCAAAAGTTTACCTACCGAGCAAAAACATGTGCAGGAACTAATGCCTGTTTTCTTTTCACTTTTTCTCTCTGTAAATACATATTTTTTAAATCATACCAAATAGTACGTCCAATCTGACATTGATACCCACAAACCGATGATCGATGCCCTCAACGATCGGGCGGAGACCCTGATTGCCAGCAGCGACGCCCAGTTGGCCCGCAATGTCCAATCCAAGCTGGACGACCTCAACGCCCGCTACGGCAAGATATCATCCAGCATCCGTAACCATGGTGATTACCTGCAGAAGATGTTGGTGAAGATGAACCAGCTCCAGAGCGATGTGGATGGCTTTGAAGATTGGCTCCTGCCAATGATTGACAGGATGGAGTCCAAGGAGCTGCTCCGCATGGATCTACTAGAAATGGGCTCCAGGTTGATGGTAAGAGCAGATTACCTCTTTTCTTGTCTCCCTTGAGCCGCTGCGGCACTAATGTCCTTTGGCGAGACATTGATCTACATTTGCCACACTCCACCCAGGGGAAGTAAATGGGTACATACCTGGTAGGAATTTATTCCTTGAAATGCTAAAGCGCCGTATGGCAGCCGTGCTAAAGCCAGGGTAATAATCAGGAGCGCCAGGAGGGTCAAATCTGACTGACATAAGCGCTATACAAGAACCCATTATTATTATTATTTGATGTTTGTAAAATGTTAAGTTGAACTTCATGGATGTAGTTGCCTGTAATTGAGAAGTTATTCCTTAGTGACATTGAGGAGTAAACGTCAGCTTGGCTACAACTGTTAAATAATGATGATGATGTACAGGTACACGTACTCTATTCATGTTCGCTTTCTCCTACTCCAGGATTACCAGCGAGACATTGACGAGCATCGCTACACCTACCAGGACATCAAGCGTCTTGGTCAGGAGATCACCAGGGATCCAAAGACATCGGATACCTCTCGTATTGCTGATACTGTCACCAATCTCAGCAAGAACTGGGACATCCTGGAGGCTCTCCTGAAGAGAAGGTGGGTAGATTAGCAATCACAAGAAAGCAGGGTTTCCAGGTATCCTGGTAATCAAGAAAAACCTGGAAACAAGTTTCATTTTTTCCAGTCAAGGAAACATCAGGGACTTTTGGAAGAAAGAATTACTGAAGTAAAGGAAAAAATCCTGCCCCCCCAAATAAGGGTATTTTATTGACCCCCCTAGTCATCTCTCATAAATTTGCCTCTTTTCCAAAGGGTTTATCCACTAGATGACAGACATACATCTACTGTCCATTTCTGACATTTCAAAGTGAAAGTAGGTTGAAAGAGTGGCCTTTGAGGTGTGAAAGAGAGTCAATTGTGGTAAGGAGTTGAAATAATTTATTATTGTTTCTTTCCATTTTTCAGGAACAACCAGTTGCAACAGCGACAGGAGACACAAGACAAGTTCAACGGTCTGCTCAACTCGGTCCAGGAATGGCTCGACCAGATGGAGGACACGACTGACCGTCTCCCTCTCATTGCCCTCGAGCCTCAGGTCATCGAGCAACAGCTTCAACAGTACACGGTGAGATCTTTGACCCTTGTTGATCTTCTTGTAATCTTCAAAATGCTATGCAGTCTTTGACAATGATGATTTTAAGATTCCCAGTTGTGTATTGTAGTCGACCTGAACACCAGGGGGGCGTTTCACAAAACTTGTCATCAGTGACAAATGACAGTTTTTGTTATAAGCTACTGAAATCCTTGCTTCTGATTGGTGATCAGCAGATTTGTCACTGATTTTTGTAATTTGTCTTTGAAAAAGGCTTTCTGAAACAGGCCCCAGGTCTAGACCCTACTGTTTGCGAGAAGTGTAGGGTATTACTCTCCTACAAATAGGGCCTCCATTTAATGTTTTTTTTTTCTGAGGAACAGAGTGTTTACTCCTGAACCAAGCCTTGTGGCTGCAAGTTTTTGTCTGCTCAGTCAGCTTGGGTCTCGAACCCATGTGTATGATAATAAGTCATACACGTGGGTTCATCCCAGTGATCTTGAGACTTTCCGGTTGCCCCTTGATGCTGTCTTCGGGCACAGCACAGTTTTGAGATCACCTCTGGGCAATAGTTTTAACCATGCCCCTCCCATCAGTCAATATTTGTATACTATTTACCCGAAGAGTTCTTCTTTTTTTACATGTATGTACTTGACCGTCATTGATCTAAATCAATTATTACTATTGACCCTAACAGCCTGTGCAGAACAAGTATGATGGATTCAACACCAAGATTGACGAGCTCAACAATGTTGGCTTGGCCTTTGAGAGTTTGACCTCTGACCCTGACCTGCCATCCAAGGGATCACCACTCAAACGTTCAAAGTGAGTTCAGAAATTACAACTTTTGTTAAAAAATGAAGATTCAAGAAATCGGCATGCTTACGTGTATATTTAAAGTCAGTTAGCAATTGATATATTTTATTAGAAACAATGATGTTTGTTTGTCTAACAAGCTTTTCTAAAGGGATAAAGGATCCATTTCAAGTTAGAATATTTAACTGCTCTTTACATGTGCCCAAGCAGTCATGGATATATACTTCTATGGGTTTTGATTTTATTTCAAACTTCTTTGTCTCTTCTTTCACTAATTTGTTGGCACTCTGTGGGTATCATCAACTACATGTCCATGCATAGTACACTGTATTTGTGTTCAAAGCAATGATATTGATATTTGCATAACAAGTGTTAATGAAGGCACCTCTAAGTATCCATTACAATTAAATATTACTTTCACTGATCTGAACCAGACAGGAAACTGTACATTGTCTTGATTCTGATTGATGTAAAACTTCTCTAACTCTCCTGAACAAGAGTCACCCTTTGTACAAGACAGTGGTGGTATCCACTTTGTCTCCTGTTCAAACGTCTGAATTTCTGTCCTCCTTCCTCCAATTATCTTCATGCATTAAAATCTTTCCTTTTTCCTTCCTTTCTCCAGGGTGTTCCTAATGTCCAGAGCTGGCTCCGACACCAGGAGTCTGGATACCAGGAGCACAGGATCTCGCAGGAGCTCCTTCGGATCTGAGCTTAACGAGAGCTCCTTCCTTCTGGATGACGGTAAGAACAAAACTCTGACATCTTGTCGTGCGGCTGGCAGAAGGGCAAAATCAGAGAATTCATTGGCCCCTAAAGAAAGACTAGAACCATTTTATTGTTGGCTATTAATAGAGCTATCCACCCATCTTTACAATCGTTTTAATTGTTTATTGACATGTACATGTATATGTACATGTATATATTTGGAGTTTTATGCTGAGACAAAACTTACGTATGTGAGTCAATTGTGTTTTCATCTACCAGGTACCACCGAAACCCAGCGAAACCTCGCCGACGTCAACGAGCGCTACCAGACCCTTGGCGACAAGCTTGCTGACCGCAAATTTGAACTGGACGATGCTCTGGAGAAGGGCAACCTCTTCCGCAGCGAGCTGACTGGTCTGCAAGGCTGGATGGACGGTGTGGAGGGTCAGTTGAAGCAGGAGATACCTCAAGGCTTGACCGCAGGGGACGCTGCTAGGAGACTACAGGAACACAAGGTATATAGGCTATACAAGTGCATACAGTAGGGTTACAATAATAGAAGACTGTGGGACACTACTGTTACACCCGTATCAACCTAAGGTGCTCATTGCGCTTTAGTGTTACCCTGCCTTTAGATCCCCTTCATGTCAGTACCCATTTAAGACCTTGGTGGAGAATGACAAATGTTGATTCTTGTCAAATTTGTTTAAATGTAAAGAATACAAGCATATGAAGAAACAAGTTCTAGGGAACTTTTAAGAGCCTAAATATGCTAATATTGATTTGAATACTATATAATTGTTAAACATATTCATAGAAAGTGAATATGATTTTTTTTCTTCTTAAAATGAATATGCAGCTATAAAAAAAAAAATCATATGTTCTAATATACCGTACATGGACAAGAGCATGTGCCTAACACGGTATATCTGTATGTTCATTTTTTCTCTACGTCGTCTTCTTCTTCATCATTTTGTTGCCACCCATCTGTTTTTTGTTCAGATCGTCGTTGCTGACATCCAGGACCACGCCCCTCACCTGACCTCTCTCCGAGGTCTTGGTGATGATCTGACCGCTAACCATCGACACCAACCCGGTGCTGACGTCATCATTGGTCAAGTAGACTCAGCCGGTAAGTTCAGCCAATTATATTCAGTACTTCAATACTCTATAGTTCAATAAATTATATGCATACTGGTACTTGACAAGTAAACTTCTATCTCAATATCGTTTTCATAAGTAAAACATAAAGACTTAATACAGTGGTGAATTATGAACAGAGTGACCAATTTGAAGAAGAAAAAAAAAGAATTATACAAAAACTACAAACTGAAGTGATCACCTATTTAAACATTTGTGCTTGCATCTTTTCACATGTTGTATTGGACTTCACTGGAGTGGTTGATATAAAAGCTGGATTGTTGATATGAACACTAGATGGCACTCTTCAGCATATCAGTGAATTGCAACAAAACAATTTTACGATTACTGACAGTTTGCTTGGATCAGATCTGTTGTTAATACATGTTGTGTGTATGTGAATGAATGATGTGCATGATTTGTACAAGTATTCCACTTGGCAATCTCTATGAGAGTGAAACTACACTGCATATGTACATTTATGTGGGGACTAGCAAAGACAAAATATTTCAAACATTACAAGAGCTGATTTTTGCTAGTAAGTTGTTAAAAATTGATGATTTATTTGTTTTAATAATCAGTAAAAACTTCCAAAACATTATCATACATGTGCATGCACAGGTACTTGGTCATAACATTGACTTTTGCCAAGTTATCAAATTGAAAAGAAAACAACAACCTAATAGATGAGTTTCCACTATACTCCATAGGTGATCATTAAAATTACGTGTACATGTGCAGTATATGTTCATGTTAATTGTGATGGAAATGAAACTGATTATGAATTGAGTCTTGATGAAAATAAAAGGATGATTGAGAGGTTGGTTGTGAGTATAATACTGTCATCAGAGCCATAAGGTAAGGTTGAAGTGTGACAGCTACACAGAGTGACATGCTGGATGGTGCACTACGTTGGATTCTTGAGATGAACCTATGCAGGTTAGTGAAGGGTTACCACTCATAGAGTCAGAGCCAGACGGTCATAACTCCACTTTAACCCATTGCCTACCAAAGTCAGGTGGTGCCTGTATAAAGCTTATTGGAATGAAAGAATTCAGTGGTCAACAGGTTAATGGTTTCAGAATATCTTTGTACAGCTAGGTTATGGCAATGTTTTGGACACAGCAGTTCATGAATCTAGAATACACATCCAAATGGAAACAGACATTTTAGTGTTTCTGTTGCCATTGATGTTGAAAAGGAAGTTTAATATTTAGGATATTTTCAGATATTTAAAAAATATAATTATATATCATTTTTGGATATCAGAAAGTGGAGAATATGACTCAGAGGCTCTGGATCTATGAGGCAAATTGTCTTTGAAAGTGTTTTCAAAAAGTATGAAAAGAGGCCCCCAAAAGAATCATAGCCAAATAAAACTATTTCTATACAATAAATGAGGAGAACAAAGAAGTTATAAGGCTGGAAGAAAAAGGAAAAATGTTACATACATGAAAACTGATTTAACAAGACAGTGTTTCCTTATTGATGAACAAAGTAACACTACAGCCACATACAAGCATGGGAGGAAGAAACAAACATAGGGAACTCAGGAGAAGGATGATAGAAAAGTGAAGAAGCTAAATGGAGAAGTGAATAGAAAGGATATTGAGAACATAAAATAATGAAGCTCAGAAAGAAAAAAAGAAAAATATTCATGCTGAAATATCAAATGACATAGTTACACTTCCATATTTCTTGTCACAATATTAGTATTAAGTAAAGGAACAGTAAAAATAAAACTTTACATCAAGTCTAGTCGGGTTACATTTAGTATCCAGTCCAATTATGTACTAATATGTAGTAAAGAAATAATAAAGAGTTAAAGACATGCACAAATTATTGAATTCCATACACCTCCATACAATACTTCATAGTTATTATTATGAGGCTCAGGGAAGTAACCTTGACAACAAGTCTACGTATCCTGCTCAACAAGTTACCAGTAGGCTAGTATATATATCTACTCAATCATGTATTAACCATTGCTTAATTAATTAAATACCATTTGACACTGAAAACCTTGGAGGGTATTCAATCGTACATGGCCGGAAGGCACGAAGGCCATCATTAGAGCTGAAATAAAAGTGGCAATAGCTACCCTTCGCTAAGTCTGGATAATACTGCATGAGAGCAGAGGTGGTGTTGATTTTTGTAGGGTCAGAGAGGACAATTAGAGATGTATATTTATTGTTTGTACTTGTTAATCTCTAGTTCTCCAATTTCTATTCTTTATGATTGCCTCTCTATTCTGGCCCATGTCTCTCTGCCTTTCCTCCCTCAGCCTCCTCTCTCTCTCTCTCTATCTCTCTTTCTCTCTCTCTTACTCTACCTCCCCTTACTCTCTTTCTCTCCACCCTATCAATACCTCTCTCTTCTCTCTTATCTGCTTCCTCTCTATCCTTCTATGTCCTTGTACATGTACATGCATCTATTTTTTCTTTTTTTATTGCAGTTAATTTTCATTAGTAGTTTTACCATAACACCCGGTAACATTATTTCAATATTACTCCGTAATGCCAATGACCTTGTTGGCACTCAATTCTTATAGAAAGGCTTTGAATGTTATAAGCCACGTACCAGCAAGCTTGGTTTTGGATTAGTTTTGATTTGGAAGCCTAAGCGCACAGTTATATCCATATGTTTGATATCAGTCGGCACCTGGATTTATTTCATATCATTATCGGCCACTCCCACTTGTTTGTGTCTGTATTAATTTTAGTGCAGTGACAGATTTTTAACCAATTGAATACCAAGTCTGACATGATTTGGCTGGAGTTTATGGAACATGTTTGATCTATCAAAGTCAAACCTTATATCATGGATTTAGCATGCCTGTTTCTACATGTGTGACCGTCTCTGTTTGTCTATATCCCTTACTCTACTTTAATTCTCTCTCCATCTTTAATTTGTTTTGTCTTTATTGACTTCTCTTTCTGTACTACCGTCTTTCATCTCTTCCTCTCTCTCTCTTGATACAGCTTTGATTTTGTCACTCTTTCCTTCTCTCCATTACTTTACTCATCTGTCAAACTGATAGATATTTTAAAAATTCCTTAATAGCAATTTTCTTCCCAAACTTGATATTCATCACATAATAGCAATCAGCACACATACTGTATGTATGCACACCCATATGTGGAACGAGTAATAAAGCCTATATATCTACATACTCATCTGTTAATAGCATAATTGCTAAGTGACCACAGACATGTATTGTCCAAGTATCTTGTCCAAGTATCGGTGATAATAAAAACAAGCAACGATTAATATCTTAAATCCTTTCAGGAAATAATGATAATCATGCTGGAAATTGAATGGCAATATGATATTACCGGGAAAACTCTCTTCCTGTGACTATTAAAATGTTGATTCACTTGATCTGGCTTTCCCACAGTTCTTTAATTCACTCTCATTTTTATTTATATATATATATATCATTCATTTAGATTTTCATGTATAGCCCTTTCATGTAAGAAGTACTTATTTTAATATTTTTTTTACATTCAAAATTCCAAGAAGCAATTTTGTTTTCTATTGCTAATGCCCTGCCATATAAAAATTTAATCTGTAGAATTTCATCACACTTTCCCCAATACCTATGCTCTCTCTCTCTCTCTCTCTCTCTCTCTCTCATACCTGTTTATTACTGCAGCTGCTTTTAAATATAATGTAATTTTATTGAGTTAACCACGTTCATTTAGCAAAAATCAAGTTGACCTTCAGAATTTGTCTCGGCCTAATTGATCAAGTTCACACTACATGTTGTTATGCCATGCACTCCTGTTAACCAGCAATAATCAGGTGTTTCATACTGGATGCTGAGAGCCAGAAGGGCATTAATGCATGTACTTTGATACAGAGATAACGCCTTCTGGCTCTGAACAGAAAATATGATCTACTTTGATAGCTCCATATTGTCTGTGATTAACAGGAATTAAAAAAATCTATATCTGACCTTTTCCCCTCATTGTGATTTGCTAGATAACTACAAATCCGTGAGAAAAATTTGTGTAAGAAGTATTGCCATATGTTGTCCCTATGAAGATAATACGGTTACATATCTATCAAGTATCATACCAAACTTGTTTCTGTTTTTGTTTTTTTCATAGGAAGAAAGGAATTAACTTATTTTAGTTTTTGTGCTCATTTTTTTTTGTAAAAAGGAGAAAAACCTGTTTAATCTCTGTTCCGCCAAGTGAACTAAATTGAACCTGGATGTAGGAAAAACAAAAACATGTTTACGACAACACATGCATGAATGTGGTCTACCACATTTTATTAATAAGTCACTGTTTTATCAATTATTAACGGCTCGACTAGCCAAACCAAAATTCAGACCACGACAGGAATACTAAAACCAATTCTCCCAGTAAAAAGGATGTCCTTATTCCTCTAACACATTAAACCCTCCCACGAGAACAAGGAAACTAGTCTGTATGAAGAGCATCGTGTTGCTTAGCAACTGGGATATAATCAGCAAACATAAGAGAATGTTATTAGTGCATAATTAGGTTTCATATCCCTTATAGAGTTGTTTCTCTTGGTTTCAAACATCTCAAAACAATTATGGACTGAATTCTCATCCTGTTTGAGCATGCTTATCATTCCCATGCATGCAGTGTTCAGGTATTTGAATATGATTAGGATATTAATTTAGTTTCATGTACACTGTATGGGCCGATAATAGTGTCCTTCATTCTGCTTGCAAGTGAATGTACTATTCAGGTTTTAAAGTAGTGCTGGTTTTGCTTTCTCTTCAAGGATTATTAAAGCTTGTCTCAACCAGATTTTCCAGGTTGGCCATGCCTTTAAAACTCCCTCTCTTCTTTTCACAACACGACACCAATGAGTGATGTTGATATTTAAGACAGACCGAAATGAATCATGCATGTAGTCAATGCCAGACTCAACTCCTACACTCTTCCTCTCCAATTCCGATGACATTTATCTGATGCTTGCTCTCACACTATACTTTTCTGAGAAGGAAAGAATTACGTTGCCTCGAAATTTCAAAAGGTGTTTGACCTGTAGAATTATATTGGAAAATGTATCTC